TAACTTCAACTAACATAGTTCACTTCAGATCACCGCATATATTTATGGTGTTTTAAATCCTTTAGGTGCCCTTTCACATTATTGCCCAAGCTGAACTAGGGTGTCCTTTTCTCCAGCCTTTATTTATTTATTTTTATTTATTTTTAAAAAAATATATTTTATTGATTTTACACAGAGAGGAATTGAAAGGGACAGAGAGTTAGAAATGTCGATGAGAGAGAAACATTGACCAGCTGCCTCTTGCACACCCCCTACTGGGGATGTGCCCGCAACCAAGGTACATGCCCTTGACCGGAATCGAACCTGGGACCCTTCAGTCCGCAGGCTGACGCTCTATCCACTGAGCCAAACCGGTCCTGGCTTCTCCAACCTTTAATAGCAATTTTTTCACTGTCTTCTGGCCTCCACTAACAGGTCTGGGAGGTCCCTTAAGGCCATTGTCTGCTGCCTCATTTTAAAAATAGCAGATTTTTTGGGTTTTTATTAAAGCAGAACTTCATTTCCAGGTACCAATTTCTGTTTTGCTTTTCTATTGCATGTAACAGACCACTACAAAGCTTAGTGGTTTACAAAAAAAACCAAGTCATTTATTCTGAGAATTCAGTCAGGATTGGTGGCTTTCCTTTTTGCTCCTAACCACCACTCCCCAAGTTTGACTTGCCACAGAAGTGTATGTTATATGAAGGTGAAAAATAGATTCCAAAACTGGGGCACAGAAGTTGTAAGATAAGACTGGAACATCTTGTGCCAGTTTATAAAGAAATGCTAAAAAATAAAATGAAGATGGCATATCAAAACGGTACAGGAGCCGGTTTGGCTCAGTGAATAGAGCGCCTAGCTGAGGACTGAAAGGTCCCAGGTTTGATTCCGGTCAAGGACATGTACCTTGGTTGTGGACACATCCCCAGTAGGGGATGTGCAGGAGGCAGCGGATTGATGACTCTCTCATTGATGTTTCTAACTCTTTATCCCTCTCTCTTCCTCTCTGTAAAAAATCAATAATTTTTTTTTTTTTTAAAGAACTACATTAAAAAAAAAAAAAAGATACAGGAGCTAACCTAAAGTAGGAAGGGGAATATCATAAAAACATTTTGTACTTCGGAATGGAAAAAAGTTCAATGTCATTGTTTTATATACCTAAAACACTCTTTTTAAAAATATTTTTTAAACTTATTTTAGGAGAGGAAAGGAGAGATGGAGAGACAGAAACATTAATGATGCAGAGAATAATTGATTGAGTGCCTCTTGCATGTCCCCCACTAGCGATCCAGCCACAACCTGCGCATGTACCCTCACCCACAATCGAACTGTGACCTCCTGGTTCATTGACCAGTGCTCAACCACTGAGCCACCATGTGAGGGTAGTTGTAACCTAGCTCATCTTTTTTAAAATTATAAAGTATCTATAGTTTGATACATATACAGTAGCTGTATTTGATTAATTTTATTTAAATATTTGCTTTTTTGGAAGTTGTTTTCAACCCAGATTGTGTATGTAATATTTCTTAAAACAAAAATTCATAAACATAAAATTGTGATTCTTCCCTCCCCCCCATTCCCATTTATTGTTATATTCATGTTATAAATGAAGCTCTATAGGTTGAGGACAAGTTTCTGATTCATTTCAGAAAAAACGTAACCAAGAAAGTGAAATACCTGATATTGAATTTAAGACATTAATTAAAAAACTGAAGAAGACAAATAAATGGGAAGATATTACATGTTCATGGATTTAAAAAATTAATATTTTAAAAATGATTATAATACCCAAAACAATGTTCATTTATCTGGATTTTTAAGTAATTTAGCTTTATAATACAAATGTTAGGCATGCTGACTTTAATTTTCTTAACCATGTTCTTATTTGATCTCAGCGACGAAGGGTGAGGGGGAGAGAGAAACATCAGTGATGAGAATCATTGATCATCTGCCTCCGGCACATCCCCTACGGGGGATCTAGGTCGTAATCGGATCTTGTGCCCTGACCGGAATCAAACCGTGACCTCCTGATTCATAGGTCAGCACTGAACCACTGAGCCACACGGGCTGGGCCAAACTGACTTTAAATAGCCCCTTCTTAAATTTAATTTGTTGCCTGAAGTCACTTTTGGGGGAGGTTAAGTTTAAATACTTAAGAAACAGTTTGCAATTGAAGTTAATTTCTTTTTTTTTTTACTATTAAAATTATACAAATAATATTGAAATAAGGATTGCACTTTGTATTAAATATAAACTTACAGTTATTTTGTAGAACATTTTTAGTTTTAAGTTCTTGATGGCCTCTTACGTGGGCTTTACCCTTTTCCTAATGGCATTTTAACAAGACTATTTCCCAAATTCATTTAGTAACTGTCACTTCAGAGTAAAGTAACTCTGGGTGTCACGGGCTAGTGGGACCTTTTAGTTAGAGGGTATGTGAGTCTGGAATCCAGATGAAAACAAGAGGTAAAATTAATGGGGCAATAATCAAAACTTGAGTCCTTAGAAAGAGTTGTATCTGGGGAAATGGTGGTGGTGGGAGGGGGGCAAGAGGGAGTGTTCTAGACATTGTAGAAATTGCTTCCATTGTTTTGGTGTTAATTCTAGCAGCTTGACCTGAGCTTCAAGTATGAGGCAAGGTATGAGTTGGCGATGGAAAATAATTCACTTAAAGGAACTCCAGTAGCCAGAGAGAGGATTAATAGCAATTGTATCTAGAACAAATGACTTCAATGAAATAGAACTATTGGAAGAGATAGATGACAACTTTAACAAGCAAAAAAAAATTATCCAGAGATTCTCAAGAGAGACAAAGCTATATGTTTCTAGTCATAGCATAAAAGAATTAAAAAGTGAGGGGAAAAACTCTTCTATATATTAATTTGAGGATGATTATTGTTGATACTCAAATTCAATGTCTGGAACATTAATTAGAGTATATCAAAACAGAAAAAATATAAAGGAGAAAGAGCACATTGAGGAGATGCACTAACTAAAGATAAAATTGAGGAGAATTTCCCTGGTTTATTTTTTATTTATTTATTTAATATATTTTATTGATTTTTCACAGAGAGGAAGAGAGAGGGATAGAGAGTTAGAAACATCAATGAGAGAGAATCATCGATAACCTGCCTCTTGCACACCCCCTGGGGATGTGCCCACAACCAAGGTACATGCCCTTGACTGGGATCGAACCTGGGACCTTTCAGTTTGCAAGCCGATGCTCTATCCACTGAGCCAAACCTACTTTGGCGAATTTTGCTGGTTTAAAGAAGGATTGATAAGTACAACCACTGGACACAAAACTCTGAGGAGGGAGGGCATGTATGGGAGGGGGGGACAATGGTATATATACAAAGATAATAATTTAATAAAATTTTTTTTTAAAAAAATAAAAAAAATAAAGAAGGATTGAAAGAACCTACTGAGTTCCAAAATAGAAAGTTGGGAGTGGTTCAGAGATAACAAACAAACAAAAAAACCACAAGTCATTTACACAGGAAAAATGATCAGATATGTGCTGGACTACTCAGTGTGACACTGGAAACTAGAAGGTAGTAAAATAACATCTACACATTGCTAAAAGAAGAACTGTACTTATTCCTAGACAAAATATAACTCAATTGTTAATGATGAAAGCAAGATATTTGCAGATATGCAGGAATTCAGTCCTCTATTAGATAGAAGAAAGTTCTCAGTAAAGGGTTCTTCCCAAATAATTTCCAACAGAGATTTGAAGATGGGACAGAAGAAGAGAAAATAATGGTGAGCAAATTTATCTCACAATCTAATTTATTGAATCTAAATGGGTAGTAGTCGAGCGACTGTATTCAGCACATTCCTTGGTCCTCTGCATTTCCTGAAAATCTGCAGCTGATCCAGAAGCTTGATTAGGTTTTATTCTTGTCTCTGTGTCAAGTGATAATTTTGTTCTTTTAGTGGGAGGCACATGATTTCTGATTGTAAAGGCAACAGCCATCAGTACTCAATTCTAGATCAAATAATTTATTGAACGTTGGAAAATTGGTGATATTCTATCATTTTTCATTTATATCTAAAACACATGTTTTATATGAGACATTTGGTTACTCAGTTCATATAGAAAAGGCAAAGATAAATGTTTGATTTCCCTCTTTGTCAGTGTACAAGATAATGAATTGGTTCTCTATAACCTTTTGGAGGTGGAAGAGAATATCTCATTATCAGCTTGTATAATTCAATATGTAGGATAGCTTTCAATCTGTTACAATTATTATCTTTATTGGAGCTCAAATTGTCTCATTTTTGGCCAATAAGAGCAAAGATGGTCCTTGAGTCCTTAGACATGACCCTGTTTATCTTTGGTAAAGAAAGAAACAGTATTTTTTGTTTTGCTTTGCTTTGCTAAAAAACTTCAAAATGTTGTCTGCAAAGGTGGATTTTAGGGATCCATTCATTTTGCAAAGGTGGATTTTAGGGATCCATTCATTTCTTTGGATATTGGGTAGTTAGTATGATCTTTGATGTAGTTTGTTTGCAGATATGCCTTAGACTTTGTATTACTTGCAAAGAATAATGGTTTTATTTTTTAGTATATGTGGAGATTCAAGAAAAATCAGCATTTCCCAGCAACAGATGTAGAAGCATAAATTAAAATGGTTTGTTCAATTAATAAAAATTTGAATGGCTGAAGCTAGTTGGCTCAGTGGATAGAGCATCGGCCTGTGGTCTGTGAGGGGTCCTGGGTTCAATTGTGGTCGAGGGCATGTGCCTTGGTTGTGGGCATATCCCCACTGAGGAGTGTGCAGAAGGCAGCTGATCGATGTTTCTTTCTCATCGATGTTTCTAACTCTTTATCCCTCTTTCTTCATCTCTGTAGAAAATCAATAAAATATATTTAAAAAAATTTATTTGAATGTTTATTTTGGATCAATCTCCACAGTAAGAAATCTTGGTAATTCAAACAATTCACAAAAATGCCTATTTAAAATTTCAATAAAATGAGTTGCAAGGATTGATTTTAAACTATTTTTTTCTTTCAGATCTGTCACGAAATCGCCTCTCAGAAATTCCCATAGAAACATGTCATTTTGTTTCTCTTGAGAATCTCAACTTATACCAAAATTGTATTCGATATATACCAGAGGCAATTCTAAACCTACAAGCTCTAACATTCTTAAATATTAGGTAAGATGTTGTTGTTGTTTAATATTTGATTTTATGTGACCTTTTCAATTTTTTGCTTCTTACTAAAGTTTACATTATCTTTTAATATCAACAGTTTCTATACATGTTCATTCTTAGGCTAAATTAACAGTATTTCCTGTGTCCTTCTAGTTTCTCCCTCTCTTTGCAATAATTGACAAACTCTAATATTCATTAGCCTAGTAGGCTTGCAGTGTTTCTCCAAATAACTTCGTTTGGTTCTTGTGATTATATATTTTTATGAATTCAGTTCTGAATGTATAATTGCATTTCAACTCATGTACTTACTCCATTTTTTCACATTTTATGGAATTCTTTTGTTATTTTATAAGTTTTATTGGAGAAAATGAGCAAATGAAATATCCTTTGGAAATACGTTTATATGTAATCATTTTATTATACAGTTTACATAATTCTAAAACTCATTTTGCATCTTCATATATACTGTAATGGTTAGGAGGGAAATATACCCTATTTTTAAATAATTTTTTCTTAATATAAAATAACTTCAATAAAATAATATGTTGTATTTATATAGCACTTTATTATCTATAAAGGTGTTTTATGGTATAAGGTAGAGGAGAAGTTAGATTCTCAATTTACAAATAGGTCTATAAAAGATGCATATAGGTTAAATGCTATTCCTAAAAATTACAAAGCTGACAAGTGAGGAAATGTAGGCCACAACTCAAATCTTGAATTCTATTTGTTCCTTGCAAGACTTATATTTGTTATTTTACTGTGTATAGAATGGGAAAGATGGACATTTTTTTCTTGAGTAATGGGCTCTGAATCTTCTTTTTTTTCCCTGCTTACCCATTTTAGTCGGAACCAACTGTCAACACTGCCAGTACATTTGTGTAATTTACCATTGAAAGTCTTAATTGCTAGTAATAATAAATTGGTCTCCCTTCCAGAAGAAATTGGACATCTCAGACATTTAACAGAACTTGTAAGTTAATATTTTATTTTTTTATTGTCCCACATAACCATAGAAATACCCTGTTCTTTTATGTGGTATAGATCCATTATTGCCGTGTATTTTTTAGTTATTTCGAAGTATTAATAATGAAGTTTTATTGATTGTTCAGTACTCAAGGGCTTCAGTACAGAATGAAGAAGAAACTGAACGTACAAGTCTGACAGGCTCACATGGAATGGGGAAAGGTCATTAAATTAGGTTCTAATCAATATTAAGGATTTCTGTTATTAAATTTTTGAGGTATAAGTATTAAATCTTGTTAATATCAATATTCTGATTTTTGGTTAACCCCCATTGGTAAATGGATACTATAGAGGTCAGGCTTACCTTTTTTTCCTTCTATCTTTAGAACCTATCTCCCATTCTAAAGTAAGCTATCCTTTCATATATATGAAAGGATATATATATTGATATTGATTTCAGACAAGAAGGGAGAGGGAGAGAGAGATAGAAACATCAATGATGAGAGAGTATCATTGATCGGTTGCCTTCTGCATGCTCCACTCTAGGGATTGAGTCTGCATCATGGGCATATGCCCTGACCAGGAATCTAACCGTGACCTCCTAGTTCATAGGTCAATGCTCAACCACTGAGCCAGTCGGCTGGGCAAGCTATTCATATATATATATATATATATATATATATATATATATATATATATAATTATTATTATTTATTTATTTTTTTTATTGATTTTGTACAGAGAGGAAGGGAGAGAGATAGAAACATCGATGAGAAAGAGTTATTGATCAGCTGCCTCTTGCACACCCCCCACTGGGGATATGCCCACAACCAAGGTACATGCCCTTGACCAGAATCGAACCCGGGACCCCTCAGTCCCCAAGCCGACGCTCTATCCACTGAGCCAAACCGGTCTTGGCCAGGCAAGCTATTCTTTACTGCCTTCTATTTCTGAGAACTTTAACCCTACCTACCACTCCTTGTTACTCTTGAGTACTTTTGTTATGGGCATGGCAATAAGACTTTTCTCTTTTAATCACCAGGTTACATTATTAATTGAATTCTATAATTATCGTATTGCAATTGAGCGAACTAGCACTCAGATAGGATAAGGCCAAGGTTCCATAATTGAAGTAGAATTTGAAGCCACTCTACCTTAACTCCAAAGCCATGTTTCACATTTCTGAAATGGTCAGATGCAGTTATGCCCATTGAGATTTGGGAGTATAGTTCCATGTACTTTTATTAATAATAAAGATGAACTTCACAAAAAACAAACACTATACACATATACTCTAATTGGACTTCATATTAGCTAACTTTTTCAGGTAGATTATGAATATAAAGGTCATGTAAAATCCACAAATATATTAAATCTAGAATCTTTATATTAGACCACTATTTATTTAGAGCCAGTTAGATCTAGGAAATAGTTTAAAATGTATGTTTGTTGGCATTTCTTCAGAGCTTGGGTTAATAACATGAACTAATAGTAAATTATACTCGTGATTGAAATTCTGATTTTCAAATCTATTTCTACTTATTGAATCCTCAATACTTAAAATATAGATATGTCTTACAAAAGGTACTTTCAGATTTCTACCAGAGTGGTGAGTTGATATCCTAGTTATACAAACAGCTTTTGGCAGAGAAACAATTAGTAAACTTAAACTTACCCATTTATACTTGATGGTCTTTCTGCACCATTCTTATTCGTTTCTGAGTGAGAGTAAATTGTCTTTCAACATATATATTTTCTGAAGGAAATATTATAGATTGCTATTATCTCTGGCTCAGGCTCAATTTTTCGACCCTTTTAATTTCTTTTAGAGTTCTTTTAACTTTTATGCCTAGAGTATTGGATTAAGAAGTCTAGCTTTTGATTCTACTTCTGTCACTAATTGATAGAAAAATAAAAGTAAAATTAATTTTTCTAAAAATGTTTTGGGAAAATTTAAAAATAATATTTGAAGCTTGTTGAATTTTTTGATAAGTGGTCTTTTCTAATAGTAAGTCTTTTAATATACTTTTTACTTCTATATTGGAGGAATTTTAGGTGTTAATGTGGCATCTTGGTAATTAATAACCTAGGCAGCTTCTTGATGCTACACATGGGTGTATAAATTATACTGGTTGGTCTCAGAATTATGTAATCCTGGATATATCAGGATTAGAACCTAAAGTCATCTCATTTTAGAACCAGTGGAATCAGAATCAAGCTATTACCAAGATACCAGAAGGCCTACCATATATATATATATATATATATATATATATATATATATATATATATGTATATGTATATATATGAATGAACCAGGTTCATCAGATGCTAATAAAGCATTATATTTCCATATTTTTTTGAGTTATGTGTACTTTGTCATTTCCTCCTCACTTTGAATTTGATAAGAAATGATATGAGTCATCTTCAGAGTATCTTTATCTTATACTAGGTGCCCAGTGCACAAAATTTGTGCACTCAGGGGCGGGGGCCTCAGCCTGGCCTGCACCCTCTTGTAGTCTAGGAGCCCTCGGGGATGTCCAGCTGCCATTGAGGCAGGAGAGGCTCCAGCCACCGCCGCTGCGCTCACCAATCATGAGCCCAGCTTCTGGATGAGCGGCACTCCCCCTGTGAGAGTGCATTGACCACTAGGGGGCATCTGCATTGAGCGCCTGCCCCTGGAGGTCAGTGCACATCATAGCGATTGGTTGTCCCACTGTTTGGTCAATTTGCATATTAGCCTTTTATTATATAGGATTCTTGACCAGTTGAACTGGTATTTTAAAAATAGGATTTTTTAAAAATGTATGTGGATTTTTTATTTTTTAAATTGATTTAAGAGAGGAAGGGGGAGAGAGAGAGAAAGATTGCTTTGTTGTTCCACTTACACATTCTGTATATGCCTTGACTGGAGATCGATCCTGTAATCTTGGCATATCAATCTGATGCTCTAACCAACTGAACTAGCTGACTAGGACTTGAAAATAGGGGGACTCTTTCCCCTTCCCCATGTGGGAATCTGTACTTATTCTTCAATAAATCTCCACCTTTGCTATACCATCTTCTGTCTGGATTTATCCTTTGACTCCAGATCCAGTCCACAAATTCCATATCATAAATGACAGTAAGCCAGGGCAAGTGGAATAGGGAAACTACGATGGTTAAATAGCAGTTTGGAGCCATCAAGTAAATCCTATCTCCCCTAAAACAAGGACACTTAAAAGTAAATGATTTTCTCTAATCAGTTTGGCTCAGTGACTAGAGCATCGGCCTGTGGCCTGTAGGGTCCCAGGTTTGATTTCAGTCAAGGGCAACAACCAGGGTTGGGGCTCAATCCCCAGTGTGGAGTGTGCAAGAGGCAAAGGCAATCAATCAATGATTCTCTCTTAGGATTGATGTTTTTTAACTCTCCTCCCTTCTCTCTGAAATAAAAAAAAACATTTATTTTTTAAAAAGGATATTCTTTCAAATAATTTTATCATAATTTTTATAATTTTTTCTTCTAGCTTTATTAGAACAATATAAAATAAAATATTGTCCTATATTGATGTATTTGTACTTTTTCTTTTTTTACCTTTTTCACCTGTATTTTTATTGATCTGATATTCTATGCCTATCTGCTTCTTAAAACATTTAATTTTAATTCTCATAAAATTAATTAGGTATATGTAAAATGTGTAGAATCAATCAGAAGACTGCATTTTTATAATTAATAGTAAATGCTTTTACAAACTGCAGAATTATTCTTGGACACTGAGTCATAATTTTTTATAACAAGGAGGAACTGCAACCTTATTTTCCAACCTCATTTTACAGGTTGTTTAAACCAGGCAAGTTTGGAATTTTAGAATAATTCTTTATTTTGTATCTTTTTTAAATAGGATGTGAGCTGCAATGAAATTCAAACAATACCTTCTCAAATTGGTAATTTGGAGGCCTTGAGAGACCTTAACCTCAGAAGAAATCACTTAGTACGTTTGCCAGAAGGTAAAAAACTGTGAAATAATTGTTTTATTATTATTTGTCTTTTTATTTTAAAGATCACTGAGACTGATGGGCATAAGACAAAAATGTATTGAGTTACGGCCAATATTTGAGATGTAATGGTTGACTTAATGTTATCTCTTCCATTGTGAATTTTATTTTATTTTCCCCCCAACATTTTTATTTCTTTATGTTGAAAAATTTAAAGAAATATAGAAAACTATAAACATACTTGTACTCACCAACCAGAAATAAAAGATGTTAGTTTTGTTACATATGCTTCGTAATTTTTTGAAATAAATTTAACTCTTAGTATTTATAGTAAAAGTCGCATTCTATATATATGCATATATACACAAAATATTTAATTTCTTACAACAGTTTTTATCAACTTGCAACCATTTCTCATTTTACAGTAAAGTAATGATCTGATGGATTCACTGGTCCATTGTCACTTCTATCAAGTGACTAAACTAGGAATCTTTGATTATGAGGTTCTATACTCGCACTCTAGCTTGATTTTTTAAAATTAAATCTTTATTGTTCAGATTATTATAGTTGTTCCTCTACCCCCCCTCTTCCCCGTATAGCTTCCTTCTACCCAGTATGATGATATGCCATAGTATGAGTATTTTTACTTGGGGGGGCCTCTTTTCAAACCAGACAGTCACATCATTCGTTCTGGAAAATTGTCTTACATCTTTTTTTCTTAAGTACTTATTTTTAAAATTATCATACAGTAAAATTGACTTCTTAGGGGGGTATAGTACAGTTCTATGAATTTTAACTTATTTTTTAATGCAACCACCACCACAATCAAGATACCTAATCCCATCACTTCAAAAAAAAGCTCCTTTTTTAAAATTAAACTCACTCTTCACCTCCTGTTTTGTTCTCCATCCCTATAGTTTATCTTTTCTAAAATGTCAGATAAATGGAATCATATATACATTTTCATGTTGATTTCTTTCACCCAATTTGAAACCTTTCCATGTTTGTTTTTTTCACTTTTCAGAAAATTTCCTTTCTTCTTTGTGCGTTAATTGAGCAGTAATACATTTTAGCTTATCATGCAGTCACAATTCGATTCCTAGCTTTAAGGAAGTTAATAAAATATCTTGAAGGGTTTTTACCAGGAGTGAAAAGTGAGATACCTTGCAGCTCCTGGTAGTCAGGTCACAGGTTTTTTTGTTTTTTTTGTAATGGATCTTGGTTCTGTTCCTACAGTATGGAAACCTGTGTACCTCTAACTTGTTCTTTATACAGACTATCATCTAATCCCTTTGTTATCCCCATCTTTCAATGATATCAGGCCTTCAATTTTCTGTAGTTCTGTGAGGAGTCATACAGCTTGCTTTTCATTAGTATTCCTGTCTGTATCATCTAGATTTCATTTTATACCACTTTCCTATGTCACTTAATCACTAAGAAAAAATGGAAGTAAATACTTATTTTAAATCCACTATATTTAGCTTGAAGCTCCTGTCAAAATTGTCTTGTTTTGAAGTATCATTAATTGTTCATTTCCATTTTATCTCTTTGCAGAGCTGGCAGAGTTGCCTTTGATACGGTTAGACTTCTCCTGCAATAAAATTACAACAATCCCTGTTTGTTATCGGAACCTCAAGCACCTACAGATGATTGCCCTAGATAACAATCCACTACAGTCGCCTCCTGCACAGGTAAACCATTGCTTATTTGAAGTATGTTATGAACTTTCTTGGCAAAGAATAAAACTTTATACATTTGTTATATGAATTAGTCTTTCTGTTGGAAATTAAGTTCTTTTAAAATAAATGCACACACTTATGTATTCATTAGAAGCCATGACTGAACAGTGTGGAAGGTAGGTACAGTAGGTACAGTGTCCAGAAGTGTTTTTCCTTTCATTAAACTGATCTTCTAAAAAACTTGTAGGCCCTAACCAGTTTTGCCCAGTGGATAGAGCATCAGCTTTTGGATTAAAAGATCCCAGGTTTGATTCCAGTCAAGGGCATGTACCTTGGTTGTGAGCACATTCCCAGTAAGAGGTGTGCAGGAGGCAGCTGATTGATGTTTCTCTCTTATCTATGTTTCTAACTGTCTATCCCTCTCCCTTCCTCTCTGTAAAAAAATCAATAATATATATTTTTAATTAAAAAAATAAAAAATAAAGTTATTTCCAATAAAATTTGAGTTAATTTTTTTAAATAAAATTTGAATGTGTATAATACAATGTACGTAAATGCTAGAGACAAATAAGAATACTTAGCTTTCAGAACTAATGACTATAGGTGCATCTCTTCTTACCGGTGTTATTATACCTTCCTGTTTTCTAAAATCTTCAATTCCTTTATTTAGTTTGGTCATTCGCTAAGCAATTATTTGAATGAGTCTATTTTAAATAAAGTAATTATGGGTAGTGTTACATATATATTCTAAACATCATACAATCTAAAAAATACCAACCAGTAGCTTTTTTTACTCTACAATCAACTGATGGTACAAGCCTCTGCCTAGCAACTATGAAACTTTATGAGTAAACATCAAAACTATAGAAGGGTCTTATAATCCGAAAGAATTTGTGTTTTGACTTCTGGGACAAAAGCCAACAGGTAGCAACAGAAATATTCTGTATATATAGCTTAATATTTAAACATTTCCTGCTTTTCTTCCTGACAGAATGTACAATAGAGAACATAATAGTACATGATTGTTGGATTACTAAAAGCAAATATAATTCATGTGGGAGCAATGCTTTAAATTCCTGACAATGCCTAACTAATAATAAGTTTATTTCATATTGTTTGTAATCATAAATTATTTTATATGTTACTTAGAGTTATTAGTATCTAGAAAATAGAATCTATATTTTTATCATTTAAATGCCTAAAATAACAAATAATGTAATTTGTTAAAATTAGTGTTAGATTTTTAGTATTTGTACTTAATAGAAATGTCTTCTGTTTCCAGTATACATTAAGTAAAAAGCTGATTGTGATTAAAAAAAGGGACACATTTCAGATGAGTAACAATTTGATTGCATGTGTGTGTTACTTTATTTAGATATGCATAAAAGGCAAAATTCACATATTTAAGTACCTGAACATACAAGCTTGTAAGATTGCTCCAGATCTGCCAGATTATGATAGGAGACCCTTGGGTTTTGGCTCCTGGTGAGTATGTTCTTTTATTATTATTATTATCATATTCCATCTCACAAGAAATAAAATATACTAGACCCTTAAATCTTCCTGAATGTTTGACTATAAGGAAATGACCTATTTTGACACTATTTTTCTCAGAATACTTATATTCAGTAAAATGTCAATTAGTTCTGTATGGCAAATTATAGCTCTAATCAGGGTTTCTCAACCTCAACACTGTTTGTTATTTTGGGCCAGATAATTCTTTGTTGCGAGGAGCTGTCCTATACATTGGAAGATATTTAGCAGTATCCCTGGTTCTATTTTACTCTCCCAGTAGGACAAACAAAAATGTCCCCAGACATTGCCAAATATCCCTTGGGGGGCGGGAGAGGGTAGAGGGGTCTGTAATTGAAAACCATTGGTCTGAGTGATTTGAATATTAACCTAGCTCTGCTCTTAACTAGCTCTGTGATTTAGGCAAATCTCTCAAACTTTTTGTGCTTCATTTTTCCTATAGGGAGTGAAGAGATTGGATTTGTTGTCACTTTGGGATCTAAAAAAATCAATTAAAGAAAAGATGTACAAAAAATAAAAATAGCTTTTATTTTATATATACTAATTGATTGTCTCCCTTGGATTTAGTAATTTTTGCTAAGATAAAGTTTTCCCCTTGTGAAATAACAGAATAGGAACATTAAACTGCTACTCTACCTTTGAAATTTGAGTGTAAGACAATTAATAGGGCGTCCTGATAGCTCTAGGTGAGGGTATGCCTAAAGAGCTAAGGAGGAGCATCGGCACCTATATGAATAATGAGCTTTAGCTAAGGGCTGAGTGCTGATTGTACACTCTGTGATTCTGTCTTTTGTCTTAGCCCAATTTTTTTTTTTTTTACTATAGCAATCATCAGATTACTTTAAAAACATACATAAAAAACAACAATAACTACTCAACAAGAGACTTACATCTTTCTAAGAGATAAAAGAAACCTTGGATCAATGGAGAAACCTTTCTTAAATGCAAAGTCTAGATAGCATAAATATGTCTTGTCTCTCCAAAGCAGATATGATACTTTATTTGTAATGGTTTCACAATTTGCTAGAAAATTTAAATATAAATATATGTGTACTAGAGGCTCGGTGCATGAAATTTATGCACAGGTGAGGTCCCTAGGCCTGGCCAGCCATAAGGGTTGGGCTGATCGGGGTTTGCTAGCCAGGGGGAGGGACAGGGAATGGGAGGTTGGCCTCCGGCCCCAAGGAAGGAGCCAGCCCTCGGCCCCTATGGGAAAGGGGCCACATCCACCACCACCCACCCCTGGTTCCCCATCCCAGTCCAGGAGGCTACGGTCACTGGATCAGACACTGATGCCGGAACCCCACCACCACACGATTCCTGGCCTCCTGCTCTCCTCCTTCCCTAGCCACCGTGCTGCCACTAGGGCCTGCCGGCTAGTGGGGAGGAACAGGGCATGGGAGTTTGGCTGCCAGCCCTCCTGAGAAAGGGGCCCGGGGCCCTGTCCACCGCCACCCCCCCACCCCCCCACCCCCAGTTTCCCATCCCAGCCTGAGGCCCAGCCCCAATTGGGTGATCAGGGTGGTGGTGGGAAGGGACCAGAGGAGGTTGACCAGCCGGTGGGAAGGACCATGGGAGGTTGGCTGGTGGGGGGAGGTTGGCTGTGGGAGTGCACTGACCACCAGTGGGCAGCTCTGAATATAAGTATTCTGAGAAAAATAGTGTCATATAATTTGTGACACTATTATATGACCACCCTTGGTGGTCAGTGCGCATCATAGCTACTGGTTGTTCCTGTCATTCTGGTTGTTCCGGTTGCTTAGGCTTTTGTATACTTAGATAATTTATATATTTACATATACATAAAATATTTCCTTGAACTCCTCATGCAACAGTGAATGAGATATTATACCTTCATATCTTTCTCACTGGGGTACAGATTAGTAAAATTGCATTGTAATTTATTCAAAATAAACAAGCAAGGCATCTAATGAACAAAATAAACTGATGAATAAAATAGAACCAACAGCATGGAACAGACTGATGAATCTCAGAGGGGAGAAGGGTGGTGGTGGGTGGCAGGAAGAGATTAACCAAAGAATTTATATACATACTAGAGGCCTGGTGCATGGATTTGTGCACCAGTGAGATCCCTTGGTGTGGCCTGCAGGGATCGAGCTGAAACTGGCAGTCCAACACCGCCTGCTGTTTCCGCCTGCTGCTCCACTCATCCCAGCCCCACTGCACCTGCCTCAGGCTTGCACCCAGTCAATCCTGACCAGGAGAGGCTCACACTGCCACAGGGGTGCTCGCCAGCCATGAGCCCTGCCCCTTGTGCCCGTTGGTCAGCTGAGCTGCAGTCCCACTGTGGTAGTGCACTGACCACCAGGGGGCAGCCCCTGCAATGAGTGTCTGACCCATTGTGGTCAGTGTGCATCATAGCATAGCCCAACTTAGGCTTTTATATATATAGATATCCATTACCTATGGACACAGACAATAGGGTGGTGAAAACCTGGGGCAAGGCAGGAACCAGGTGGTGGGGGCAATGGATAGAAAAAAGGGGGACATCTATAATACTTTCAACAATAAAGATTTTTTTTAAAAGATCATTGACGTTACATTTTAAAATGGGCAAAAGAGCCTGGCTGGTGTTGCTCAGTGGTTGAGCATGGATCCATGAACCAAGAGGTCCCTGGTTCAGTTCCCAGTCAGGGCACTTACTAGGGTTGAGGGCTCGATCCTCAGTGGGGAGCATGAAAGTGGCAGCTGTTATCTCTCTCTCATTGATGTTCCTCTTTATATATCCCTCTCCCTTCCTCTCTAAAATCTTAAAAAAGTGTTTAAAAAAGAATAATAAAAAAGGCAAAAGATTTAAACATTTCACAAAAGAAGATAAATAATGACCAGTAACCACATAAGAAGATACTCAGTATCACTAGTCATGAGAAAAATACAAATTAAAACCATAATGAGATAATACTTTACCTCCATCAGAACATCTGAAATTAGAGTGACAATACAAATGTTTGCAGCTTGAACTCAAATACGTTGTTAGTGAGTCTGCAAAATGATATAGTTCCTTTTGAAAACAGATTAGCAGGGTGTTGTTGTTTTTTAAGTTAAACCTACACTTACATTATCCATTCATTCACTCCAGGATATTAAAAACATCAATATTTTCACTGTCATGATGCTGAATTTTAAAAAAGTATATATAATTTCATTTTTATGAGTGCCACAATAAGAAAAACTAATTGTATTATTTTTCTACTACTGCATAGCAACCAACCAAAATTTCAGAGGTTTAAACAAGACATATTAGTTATCGTACAGTTCTGTAGGTCAGAAGTCTAAATATTGGTCTCCTCAGGATACTGGCAAAGCTTCATTTTCTTCTGTAGGCTCTCAGTAGGGTGCATGTTATTGCCTTTTTGAATGTTTAGGGGCTGTCTGCATTTCTGCTCTTGGCCCCCCTTTCTCCATCTTCAAGTCAGTGTTACACCACTATGACCTCCTCTTCTGCCTCCCTCTTCAACTTTTAAGGACCCTTGTGATTCCAGTGAAAACCCTTTCAGATAATTCAAAATAATCCTCCTATTTTAAGGTCAACCAATTAGCAATCATATTTCTATCTGTAACTGTAATTCCCCTTTGCCATGTAAAGTACAGGTTCTAAGGATAAAATCTTGGGCATCTTTGCAGACCATTAATGTAAGGTGAAAAAAATCAAAATGTTGATTACACACAGTGGTGTGGTGAGAAAAAATGAAAGGGATGGATGTGTGGCAATTTTCTGGCAAAATAGAAATATCCTATAACATGATAGAGGTATATGTTATTTTTTAAATTTCCTTATTGATTAAGATATTACATATTTGTCCTCATCCCCCTATTCCCATATCAAACCCCTCCCCACACATGTCCCCATTCCCTTATTGTCTATGACCACCAGTTAGGCTTATATGCACGCACACAAGTCCTTTGGTTAATCTCTTTCCAAAGTATGTTATTATAAAGATGTATTTATTTGTCAAAAGTACACAGCAAAGGTGAGTGTATTTCAATGTATGTAAGAGTACTATTAAAAGTAAAAGCAAATAACAGGGGCATTGGGAATGGATGGAGGAATAGATGAAACAAGGATGGCAGGATGTTATTTTTGAAGCTGGTAACAAGTACCTGGGAGCTCATTATTCTGTTTACTCTGTTTTAATTTGGGATTTTTCATATTAAAAAATTAAAAGAATATTCATTTAGTTCTAAATAGTTAAGTTTCTAAAAGCCATGAAAATGTTTATTTGTAAAATTGAATATAATTTATTTCAAATGTTAATTTTAAAATATCAAACTTTGCAGTAATAACTAATGTCTCTTTTTTGGCAGTCACGAAGAACTATACTCAGGTCGCCCTTATGGAGCCCTTGATTCAGGTTTCAATAGTGTTGACAGTGGTGATAAGAGATGGTCAGGGAACGAAGTAAGTGTTTATTCTGTTCTGCATGCTATAATTCCTGATTAAGAGAAAATCAAATGATGAAAATGAAAAGTTTCTTAGTTGGGTTCAATTTCTTATTACATAAAGTATACAGAAAAAAAACAAAGGAAGGGTATAAATTCCATATAGTCATACCATCCAAAAATTGTTTCTTCATTATCTTTTTACCATGTGTGTTTTACATGTGTTTTTTTTTTTTTTTTTAATATATATTTTACTGATTTTACACAGAGAGGAATTGAGAGGGATAGAGAGTTAGAAACATCGATGAGAGAGAAACATCAACCAGCTACCTCTGGCACACTCCTCACTGGGGATGTGCTTGCAACCAAGGTACGGGCTCTTGACCGGATTCGAACTCGGGACCTTTCAGTCCGCAAGCTGACACTCTATCCACAGAGCCAAACCGGTTTTGGCATGTTTCACATGTTTGTTACCTGGCCAACTCTCCCGCCTCTGAGGCAGTCGGACATCCCTCAAAGGCTCCCAGACTGAGAGGGTGCAGGCCGGGCTAAGGGACCCCTCTCACTCCACAAGTGCATGAATTTCGTGCACCGGGCCTCCAGTAGATGTAAATACTTTAAGTTCATGTACATATGTGTACAGGATGGAGCAAATGAAGGTTTACAGCTGTGAGACACCAAACACAGACTTTACATTTCTACTATAGGCCCGGGGCATGGGTTTGTGCACCAGTGGCATCCCTTGGTTTGGCCTGCGCCCTCTCACAATCTAGGACCCATTGGGGGATATTGGACTGCTGATTTCGGCCTAATTCCTGCAGGCCAAGGGACCCTACCGGTGCATGAACCTGTGCACCAGGCCTCTAGTATGCATATAATCTCGCGCCCCCCCCCCTTCCCTCTGAGATTCAGCAATCTGTTTCATGTTTCCATGTCTATGCGTTGAGCATCTGCCCCCTGGTGGTCAGTGCGTATCATGGCTACCAGTCAAACAATTGAATGATCTCTTAGACTTTTATATATAGAGAGATTATTTATTAATTATTGAGTTATTTTCTATATGATCAGCTATAAACCTACTCCCCCCCCCACCCTATATTTATAGTCATACATACCCTTCTATATCACCTAAGGATATATTTTTTTATAGATCTGAGAGATAGAGAGAGAAACATTGATCTGAGAGAGAACCCAGGGATGGAACCCTCAACTTCAGTATATGCCCTGACAAGGAATCTAACTGGCAATCTTTTGGTTATATGGGATGATGCTCCAACCAGCTGAGCCACCAGCCAGGGCCATTTTAACCATTCCTAAGGTGCATTTTAGTGGCATCAAGTACATTCACATTGTTGAGAAACTTTCGCCACTATGCATTTCCAGAAATTTTTTCATAAATATAAATTTTCATGAGCTTATATTATGTCCAATACTTTTAAATATTTGGTAATCTAAAATGTGGAATGATATTTTTTAATATTTCTGCTATTTTTTTAAGCCTACAGATGAATTTTCAGATCTACCTCTTCGAGTAGCAGAAATTACTAAAGAACAAAGACTACGGAGAGAAAATCAGTACCAAGAGAATCGAGGCAGTGTAGTAGTAGCAAATGGAGGTAAATATAATTCCTGATGACATTTGAAGTCTTTAGAATTATTCTAAAAAATCTTCTTTTTCACACCTACTCCTTTGGTTTGTGTATCTATAATTTCTTCAGCTCTCCTCTTAAAAGACTCTCTTATATGATTGGGGGGGAAATGTTTTCTGTTGGGATTAAATTTCAATTTCTCTGAATTTCCAGGCTTTCAGTTAGAATACGGAGCTTCCCTCTTTATTTTGGGAGGAAACTTTATCAACGACAGTTTATCTGGATTAGATTTTTGTTAATCTTAATTTAATCAGAATTTTCTTTGAAGTACTACTAGTCTCCTTTCAAAGATTCTTTTTGTGGTTATTACTTTACCTCTTTTAGGAATTCACTGTTATTCTTCATGACCTTTTCCTTCATCTGGAATTGTGCTCTTCAAGGGCATCTGAATCTGAGTCATCTTTATTCTGATATTTTAATATTTGTGATTTTAAATTGTATAATTGTTTTTATAGTTCATCAGCAGACAGAACTCTTTTTGCTTGTATTTCTGTGGCAGACTTGATTTTTGTATTCTACTCAATATTGCTTTAATTTGAATTTTTAAATTTTGATGGTTAGCCATAAGGGAAAAATGACTTTGATTTTCCAGAAACCCATTGTATTCTCTGAGAAGAGGTTTAATCTCTGATTCATTATTTTAATTAAGTGATTTGCTGTCTTTTTTTCCTACCATTTTATATTCTTTTTTTTACTCTTGTTATTTAGCATTTCATTTATATTTTGGTAGTTTTCTTTTTAATCTTGCTTGTATATGTAATAGTCTTTCTCATTGATTCATTTCAGCCTTAATGTCTATATCTTTGCTGTCCAATATAGTAGGCATTAGTCACATGTGGTTATTGAGTATTTGAAATGTGACTTTTCTAAATGGAGATGTACTATAAGTTTATTTATTTATTTATTTATTTATTTTAAAATATATTTTTTCAGAAGATCCTCTTGGTAGACAAAAATACATAATCACTATATCTGGACTGATAGCCAGCCATATGCATTATACTGCCAAACCAGTCATTAAAAAATTGAACCACTTTCTTATACCTTACACCAAACAGCTGTTGCCCTTAAAACTTCTCCTCAGCCCCCACCTTAGGTTCTGCCTTCACAGTTCACCCAGATTTGATCCTGATTGGTCAGTTTCTATGTCAGTCAGCGTCAAAAGCTCCACCTCCTAGGCAGCCATTGGCTCCTCGCAGTTCTCCCAGATTTGGTTCTGATTGGTTGGTTTCTATGCTAGTCAGTGTCTCCAGGCGTAGTCAGAGATGCAGGGCTGATCAGTCTTTGAGGCTGCTGGCAAGGCCCCGAGAGAAAGAGGCGTGGCTGCTAGTAAGACCTGGGAAGAAAGAGAGGCAAGGGCTGATCAAAGCTGCCACAGAGGCCGTAGCTCAGACCCCGCTTCCCTCTCCAGGCCCGGTCCGCAGCCGCCTCGGCAGTCAGTGCTGGGTCGCCACGCAGGCACTGACTGCAGGACTGACTTGCGTTGTTCAGTCATCCGTTTGGTCGTTTTGGACGTTATGGACCCTGGCTCTTTATAAATAGATATAATGATGTGATTTTATACTTTATTTTTATATTTCGCCTCACTCCAAAACATTAATAGAATAAAAAATTCCACAAATGATTTTCTTTTATCCACAAACTGCTGTAAAATATCTACAATGTTGACCTCTAGAAAATCATTTTTAAATCGAAAATCTTTGTTCTGGTTTTGGACAGCAGTTACAGGAAGGGAAAGAGTAGTCAGTATCTATTTCTTTATCTCCAGTTCTTTCTCTTTTCTTTTAAGTTGATTGTGTTAAGTTTTCTGCCTCCCACCTCTTCAAAGAGAGGTATGATTACACCCCAAATCTAAAACTTGGGGAAAGAACCTAAAATAAAATGTACCATCTGATGTTTAAAAATTATTCTTTCTGCCTTATCTGGTTTGGCTCAGTAGATAGAGCATCAGCTTGTGGACTGAAAGGTCCCAGATTCGATTCCAGTCAAGGGCATGGGGTTGCAGGTGCATCCCCAGTAGTGGATGTGCAGGAGGCAGCTGGTCAATGTTTCTCATCGATGTTTCTTTCTTTTTTTTAATATATTTTATTGATTTTTTACAGAGAGGAAGGGAAGAGAGATAGAGAGCTAGAAACATCAATGAGAGAGAAACATCTACCAGCTACCTCTTGCACACCCCCCTACTGGGGATGTGTCCACAACCAACGTACATGCTCCTGACTGGAATCGAACCTGGGACCTTTCAGTCCACAGACCGACGCTCTATCACTGAGCCAAACCGGTTTCGGCTCTCATCGATGTTTCTAACGCTCTATCCCTCTCCCTTCCTCTCTGTAAAAAAAAAAAAAAAAAAAAAAAAAGCAATAAAATATTTTAAAAAATAATAAAAAATAAAAATTAAACCAGTAAAGAGCTATCCAAGGAAAAAATAAATATTAGAGGTCTGTATTCTAATACTTATCAATTACTATATGCTTTAATGAATTAGGACTAAGATTTTTCTGGAGACTATTTTTGTAAGTGCCCATGGACTAATAATAAAGGTTTACATAATTTAAACTTCTCATTTCTTCCACTTTCAGAATAGAAAATGTTAGGGAAAAGGAAAAAATGGAAGGTAATGTCTTTGATTAACTATCTAATTTGAATTTTTTTTTTTTCTGATGTGTGTGTGATGTGGACAGTAGAACATGATCTGGATCAAATTGACTACATTGACAGCTGTACTGCAGAGGAAGAAGAGGATGAGGCGAGACAACGCAAGGGCCTGGACGCAGACAGCCTCAGTTCACAGTTTATGGCATATATTGAACAACGGCGAATCTCTCATGAGGTAGGACACATATTTAAGCCTATCTATGTTGCTACTCTCTAGTAAAAATAACTTATGGTAGTATAAATTTCTGTCTATCAGTGATTTGTTGGTTTGGGCCTTATTATTTGTTTTATTATGTTCAGTTCCAGTTTCATTACTGAAATTTTCAGACTTGTTTTTAAAAATCAGACAATAGTCTCAAATAGGGTTAGGTTTATTTTCTAAATAAAAAGATAGATTTCAGAATTTTTAAAAAAGAATTTAAAAAGTCCTAAGAGTATTCTATGCCTTTGAAATAAAGGCAAAGGAATGTGATGCTTTTAATTGTTGTTCTTACCGCTTTTTTATTGTTACATATTTTGATCAGTAACTAAGAATTGAACCAAACCGATGACTTTCAGAGCAACGTAGAAACTTAACCATAGAATTTGTATAACCGTAGAATTTGAGCTTAATGATATTGGAGCTTTTAATATCAGTCACACAGAATATAAATTGTTTGCCAATAAAATTCTTGGATGTCCCTTATACTGGAGCATTGAGTTGCTTTATAAAACAAACGAGCATTCAGTCCACTGCAAGGACTGTGCCAATTCCCAAAAGGTCTCAAATAGCATTCTTCAATAAATCTTGTCAGCATAATAAAATGGCTCCACTTTAGTTTGTGTGCTGTTAATGTCTGGTGTTCGTCCCAGGTTCTGAGCAGGGGGTATTGAATGTTGTCTCGTACACCAAAACATTGCAGGTTTGGGATCTGGGCACATACCTAGTTTTCAGGTTCGATCCACTTGGGCCTTTTTGGAGGATGATGAAATAGAGAATAATCATTTCAAGTGGGACATGTTAGGGAGTGCTATTATCATTCTTTTAAAAAATCCTTGCCGAAACCGGTTTGGTTCAGTGGATAGAGCGTCGGCCTGCAGACAGAAAGGTCCAGGTTTGATTCTGGTCAAGGGCATACATTGGTTGCGGGCACATCTCCAGTAGGGGGTGTGTAGGAGGCAGCTGGTCGATGTGTCTCTTTCATTGATGTTTCTGGCTTTCTGTCCTCCCTTCCTCTTGGTAAAAAATTAATAATATATATATTTAAAAAAAGAGCATAGGTATTTTTAAAAAATCCTTTGGTTTTCCTATCTGAAGGCTTTTGAACACAGTATTTTTGTTGTTATTCAGAAGGTACTCTTGTATTTAAAGTTGAATAAAGCTATATAAATCAGAGTCCTGCTGCCCAGAGATATCAGTGTGTTCGAGGTGATTAATGGAACTACTTGTGGTTCAGGCTATAAACATCCCTGCTAGAGCAACTACTTTATGATAAAGTTAAAACAACACTATACACTATAATCTTTTTTAAAAAATACGTTATTTATTTATTTTAGAGTGAGAGGAAGGAAGAGGAAGAGAGATAGAAACATTGATTAGAGAGAAACATTGACTGGCTGCCTTCTGCACTCCTCCATCTGGGGATATACCCTGACTGGGAATCAAACCAGCAACCTCCCAGTACATGGTTTGACGCTCAACCACTGAGCCATACCAGCTGGGCAACAATGCACACTACAATCTTAAAGGGAATCCTTTTTGTTTTCTTAAACTCGCTTTGATTATTTGATGGTTAATTGGACTGTATAAATGAGGTATCTCTACTAAAAGTGATAATGCCTATTACTCTGCTGGTGAAAAATTATAGTACCACTTCTTCAATCCATTATATTGGCCAGTTTGTAATAACATATTTTTAATTCTTGCTTCCTATTATGTATGGCAGTCTGTATGTCTGTCATAAGGCTCTTTATGACTTGTGTTTCATAAAGCTTTCTAAAATTTGGCATCTATAAAAATATGATGAAGCAACCCTGGCTTGTGTGGCTCCGTTCATTGAGTGTTGTCTCATACACCAAAACATTGCAGGTTTGGGATCTGGGCACATACCTAGTTTTCAGGTTCGATCCATGGTCAGGGTGCAACCTAATGATATTTCTCTCTCTCTCTCTCTCTCTCTCTCTCTCTCTCTCTCTCTCTCTCTCTCTTTCTCTCTCTCTCTTTCTTTCAAAGCAATTTAAAAGGAAAACATTTTTAATGTGATGAAGCAGTATTATTTTAGATGGCTTAATAACCAGTGAAGCCCTAGCCAATTTGGCTCAGTGGGTAGAGCGCCAGCCTGCGGACTGAAGGGTCCTGGGTTCGATTCTGGACAAGGGCACATACCTGGGTTGCGGGCTCAATCCCCAATATGGGGTGTACAGAAGGCATCCAATCAATGATTCTCTGTCATCATTGATGTTTCTTTCTCTCTCTCCCCCTCTCCCTTACTCTCTGAAATCAATAAAAATATATTTTAAAAAATAACCAGTGAAGCTTTTTTATGTTCTTGAATACTATCTGAAAATGGATTAAGATACTAATCTATTTGATATTTTAAACACTCTGCTATTACTTGATTTCATTATAAATCTATCACATATCTAGAAGTATGATAAAATAGGGTTTGACTTATAGAATATGACTTTTTAAAATTAAACCAATGTCATGTACATTTTGTTGTGAAATTTTCATCTGCCTCTTGGAATAATTTTAAATACTAATTGTAGTATAAAACAGTGATGAGTCACTGATGTTAACATACTGGAAGAGATTTTTGTTTATTTTTAAAGAATCCATATTTAGTAAAATTAGAATAATGATTCTCTCGTCAGGATTCTAAATTTATATTTCATTTTATGATTCTCATGCCCAGACTTTAAGGGAGTCAGCTTTAGTTAGCCATTTGGAATAACTCACCAAAGATATTCTAGTCATCTGTGATGTACCTATTTCCTGGAGCTAGACTAGTTTTACATTTAACTTTTAGCTACACTTTTTAGATAAGTTTTTTTTCCCCCTCAACAATATACATTTTTATGATTATTTTTGGTGTTGAAATAAGATTGTATTGCTTCTATAGATTTTCATTTGACAAAATACGTTGCTGTGATAACCTGCAAGTTTCTCCCTTTGCAATTGTTTTTTTTTAGTATGTGGCCCATATTACTTAAGTCAGTTTAATTTTCCTTAGTAATGTTTTTTGAAATTATCTTTACCCTTTAGTTTATAAATAAATTAAATTGCCAGTATTTCTCTTTTAATTAATATTTTGCCAAAAAAGAAATTACTTTTTTCTTTATCTTGATATCCCACCAACATCCCCAGGACTATATAGATGACAAACCTGAGTTACAATTGGTGATGATGAAAAATTAAAGAAATGTCATCTGCCAAATAGATTTTTTATTACTAGAAATATTCAAAAGAAGCTAAGTAAAAGTTAAGGCAGATTAGGTAGGAATTTCTGTGGATGGAAGTTTGTACTGGATGACCTCTAAGATCTTTTCCAATGCTAACATCTTACCATTAATTTATACTGCATGTCCACTATAATTTATATAATAGAGTGAGAAGGAAATCTACTTTATATATATATATATATATATATATATATATATATATATATATATATATATATTATTGAGTTTTTACAGAGAGGAAGAGAGAGGGATAGAGAGTTAGAAACATCGATGAGAGAGAAACATCTATCAGCTGCCTCTTGCACGCCCCCTACTGGGGATGGCTCGCAACCAAGGTACATGCCCTTGACCGGAATCGAACCTGGGACCTTTCAGCCCGCAGACCGACGCTCTATCCACTGAGCCAAACTGGTTTTGGCGAAATCTACTTTTTTGAAAATAAAATAAAACATTTTTGGATTATGAGTAGTTCTGTGTTTACCAAAGCAGTAAGATAGCCTATAATCCTTTAAACATAAATGTTCACATTTGAAATTTTTGTTATAATATTATAATATTTTTAGTTTCTAAAATAATATATTATTATTATTATTATTTTAATACTGTTCATATTATTACAAATGTTCCTCTTTCCTCCCCCCCTCCATTGCTCCCCTCCACCAGTTTCCCACCCCACCCTCTGCCCTTTCTCCACCCCCCATTGTCCTCATCCATAGGTGCATAGTTTATGTTCAGTCTCTTCCCACATCCTCCTCTCCCCTTTCCCCCAAGAATCATCAATTCACTCCCCTTCCATACCTCTGATTCTATTGTATTCAACAGTTAATATTGTTCATCAGTTGTTTCTTTTTAATTTCTTTGGTTTTTAGATTCACTTGTTGATAGTTACATATTTGTTGTTCATAATTTTTATCTTTATTTACTTTCTCTTCCGAAAGAACCCTCTTCAGCAATTCATATACGGTAATTCTGGCTTGGTGGTGATGAACTCCTTTAGCTTTTTTTTATTAGTGAATCTCTTTATCTGGCCTTCGATTCTGAATGATATCTTTGCTGGATAGATTATCTTTGGCTGTAGGTTCTTACTATTCATCACCTTGAATATTTCTTGCCATTCCCGTCTGGCCTGCATGGTTTCTGTTGAGAAATCAGCTGACAATCATATAGGTGCTCCTTTATAGGTAACTACCTGCTTTGTTCTTGCTCTTTTAATGTTCTCTCTTTGTCTTTTGCTCTTGGAATTTTAATTATGATTTGTCTTGGTGTGGTCTTCTTTGGATTCCTTTTATTTTGAGTTCTGTGCGCTTCCTCGACTTGTAAGTCTAATTCTTTCACCAGGTGGGGGAAGTTTTCTATCACTGTTTCTTTCAGTATGTTTTCGATATCTTGCTCTCTCTCATCTTCTGGGACCCCCATAATTCTGATGTTGTTTCGCTTGAAGTTGTCCCAGAGGTTTCTTACATTATTTTCAACTTTCTGGATTCTCTTGCCTTCTTGCTTCTGCGGAAGAGTGTCTTCTGGCTCTTTATGTTCCAAATCTTTGACTTGATTCTTGCGATCTTCCATTCTGTTTTTAGGACTCTGTATAATATTTTTTATTTCAGACAATGTATTCTTTATTTCTTGTTGATCCCTTATTGTTCTTGTTGATCCCTTATTATTTTTAGTTGATCCCTTTTCAAATCCTTATAGGTCTTATCGGCCTTTTCTAGGAAATTCTTGAAAAACCTTATAAGTGTGGTTTTGAACTCTATATCCAGTCTCTTTTTGTCCTCCATTTCTTTTGTTTGTGATCTGTTTCGTTGTTTTGGCATTTTCGCAGTTTCCCTGATGGGGGCAGTTTCCCTGATGGGGCGCAGTTTCAGGGTGGAGCCTATAGCCTTGGCTTCGGTCAGCCCCACCCTATGCGGCTCCTGAGTCTCAGTAATCCCCAGGGTCCTTCAGTACTCGTTGTAAGCACCTCTGAGAGAAAGGTGCCTTTGATTTTCACCTGCTACCAAACAGTCTAGGCTCTCCCCCAGTGAGCCTGGAATTGGGGTTCAGTTCAGTTGGAAGTGGAGTTGGAGGTGGTGTTCAGAGCAGTCCGGAGCTTTTGTCTCCTTCCCGCCAGGGCAATCCCAACCGTCCCTTCTCTGTGTGCAATGTGCGCGCCTCCGGGACCTCCTTTTGCTGTTCCCCTGGGGTTCTGCCTTACAGCCCAGCTCCCTTTGAATGAGCCTGGATCCCCGGGGTCTGGCCTAGAACTGGGGTTCAGAGCAGTCGGAACTTGGTCCCAGCACAGTCCGGAGCCCTTGTCTCCTTCCTGCTAGGGCAATCTGGCAGCAGAGTCAACAGTCCGTCCTCTGCATGCAATGTGTGCGCCTCCGGGGGCTCTGCCTTTCGACTCTCCCCTGGGATTCCGCCTCACAGCCCTGGCTCCCTCTATTTGAGCCTGGGTCCCCAGTGTCTGGCCTAGAACTGGAGTTCAGTGCAGTCGGGTCTGGGGTTCAGCACAGTCGGGGCTTTTATCTCCTTCCCGCTAGGGAACACCAGCCAGGCACTCAGCCGCCCCTCCTCTCTGGCTCCGTCCTCTCTGCGTACTGCGTGTCTCCGTATCTCAGGCTTTTACAGCTCCTCCGCGCTTCCTTCTGGTTTTCTCCTTGCTTCTCGTTGTAGAATTTCCAGTCAGTCGACTTTCCTATAGTTCTGGGTGATGTCCATTTTATATTTTAGATGTATTTTATTGAAATTGTTGTGTGCGCTGCGGCTAGATGTTTGCCTGTGCAGCCATCTTGGATTCTCCTGTGAGCCCGGTTTCTTCAAAAAAAAAAAAAAAAAAAAAAAAAAAAAAATATATATATATATATATATATATATATATATATATATATATATTCCTAAATGTCAAGTTGAATATGAACTGTGTAATCACGGTGTTCTGGATATATATTTAAATTGATTTATTTCTACTTTTTTGATGTAGAGTTCACCAATAAAGCCAGTACCCACGAGGGAGTTTCAAAAAACAGAAGACATAAGAAGATATTTATATCAAAACAGGTTTGAAAAACCAATTCTATTCATTTTTTTCTGTCCTAACACTCAATAAAAAGCATGAAATGATTTTAGTTTTATATAGATCTGTGTATAAAGAAGACATTTAGATACCGTGTGTTTTAGACACTCAGTATTTAGATCTGCATGATAATGTTCCTTTGTGCTCATGTAATAGCAAAACAAGTAAAATTGATTTATTGTTTCTAAATTCAGATTACCTAAAGCATTACCTAAACAATTATTTGATTTGAAGATACCATGTTTCTCTGAAAATAAGACATCCTCCAAAAATAAGACCTACTTATAGGTTTCCTTCTGAGTGAAATATAAGTCATCCCCCTGAAAATAAGGCCCCCCTAGGCTAAATATGAGAGATTTGGTCCACTGATTCTCAAAGAAATGGAGTCACAAGAAATTCACCAGGAAATTGGATTGTTATGATGATGTTCCAGAAGGTAATGACATGATTGTCATCGAATAAATGAGTAAATTCTTGAGACTGTAGGATTCAGTTTGTCTGGTTTGTGTTGACAATTACCGTACTACCGTACCGTATACAGGTAATAAATTTCCTTTATTTCATTTAACAATAAATGTGTACCGTATTCTACTTCATGAAAAAATAAGCCATCCCCTGAAAATAAGACCTAGCGCATCTTTGGGAGCAAAAATTAATATAAGACACTGTCTTATTTTCGGGGAAACAGGGTAGTTAATAAGGTGAGATTTTTGTGGTGACAATCTGGATTTATCCATAAAGAGAGCTAAATGAAATTCTTTGCCTTTGTTTTTTTTTTTCTTCCTCTTCGTTTTTATGAACTCCTAAAGCAGTAGGCTTGGCATACTTATTCTTTTTTTTTCTTTTTTTATATATATTTTTTATTGATTTTTTTTTTACAGAGAAGAAAGGAGAGGAATAGAGAGTTAGAAATATTGATAAGAGAGAAACATCAATCAGTTGCTTCCTGCACAACCCCTACTGGAGATGTACCCACAACCAAGATACATGCTCTTGACTGGAATCGAACCTGGGACCCTTGAGTCCGCAGGCTAACGCTCTATCTATTGAGCCAAACTGGTTAGGGCGGCATACCTAATCTTAAAACAATAGTATATTTAGTATGTCATACATAGTTCTTTACTTCTGCTTGACAGGATGTTATAGTTTAGGGCACTAAGATAGAGAGGGATAAAGAAAATGGGGAGACTAATTAAAGAAATGTATAACTTGGCCTTTTATAGTTTCATCAGTCAGTTCATAGTGATTTAAATTTTGTATCTTTGAAATTTATCTCAAAATGACTTTTTAGTTGCCATGTCTACTTCTACTGAGATGTAGTGTTCTAAGATTACAATTTAGGGATTTCCTATTACATTTTCCCATTTTGAATGGACCTAGACTCAATCTCCTGGCCATGTTAGTTCCTATATTCATCACAAGTAAAGCTCAATATCTCTAGGATTTAGTATAAACCCTCAAGGTGAAAACCAGCTTTTTAGCCCAGTTGCCTTGTGTAATGGTTTCTAATGCTTATGTAACAAATTACCATAAATTTAGCAACTTAAAACAGACCCATTTATTATATCACGATTCTGCCAGGTAAAAATCTGTATAGGATCTCCTTGGTTCTTTGCTTTGAGTCTCAAAAGGCTGAATCAAGGTATTACCTGGCCTGGATTCTTATCTGGAGACTCTGGAGGAGAATCCCTTTCCGAGATTATACAGGTTTTTGGCAGATTTCATTTCTGTGCGGTTGCAGACTAAGGTCCCATTACCTGGTTGGCTATCAGCTGGGAGTCACTTTCAGCTTCTAGAGTCCACCCACATTTCTTAGTTCATCGCTCCTTCTATATCAAGCCAGCAGCAATGGACCAAGTCCTTCTCACATTTTGAATCTCTGATTTCCCTTTCTGCTACATCTCACAAACTATGTTGCCTTGCTCTTCTTTAAGGGTCCATATGATTATATTAGGCCCACATGGGTAATCTCCCCATTTTAGGTCAGCTGATAAGTAACTTTAATTTCATCTGCAAAGTCCTTTCGATGTGCAATGTGTTCACTAGAGTAACACCAGATGTGGGGATAATAGGGGCCAAAAATCTGTATTAAACCTTAATCTAGAGTTCCTGTTTTTATTGATTTTTATAATCTGTGAATTCTTTTATTTTCATGGTACTTTAGCAGTGTGTTTTAAAATACTATTTTATTCAACATTTTAGTTGTTACCATTGGAAGAATTATTCAGAGTGTGTAATCTGTCACAGCTAGACACTGAAGCCATGATTATAATCCTCCCTCATCCACAGGGGATTGGTCCCAGGACCACTTCGGATTCCAAAATGTGCAAGTCTGAGTTTGCTCTCCGTATCCCCAGGTTCCACACTGGGAGATCCAACCAACCATGGATTTAAAATGTTAGTTGAGCCTGGCCAATGTGGCTCAGTGATTGAACGTTGACCCATGAACCAAGAGGTGACCAGTTTGATTCCTGGTCAGGACATGTGCCCGGGTTGTAGGCTCAATCCCAAATAGGGGGCACGAAAGAGTCTGCCAATCCATATTTCTGTCATCAGTGTTTCTGTCTCTCTTCCTCTCCCTTCCTCTCTATCTTAAAAAAAATTTTTTTTTCAATAAAAACATATATTTTTAAAATGTTGGTTGAATCCTGATGCAGAAACCACAGATAGACAGGGCCAACTATATTTTGAATTGTGTGTTTCCAATCACAAGATCTTAATATAGTCTTTGAATGGGAGCTCAATAACCAGTTAAGCTCTCAGATCAATGCATGCAGTTGACCCTTGAAAACCATGGGTTTGAACTGCACAGGTCCACTTATACATGTTTTTTTTTTTTTTTTTTTTTCCCCCTCAATAAATACCTATACTGTTTTTGATTCACATTTGGGGGTCCACTACACCATTTTATATAGGTGACATTAGTATCTGTGGATATTGGTATCGCTGGGGATGGGGGCTAGAGCCAGTTTGCCAGGGATACAAGGGACAGCTAAGTTTGGTGTGCAAAAGTTATACTCGGGCCGAAACCGGTTTGGCTCAGTGGAGAGAGCGTTGGCCTATGGACTGAAAGGTCCCAGGTTCAATTCTGGTCAAGGGCATGTTCCTTGGTTGCGGGCACATCTCCAGTAGGGGGTGTGCAAGAGGCAGCTGATGGATGACTCTCTCTCATCGAGTTTCTAACTCGCTATCTTTCTCCCTTCCTCTCTGTACAAGATCAATAAAATAAAAAAATAAAAAATAAAAAGTTATACTCGGGCCAAAACTGGTTTGGCTCAGTAGATAGAGTGTAGCCCTGCAGCCTGAAAGGTCCGGTCAAGGGCATGTACCTTGGTTGCGGGCACATCCGCAGTAGGGGGTGTGTAAAAGGCATCTGATCGGTGATTCTCTCTCCTCGATGTTTCTAGCTCTCTATCCCTCTCTCTTCTTCTGTAAAGAATCAATAAAATATATTTATTAAAAAAAAAGTTGTATTATACTCGGGCCCAGCCAGTGTGGGTCAGTCGATTCCCAGTCAGGGCATATGCCTGGATTGCAGGCTCGATCCCCGGTAGGGGTTGTGCAGGAGGCAGCCAATTAATGATCCTCTCTCATAATTAATGTTTCTATCACTCTCTCTCCCCTTCACTCTGAAATAAATAAAAACATACATATTTTTTTTAAGTTACATGCAGATTTTTTTTAATGTATTTTATTGATTTTTTACAGAGAGGAAGGGAGAGAGAGTCAGAACATCGATGAGAGAGAAACATCGATCAGTTGCCTCCTGCATACCCCCCACTGGGCATGCACTCACAACCAAGGCACATGCCCCTGACAGGAATCAAACCCAGGACCCTTGAGTCCGCAGGCCGACACTCTATCCACTGAGCCAAACCGGTTTCTGCTATATGCAGATTTTTGACTTTGCAAGAAGGTGGGGGTTGATATTCCTAACTGCCACGTTGATTAAATGTCAACTGTACTTCATTTTTTCAATTAGATATTTGCTTAGTATTTACGTGCTACTTCTGTGTGCCAAGTACTTTTCCAGGTATTTGGAAACAGCTGTAAACTTTAGTCAAAGTTCCCATCCTCATCACGCTTATATGCAAATGGACTGGATAATTAGAACCTACAAAACAACATCACCTCTAACTACTGGCAATTTCAGGCTACCAAGACCCGTATTATTAACCAAAATATCAGGCCTCAAGTTACAGAGACTCAAAGGAATTGAGTCAAACTACTGCTTGCCCATTAGTCCTTGCTGAAAAGAAAGTTGCTTACTTTCTTCTCCCAATTCTCCTTCCCATCCCTTACTCTCCATGTACATTGCTCCCCACCTGCCCCTTCCACATACACATAGTACCTGGAGAATAATAAAGGTAGGGGATAGAGTATGATAAATTGTTAAGTATTTTATAATTATTTGCCACGGTGGATTAAATAAATGTAAAGTCAAAACTAACAAAAATTATTGTTTTTGAAAGTATTTACTTATTTAAATGTCATTTTAGTTCAGGAGAGGTGATAGTATCACGCTAAGTCTTGTAAAGTTTATTAACTTATATTGGAAGCAATATAGAATGAAAAACCATTTGGCTAATAATCATAGTTTAAAATTTCAGGTCCTAAATGTCAAAAAGTCACTGTTGCAACATTGTTAGTTTTAAAGAGATAGATGAGTAAGACAGATGAGAGACTTGAAGCACCAAGTCCAGTTCAGGAAAAAGATAAATACCAAACTAAAAATTAACACTGATAAATCTGAGAAGCAAGTCTTACTATTTTTTAAGCATTAAATCAGGTTTCATCATTTTCTTGAAAATAAAATCAAAAGTATCTTTACTTTTGCTCTTAAAATTGCTTTGTCAATTGAAAATGGAGTCGGAGTTCTTTGCAAGTACAGTTACCAGGTTCTGTAGTATTCCAGATGTCTGTTGATAAATTACTTTGTATATAAAAAGATCTCCATTTATATGTATCTTGTTTCAATCATGGTAGTAAAGAAGATAACATTTATGCTATAAAAAAATGATACTGTTTGAAAGTGATCTCAAATAATTGTATTATCAGCATTGGCTGATCACAGACAGTTGTTAGCTGTCTATAACATGATCAGTGATATCATCATGAGAAACATGAGTTGAAGACATCAGGTAGTCCTGTAGCTTAATTTAATGACTTGGGCTCAAGTTTACAACATTTATTTAGCCTTTAAGTGCTCACTAGACAGTTTGCCTGCTGGTTAATAGAAAGCTACATTAACAATGAAGTTTCACTTGTCTTTTATGTATCTTTCTCTTATCAAAGAGGATTTTTTTCTTTCTCCTTTTTCTTTTCTGGGTCAGGGTTCCAGTTGGGCCACTTTCTTCACTGTCACCAAGTCAAAATCAGGTAAAAAAAAATGTTCCATTTTAGTTTTTATTATTTTTAAACTAAACTGGTTTTTCCTTTTTTATAATACTTAAGTTACTATTAATTGCCAGATATCTGTGAACTTCACTACCTGTCTCCTCAAACATACAGTTAATATAATATGTACACCTGATACTTGCTAACTGTTTTTAGGTACCAGATAGAAAATAAATCTTTATCCATATGATGGCTTTATTGTATACTAGTGGCGCGGTGCATGGGGACATAGGGGGATCCCTCAACCCAGCCTGCACCCTTCCCAATTGGGGACCCCTTGGGGAATGTCCAACTGCCGGTTTAGGCCCGTTCCCTGTGGGATAGGGCCTAAACCGGTAGTTGGACATCCCTTTTGCAATCTGGGACTGCTGGCTTCTAACCTCTCATCTGCCTGCCTGCCTGCCTGATCATCCCTAACCACCTCTGCCTGCATGCCTGATCACCCTTAACCTCTCTGTCTCTCTACTGATTGCCCCTAACTGCTCTCCCCTGCTGGCCTGATCACCCATTACTGCCTCTGCCTGCCTGATTGCCTCTAATTGCCTTCCCCTGCCTGGCCTGATCTTTCCCCCAATTGCCCTTCCCTGCAGGCCTGATCTCGCCCCCAATTGCCCTCTCCTGCAAACCTAACTGCCTCGGCCCCCACCACCATGGCTTTGTCCAGAAGGAAGTCAGACATCTGGAAGATGGCCGGTTGACCCATTCTAATTAGCATATTACCCTTTTATTAGTATTGATTATATAGGATAGGATTGCTTAAATGGGGGACATGGGGAAGCCTTTTTCAGCAGGAGGTGATGCTCTTGGTAGACAAAAATACATAATCCCTTTATCTAGACTGATAGCCAACAATATGCACTATACTGCCAAACCAGTCATTAAAAAATTGAACCGCTTTCTTATACCTTATACCAAATAGCTATTGCCCTTAAAACTCCTCCTCAGACCCCACCTTAGGTTCTGCCTTTGCAGTTCACCCAGATTTGATTTTGATTGGTCAGTCTATGTCAATCAGTGTCAAAAGCTCCACCTCCTAGGCAGCCATTGGCTCCTTGCAGTTCTCCCAGATTTGGTTCTAATTGGTCAGTTTCTATGCCACTCAGCATATCTGGGCCTGCTCAAAGAGGCAGGGCTGATCAGCAGCTGCCCCAGGCTGCTGGTGAGTGTGCTGAACTGCTGACCTCTTGAAGAGAGAGAGAGAAGCGCAGCTGCTGGCAAGACCCGGGGAGAGAGAGAAAGGGAAGGGCTGATTAGCAACACAGAGGCTGTGGATCAGACCCTGCTTTTCTCTCTCCTGGCCTCTCTAGCAATCGTGGCAGCTGCTGATCAGCCCCGCCTCTCTCTCTCTGAGAGGTCAACAGTTCAGCCCACTCACCAGTCCCCACTCATCCAAGCCCACTGCATGTGCAACCTGGTGTTCGGTCGTCCCTTCAGTCGTTTTGGGCGTTACAAACCCTGGCTCTTTATATATCATATATTATAAAGAGGTAATATGCAAATTAACCCTCATGTCCTAACAGGATGGCTGTATATCACCAGGCATGCAGGGGGTTAGTGAGGAACAACCAAACGATTAAACAGGCAGGCTGTGTGGGGCGACCAGGCTGGCAGGGAGCACAGTGAGGAGTGAGCAGGCAGGCAGGGGGGGGGCAGTTAGGAGTGACCAGGGTGACCAGGCCGCCAAGTGGGGGCAGTAAGCGGTGACCAGGTCAGCGGTGGGGGAGAGTTAGGGGCAACCAGGCAGGCAGGTGAGCAAGTAGGAGCAATTGGTCCAGGATTGGGAGAGGGATGTCCAGATTGGATAGTGTGCAGGCTGGGCTGCATGAATTTCATGCACCAGGCCTCTAGTATACACTAATCCTATCTAATAAAAGAGTAATATGCAAATTGACCATACTTCTGTCACACCCACAAGCCACACCCATGAACCAATCAGGAACAAATATGCAAATAAACCTAATAAGATGGCTGCTGCCACAGAGAACAGAAGGGAGGTTTGGGTTTCCCCAGCAATGGAGGAAGCCAAGCTTTCCACCTGACCTTGCCGGCCTAGACCTCCACTCAGTACTACAAAGTTTGAATTATAGAAGGTAAATAAATCCCAACAGAAATGGTGGCAGCCATGGAGCTGTAAGAGCAGGAGGCTAGGGTTGCCCTTGTCAGTGGAGGAAACCAAGTTTCTGCAGCCCTGGCCAGCCTAGGCCTCCACTCCAGGCTACAAAGTTTCAATTGTAGAAGATAAATAAATTCCAGATATTGGGTGGGGGCTCAGCCTGCAAACCACCACAGGCCCCTCGCCTAGGCTGCCCCATACCCCAAAGGGAACCCCACCCTAATTCAGGACACACTTCAGGGCAAATCAGCTGATCCCCATCCATGCATCAGGCCTCTATCCTATCTAATAAAAGAGTAAAATGTAAATTGACCATCACTCCAACACACAAGATGGCTGCCCCCAAGTGGGCAAAGATCCTGCACCCATGTGGACACATGATGGCCACCACAAGGAGGCCAGCAGGGGAGGGCAGTTGGTAGGTACCAGGCCTACATGGGAGGGCAGTTGTGGGCATTCAGGCCAGCAGGGGACGGCAGTTGGGAGGGACCAAGCCTGCAAGGGAGGACAGTTGGGAGCGATCAAGCCTGTAGGGGAGGGCAGTTAGGGTGATCAGGCCTACAGGGAAGGGCAGTTGGGGGGGGGGGAGGCCTGCAGGGGAGAGCAGTTAGGGGGGACCAGGCCTGCAGGGAAGAGCACTTAGGGGCAAACAGACTGGCAGGGGAGCAATTAGACATCAATCAGCCTGGCAGGGGAGAGGTTAGGGGGTGTTTAGACTGGCAGGCAGAAGCAGTTAGGGGCAATCAGGAAGGCAGACAGGCGAGCAGTTGGGAGCCAACAGTTCTGGATTGTGAGAGGGGCCCCAGATTGGAGAGGTTGCAGGCTAGGCTAAGGGACAGTCCCACCTCCCTCAACCCCCGGGCACAAATTTTATTAAAAGAAATAAAAGGGTAAGATGCAAATTGACCGTACCTTTGTGACCCATCAACCAATCAAGAGTGAGTATGCAAATTAACCCAACAAAGATGGCGCTGAGTGGCCGGGGAGGGGCAGGATGCAGGCATTCTGCACTGCCCCAACCACTCCAGGGCTCTGGGCAGTATGGGAGGCGGAAAGGCAGCTCTGGCCCAAGCGAAGGCGGTACCCGCAGCCAGGGCAATGAAGGCCCATTCTTTTTCTTTTTCTTTTTTCTTTTTATTTTTTTATTTTTTTAGAGGTGCAAGTAACTTTTATTTTTAAAATATTTGGTCGGTATCTAAAATCTACACAATACACAGATACATAAAGTAGGTGACTTGCAGGTGGCCTAATCTGCATGAATTTTCCAGAGGACTATTTATTGTTTGAGTCTCTAGGCTTTATCCCAAACGAAGACACACCAGCTTGATTTATTTTTACTCCCCCCACCCTTCTTTATGAGGATCCTTCCCTAGAAAGAAATTAGGCTGTCAGGCAATCACCGAAGAAACTTCGAAGTCCCACAGCTAAACCAAGCCCGGAGGATTCTTTTCTAGTCCGCTCTCTTTCGGCGGAGGGATACAGGAGAAAAAAATTTCCAGCAAATTTGCATAGGGACACGCTAGGGGGGCAGAACTTAATAGAAAATCTGAAGCAGGCGCGGCTAATCATTCCAGTGCCGCCAGCTTCCGTGTGGGGGCCAGCTTCCGTGCGGGGGCCAGCTTCCGTGCGGGGACGTCTGCCGCTCTGGAAGGCGGCAACTGGGTGAGGCGACGAGCCACGTAACCGCCGGGCGCTCACTGGTTCAGACTGTCAGACTGTCGCCGTGGTGTCTGCATCCGAAGCTGGTTGCCGCTGCGGCCGCCTGGAATTGTGGGGGTTGTGTCTGCCCTTCAGCTGCCCGGCAGGAAGCCGAAGGTAGGGGCGGTGAGGGCCGTCCAGCCCCGCAGATGGGCGGGGGGCTCCGAGCACTGCCCAGCCTCTCCCCCGCCCATGTGAAGGCCCATTCTTGCATGAATCTTCATGCATTTGTCCTCTAGTATAGATAATAAAAGGCTAAAATGCAAATAGACCAAATAGTGGAACAACCGGTCACTATGATGTGCACTGACCATCAGGGGGCAGGCGTTCAATGCAGGAGTTGCCCCCTCGTAGTCAGTGCACCGGGCCTCTAGTAGTACACAGTGCAAAAATGAGAGGAAAAAAAAAGCAAAGTTGAAGTTGGGTCATTAGTAGTTCCCTAAATGGATAAGTCAGTCTTTATTCCCACTTGCATATGCAAACTGGTTTTTGTTTCAGCTATCACATACAGACGTAGACCTTCCCCAGAGAAGAGAGCACTTAGTAGAGCGCGCTAGGAGAGAGGCCCAGCTTGCCGCCCTACAGTGTGAGGAGGAGAAAACAAGGACCAAGCAGATTCAGAGAGATGCTGTCCTGGACTTTGTCAAAGTGAGTCCTTTGAATTCATTGAATGATATTCCTCAAGTTTCTTAGAAGTGTTTGTTTGTTTTTGCTGAAGCTATCAGTTTTTATTATCTTAATTAAATGGTTGACTTTTTTTCCTCATGTAAGGAATATTGAGTAAATACTACTGGTGTAGTTTTTTCCTATTTGTGATTAGATTGATTGTTCTCGTGTAGATAGGCCTGAAGACAATTAGAAGTTATGATCTTGCTCTTCAAACAGCAGTCTCTTCCTCTTAATTACCGATCACTTTATTATCCAGCTGCCATTCTCTCAATCTCTAGTGCATTAGTTATGATAATGAAAGAGCCTTGCAAATATAAACTGTTATCTAACCTATCTCTAATTTTCTCACTTTTCCTAATACCAAAAATTTGAGAGATTCACAGGCCTTTTTAAAAAAGAAAGAAAGAGTTTCTTTAAAAAAAAGACAGACTGGTTCCAAACCCTACTTTATGACCACGATAATAATGGCTAACTCATACTGTGTCCTGAGTGTTGTTCTGTGCATTATTTTTGATATTTTTAAATTAATTTTGAGAGAGAAACATCACTGTGAGAGCAAAACATTCATGGGTAGCCTCCTGCACACTCCCTCCTGGGTATTGAGTCTGTAACCGGGGCATGTGCCCTGCTGGAAATTGAACTTGTGACCTCTTGGTGCATGGGACAGCACTCAACCAACTGAGCCACACTGGCCAGGCTATGCTTGACTTTTGGAAAGTTACTGAACTATTTTGTGCCTTTAGTTTCCTTATACATGTAACATTGAACTGTTAAATATTAACTATTTCAGAATTATGGGTCCATCTAATACTGTACTACTATGGTGAGCATTATACACCCTACCATCACAGTAGATTTAAAATATTATAAGAGAGATTTCAAGAAAAGCATCATTATATCTTATACATAAACTAGAGGCCCGATGCATGAAGATTGATGCAAGAATGGGCCTTCCTTCCCCTGGCTGCTGGCACCGCCTTTGCTCTGCCAGAGCCGCCTTTCCTTCTTCCCTTCTGGGACGGTGCAGAATGCCTGCGCCATTGCCATGGCAACAACACAAGCCTTCCACCCCCCTGTACCCCCCTCGGCCTATATTTGCAAATTAACCTGCCATCTTTGTTGGGTTGATTTGCATACTCAGTCCTGATTGGCTAGTGGGCATTGCAAAGGTACGGTCTGTTTGCATCTTATTCTTTTATTAGTTTAGATGAGTAGGGGAGGGAATCCCAAAGCAAGAATTTGAGGCTAAAAATGATGGTTTTAATACGAGTCTAGCATTGGGAAAAGAATGTAGGATTTGGAGTCAGAAGACATAAATGCAAATCTCAGTTTTGCCACTTAAAACTTTACAGCCTTGCATATGTCACATAACCTCTCTTATTCTCAATTTTCTCATCTCTAAATGATTATGATGTTTGTTTCACAAAGTAAAAAGAAGAATCACTTGAGAGATACTGTACATAAGAACACATTGTAAAGCACTGGCTATACAGATGTTATATGTTTTTATCTGACATAATAACAGAAATTAGCAAATTGGGAAAAAGTCGGTTGGTTTGGAAAATTGTGAGCTTGTTTCTGGATGTGTTGAGCATGAGGTGAAAGTGCAGTTTCCAGGTAGAGTAGTGTCCTCAGGCGGTTGAAATGCAAATGTGAAATTTGCTGATGGTTGAGAGCGCAAGCTGTTAGCATTAGAGTGATATCTAAGCCATTAGAGAAAGAGAATGATTTCAGTATGAAAATGTAGTGAGAGATCACTACTTTGTGAATGTTTGTATGCATGTGTATATAAAAAACATAGTTATAAAATTTTCTATGTATAGATGTTTATAGACATGAAAATACTGTTTGTTATTTTATTGCCTTTCCTCATTTCAATTGTAAGCTATTTCAGGGAAAGAACAATATCTTCTAACCAGTAAATCTAGAAAAATGTTATACATAAGAAATACCAAATATGATTATTTTAGTAAATAGCATTTATCATTTCTAGTGTTTCAGCTTCTAACCAATTTCCCTTTTTTGGGGATGGGCGTCTGTAGCAGAAAACCTCACACAGTCCACAAAAACAGCAACACTCCTTAGATGGTGAGGTAAGTCTTTATAATCACCTTTATTTTGGAATTTTTTATTGCAATGGAAATGAAATGTTTGACATGTGCTTTCAGTGATCAAAATATTGCTATTTTCTCTTTTTCCCCTCACAAATTTCTTTTCATTGGATGGAAGAAGACACAAGCCAGGGAGTTTATCAGAATCTGTAGATCAGAGGGTTTTAAAAGTATACACATCCATCTGGAGATTATTTATTTCCTTCCCTATCCCCACCAGAGGGATCATCTTCCTCATCCACCAAGCATGACACATAGTGAGAGTCCCAGAGGGGGATCCGGCATGGCTGACTGGTGTCAGTATTAAATAAAAAAGACTACATAGTATTTTCAACCTCATTGCTCATTTCCTAAGCATGTATGTTATTTATCATACTTGTATACTTGTACACATAAGTTAACACTTCGTTTTTTCCCCTACATTTCCTTCTTGTTCGTCTTTCTAGAGAATTCATTATCTAGAAATTAAAGCTTTTCAGGAAAATAACAGTTCTAAAATTTTCAATTATACTTTTGTTTTGTCTGAGAAAGGTAATACAGAGATACCTAAACTAGAAATCATGACTCTTGAGTTGATTGGGTTATTTTTGTTACTGGCTCACTGACTGAGAAATTCTTCATGTGACTGCACCATCTGTACTTCAGCTTTCTCTTCTGTGAACAAAGAATAATCCCTGTTCCCTCTTTGCTTTAGAAAGTTTATAGGCAAATAAGATCATATTTGAAGTTATTTAACCTCTTTGGAAGAGAATCATTACTCAAAACCAACTTATTAGCTCTTATGGTATGTGAATCAAAATGATATTGAATGCGGTCCTATATGTTAGCATCTTCACAATTATGTCTTAATATGGCTCTTTGCTTGTGTATTTGTGAAATATGTCATGTGTTTGCAGTTTGTTTTGACATTGTTTGCACAGTTTGTTTTGACATTGTTTGCAGTTTGTTTTGACATTGCTTCATTTTTTCCACCTCTCCAGTGTCCCTTCCCATCCAGAAGGTCTCAACACACTGATGATAGTGCCTTGTTAGTGGTAAGAGCCTTGCACAAAATGGAGTTTTAAATTGCTGTGTCTAGAGATTAGAGAATAGCGATTGTATTTTTCATTCAGAAATAATCTCAATGTCATAAAACATATGGGGCATCATTACTAAATGCTTTACAAAATAGCTTGAACTGTTTCCCTACATTACTATTCATGATTTATCCAGTGGTCCAGTGTTCTGCAGCTATGATTAAAATATCTTGGTTAATGTTGCAGATGTAAACCATTTGCATTGTGGACCATATTGGCTTTGTATGTGTGTTGGGAGTTTTTTAAATGTCATTTCTAATTCCAGGTGCACTTATTTTATTAATAATCAATTTAACTCATGAGTCACCTGTGTGTTAAATGGGTTTTTTATGATGCTAATTATACAGCTGTGTATTTAACATTCTATTTTGTCATTTCTCTTAAGCTACTGAAAATCCCAAACCTGAAAAAATTACTTACATCTCCATGCCCATTTTTCCTTTCAAGGGAAACATTAACTTGGAATGCTATCTACTGATCCTTTTTAACACTGGTTTACTTTTATTGCCTGTTTCATCAGCCAAAATGCAGTATATTATGAGAACTTTATTGAAAGTTTTATTTTTATTAGCCTTGAAAGATAATTCTAACCATTTACATATTGCTTTCCCCATCATGTTTTATGTTCTTTTTTCACAGTAGTATTGAAAACTAGCAGTTTAAAAATCTGCTGTGTATGTCAACTTCTGTCTTATGTGTTAGTAACTGCTGCCATTGTGCCTACTATTGCATGAACTGCATACTTCAGCAGGAGAGTCCTAGTATGTTAACTTCCATTGTCTGTCCAAATTTCTGTGTGTTCTGCAGTCATCATTTCCTTTGAGAGATAAAGCACATTTTAACTGGGCAGTTTTATAGATAAATGTAACCACCAATTTCTGAGTTTTAGTGGAAATTTATTACATGAGAAACAACTAATAATTTAAATCAATGCAGAGATATTGAGAGCCTTTGATGGTTCAGACAGCTTACCAGAATTATCTATTTTCTCCTCACAGCAACCTTAAGGTTAGTTTATCACCATTTTATAAATGATTACTGAAGCACAGACACCAGTGTGTCTTGTCTAGAATGTAACTTGCCAAAGGTCACATAGCTAGAAAGAGCCAGACTGGATTTAAGTCTAGATTTGGCTGATTGGGGAACCTGCATTAAACATCATGCTGTATTGCCTCCCACACTATAATTGAAAACAATTTTGGAAACCAGAGATGAGATTTAAGGACATATTCTATCCAATAAAAGAGTAATATGCAAATTGACCGTCACTCCAAGACACACTATGGCTGCCCCCATGTGGACACAAGATGGCCGCCACAAAATGGTCTGCAGGGGAGGGCAGTTGGGGGTGACCAGGCCAGCAAAGGAGGGCATTTGGGGGAACCAGGCCTGTAGTGGAGGGCAGTTATGGACAATGAGGCAAGCAAAGAGGTTAGTTAGGGGTTACTGAGCCAGCAGAGGAGGGCATTTGGAGGAGATCAGGTCTGCAGGGGAGAGCAGTTGGGGAAGACAAGGCCAGTAGAGGTGGGCAGTTGGAGGGGACCAAACCAGCAGGGGAAGGCAGGTGGGGAGGGGGCAGCCTATAGGGGAGGGCAGTTAGGGCTGACCAGGCTTGCAGGGGGGGGGGGCAGTTTGGAGGGACCAGCCTGCAGGCGAGGGCAGTGGAGGGGACCAGGCTAGCAAAGGAGGGGAATTGGGAGGGAACAGGCCTACAGGGGAGGACAGTTGGGGCAGCCAAGCTGGCAGAGGAACAGTTACGTGTCAATCTGGCTGGCAGGGGAGTGGTTAGGGGTGATTAGGCTGGCAGGCAAGAGTGGTTAGTGGCAATTAATTAGGCAGAAGCAGCCAGCAGTCCTGGATTGTGAGAGGGTGTCTGACTGCTCATTTAGGCCCAATCTCGGTGGGATCTGGCCTAAACAGGTGGTCAGACATCCCTAAAGGGGTCCCAGATTGGAGAGAGTAAAGGCTGGGCTGAGGGACATCCCTCCCCACCCCCATTCCCACCCCCACCCCCGTGCACACATTTTGTGCACTGGGCCTCTAGTAAAGGGATCCCTCAGCCCTCTCTGCCTTCTCTCACAATCCAGGAGTCCTCAGGGGCAGGAGGTGACCCGGTAATCAGGGGAAGGTGACGCCCCATCACACATCTGCTGCTGCCACTGCCGGCAGCACAAGCTTCAGCCTGCCCTGATTACCTGGGTGGCCCTGGGTGACTGGGCAGCCGTCATCCAATGCTTGCCTGTGCCTTGGGCTGGCCCTGGGCAGCTGGGCAGCCTGCATTTGAGGCTTGCCTGCACCTCAGGTGTCGGCTGGGTAGCCACCATCCAAGGCTTGCCTGCACCTTGGGCCAGCCCTGGGTGGCTGGAGGGCTATAAGGACGGGGGGACTCCAGAGGCAGGCGCCCTGGCAGAACTGAGGGGACTGGGCACTGCCATCTTGTAGCTGTGGACGCTGTCATCTTTGAGGGTGTGGCACTCAATTAGCATATTCCCTCCTTATTGCTAGGTGCCGCCATCTTTGTGAGGGTGTGATGATCACTTAGCATATTCCCTCTTTATTAGATAAGATAAATCTGAGTGCCCAGACTTTTTTGTCAAGGAAAAAGTGGGATTTGAAACAATACAAGTCCCCTTAGCATGAAATTTGAAATGGCCTTTAGCCATTTCAAAATACATACACTTGTATTTTAGTTATCAGTATTCATGTCTCCCATAATGAGATGGCCTTTACTCTTTCTCCCATCTTGGAGCCTGAGGAGGCCTGCTTGGAACAGGGATCCCATAGCAACAAACGTGACTGGACACTGTGGTCCAAGGCCATTTCTCTGGCCATCAGTGGGGTCTCCAGAACCAGGGGGCCCGCACAGCTCTTCTTGAAATTGAAGGTGTTTATGCTTGAGGTGAAACTGAATGCTCTCTAGGCAAGAGATGTACTTAATGTGTACAAACTAAAGAATAACACACTGTAACTTCTGGTGGCAAACCGAACCAAACCAAAGTAATCTGGGGAAAGTTGACTTGTGCTCATGGAAACAGTGTCATGGTTGGATCTAAATCCTGAAGTAATCTCCTTGCTAATAAGGCCATTGGACACAGAATCTGTGTAAGGCTGTACCCCTCAAGGATTTAAACTTATTGAAGAGCAAAAAAATAAAATGGATTTGTTCTCTTGTTTAAACAGATGGGGGGGGTGGTGCCAAGAGCCATGTCTCACATATTTTTGTGTGCCAAATAGTGTCCAACACTGCAAAAAAAAAAAAAAAAAAATCACATTTTATTTTTTTAAATTATTTTTAACATACATTAGTTTTAATTGATTTGATAGAGGAAAGAAGAAGGAGAGAGAAAGAAACATCAATGATGAAAGAGAATCATTGATCTGTTGCGTTCTGCATGCCCCCCACTGGGGATAAGTATTAGTAATATTTAATGTCAGTTGTACTCACATTCTCTTGGAGCTGCTCTTCAGGTTTCTGTTGCTTTCATCTGTGTCCCATCTGCATCTATATCCCATCTCTAGATACTTTCTCTCCCTTCCACTCCTTTTTTTCTTCTTTGCCAAAAATAATGGCTTTAGCCCTTTTATATTTGAAATTGACAGTAATTCTAGTACATTTGTGGTAGTGTCACCAAAGGAAGTATGCATGAGGCCAAAAGAGGTAAAGAATTATAAATTTACTAGGGGCCCAGTGCACAAATTTATGCACCTTGAAAGGAATTGTGGGCTGCAGTGGGCACAGGGGCAGATCTCAGCTCATCCTCTGCACTCCCACCTGGCCCCTCCTGCTGCTGCCCCTTGGTCCTCTGTCTGCCAGCAGCCCCACTCCTACTGCAGCCACTCTCACATGCTAATGGCTCTGGGCACTGCTCAAACCCGCACACAGCGTGGAGTAATTGGTGCTGGCACCAGCAGTGGATGCAAGCAGGGCCGGTGCCGTGAGTGGGTGCTAGTGGCAGCTACTGCCCTCGTTGCCCCTCAGGAGCAGGGGGAGGTAGAAAAGTCCTAAGGGAAGATCGGGGCCGGCAGCTGCCGCTCACACCTGCTGACGGCGCTGAGCATTTGGGGCCTGCAGCCGCCAGACACTGACAACGGGTGTGAGTGGCAGCTCCAGCACCTGCCATGTTCCGCACACACCCTCTGGTGGTCAGTGCACGTCATAGTGACTGGTTGTTCAGTTGTTCTGCCATCCAGTCTATTTGCACATTAGTCTTTTATTATATAGAATTAAGTTATCTGGAAACCAGATGGCTGAGCCCCAAAATGGCACCAGAACCTAGGGATGGGGAGACAGAGGTTTTAAGGACTAAGTGGGCTTTTCTGGCTGGGAATTCTCTGGGGAGGTCCAGACCTCGGGCAAGTCAGAGGATAAAGTTACTGGTCTTAGCAAATGGAATGTGGTCTAAGTGAAAGGGAATATCGGTTGGGAAATTATCTAAAGATCAGTTTCCCAGGGGAGGAGGTATGGATTCACTTATCTGACCAGACCTAACAATTTGAGTATAAGGAGTCCCAGGAAATCTCAACAGGTAAAGTATACACATTGTATTACTGTTGTTCTTTAGTACATTTCTTCACTTTTATCTGCCTTAAGATAGATTATGCTGTATTGTATATGCTACATGCTTTGGGGTGGGGTGGGTGGGGTGAGGGAAGACATTGCTATTAACTCTCATTAAAAATAGTTGTATTTTAGCCAAAACCAGTTTGGCTCAGTGGTAGAGCGTCGGCCTGTGGACTGAAAGGTCCCAGGTTCGATTCCCGTCAAAGGCATGTACCTTGGTTGCGGGCACATCCCCAGTAGGGGGTGTGCAAGAGGCAGCTGATTGATGATTCTCATCGATGTTTCTAACTCTCTATCCCTCTCTCTTCCTCTCTGTAAAAAATCAACAAAATATATATTTTTTTAAAAATAGTTGTATTTTATTGACCATCTACACATCTTTATTTTCTAAACACCCGCATGTGTTCTTGTTCATCTGTCCTACGATTCAGATATTTATGTTCCTAATTTAAATTTCTTAAAATTATTCAACTAATAAAGTCTTTAATATCATTAAGCCTTTGGCATTTTGTTGTTTTAATAGGTACTGTCTTATACAACATCCTTTGTGAAAGCTGTCTTTGATTTCCATCCATCACCAAATGAAAAAATTATCATGCTTTGAGCAGCTTTTATCTGTAATCAAAATTATATACAATAAATACTAACACTATCTCTAATTAGTTACATGTAGGGTGGTGAGTGAATAGAGGATTTAAAGAAAAGAACTTGCTCATAGGTAGAAATGAAATGCTGGTTCATCCTTAAGGTGTGATGCAGAATTCTCATGTTCTGTCTTTTCACATCAGAACTATTAAATATATTACATCTAATTTGGATTTATTTTGAAAAAATATTCTTTCATGCTGGTTCTGCTCAATTAAAATGACCTCTTGACTGGACTTTTTTTTCTTCTGTCATGGGAACACTCAGAACTCGTTAGTTTCAAGGCTATTTTGCTAAAATAATCACACATGATGTTCTCAGTTTTATTTCTAAACTAGAGGCCTAGTACATGGATTCATGCACTGGCAGGGTCCCTCAGCCTGGCCTGCAGGGATTGGGTTGAAACCAGCTCTCTGACATCTCCTGAGGGGTCCCGGATTGGGAGAGGGTGCAGGCCAGGCTGAGGGACCCCAATGGTTCATAAATTCGTGCACTGAGCCTATAGTATGCATATAAGATATTTGGTTAATCTCTTCCCGCCCTCCCCCTTACCACCTTCCTTCTGAGATTCATCAGTCTGTTCCATGTTTCCATGCCTGGGGTTTCCGCTCCTGCGGTGAGCGTCTGTCCCCTAGTGGTCAGTGTGTGTCATGGCTACTGGTCAGTCGGCCAGTTGCTTAGGCTTTTTAAAAAATTTTATTTACAGAGAGGAAGGGAGAGGGATAGAGAGTTTGAAACATCGATGAGAGAGAAACATCGATTATCTGCCTCCAGCACAACCCCTACTGTCGATGTGCCCACAACCAAGGTACATGCCCTTGACCTGGGTCCCTTCAGTTCGCAGGCCAATGCTCTATCCACTGAGCATTGGCCTGCGAACTGGCCAAACCAGTTAGGGCAGGCTTTTATATATATGGAGAGGGTTACTCCCCCCCGCCCCCCGCCCTTATTCTTTCTGCACTACTAATATCTTAGTACACCATTTGAAAGTTTGTAAATGATCTTTCTTTTTCTGCTTGTCTGCCTGTCTTTTTTTTTTTTTTAAGATTTTTAAAGATTTTTTGATATTAAGAGAGAAGGGAAGGAAGAGAAAGAAACATTGATGTGAGAGTAAGATATCGATAGATTAGCTGCCTCCTGCATGACACCCCTTACCCCCACTGGGGATCTAGCCCGCAGCTGGGGCCTGTGCCCTGACAGGATTCAGACAAGCAACCTTTTGATTCATCAGATGATGCCCAGCCAAATGAGCTACACTGGCCAGGACCTGCCTAACATTTTGCTAACATAAATCCTGCCTTTTCTTTCTCTTTTGAAATGTAGTTGCTGTCAGGGTTGAAGCAAGCAGGCTGTGCTGGTACCCTGCCTCACTCTTCTGCCTTCACGCCCCTCAAGGTATCTTTTGTTACTGTGATTTTCCGGGAACTTTGTGGGGTGGTATGTGTTGAGATCTTAACTTTTCCAATGGATTAGTCTAACAGTAAGCAGTCTGGCATCTAAGATTACATGAAATGTACTTAAACTATTTGAGTTTAACATTAATTTCTTTTTTTTTTTAAATATATTTTTTATTGATTTTGTACAGAGAGGAAGGGAGAGAGATAGAGAGTTAGAAACATCAATGAGAGAGAGTCGATCAATCAGCTGCCTCCTGCACACCCCCCACTGGGGATATGCCCGCAACCAAGGTACATGCCCTGGACCGGAATCGAACCTGGGACCTTTCAGTCCCCAAGCCGACGCTCTATCCATTGAGCCAAACCGGTCTTGGCTAACATTAATTTCACTTGAAGTTTTATCATACCAGAAACAGTCATAAATTCTTTATAAATATCATTCTCATTTTTAAAAATATATATTATATTGATTTTTAACAGAGAGAAAGGGAGAGAGATAAAGAGCTAGAAACATCGATGAGAGAGAAACATCAACCAGCTACCTCTTGCACAGCCCCTACCGGAGATGTGCCCGCAACCAAGGTACATGCCCTTGACCGGAATCGAACCTGGGACCTTTCAGTCCACAGACTGATGCTCTAACACTGAGCCAAACCGGCTTCGGCTGTTCTCATTTTCTTATCATTAGTTTTTCTTTTGTCGTGAGTTAGTTTATTTTGACTAATATGTAATATCAAATTTACTCTGATACTACTGTACATGCAAAGCAATTTGAGTTCCAGACCTCAAACTATTACTGCCGAAACCCTCTGCAGTGGCTCTGGAGATCCGTGTTGGTAAATAGTTTTGCAGCTACTCGGCCACTGCCATTTGCTTATGTATTATCTGTGGCTGCTTTTGTGCTTAGCAGCACACTTGGAATAGTTGTGAAGGAGATCATCTAATCTGGAAACCTAAATAAAGAACCTGTAGGGTATTATTTTTTAAAGGCCCATAGGGATGGTAATTCTATCTTTGTTATCATATGACACATAAGAGATGATTAATAATCCTTACTGTCAAGATCCTCTCTTTTTCTAACTTCTATCTGTCCTCCTGTGGCTTATGTTTATTTCTTTCTAGAGTGGAGATTTTCTAGTAAATAGCAGTCTTCAAATATTCTTTTTTTTTTTTTTTTTAATAAATCTTTGTTCAGATTATTACTGGTGTTCCTCTTTTTTCTCTCCCCATAGCTCCCCTCCACCTGATTCCCCTCCCCACCCCATCCCCTTACCCCCCACCACTGTCTTCATCCATAGGTGTAAGATTTTTGTCCAATTTCATCCCTAAGACCCCCTTCCCCCTGAGAATTGTCAGTCCCCTCCCTTTCTATGTCCCTGATTCTATTATACTCATCAGTCCATTCTGTTCTTCAGATTTTTTATTCACTTGATTTTTAGATTCACTTGTTGGTAGGTATGTATTTTATGTCTTTTTGTTGTTCATAGTTTTTACCTTTACCTTTTTCTTCTTCTTCCTCTTCTTAGAGAATACCCTTCAGCATTTCATTTCATTAGAAGTTCAGATATTCTTTATATTTGAAAGTTATTATGATGTCATCCTTGTCTTATCCTTAAATAAACTCTGATCCTTTTACATGCTTTTCCCAGCCTTAGGAACTTTCACAAGTTCTCTGCCTTTCATTTTGGCTCCACTGTCTCCAGCTGCAAATATCTCTCTCATTAGAGCTCGCCTGGGGCTGAGCATAAAACAAGGATTTTTCACACCTCTCACAGAGCATTAGGTTGGCCTTTTCCATTTCAATATTAATTTGCTCAGTATCTGTTATAATTCTCAAATGTTTTAGTTAAATGACAATTTAAATGATAATTTTTACATCTTTTAAAAAATATACATATTTTATTGATTTTTTACAGAGAGGAAGGGAGAGAGATGAGAGAGAAACATTGGATCAGCTGCCTCCTGCACACCTCCGACTGGGGATATGTCCGCAACCAAGGTACATGCCCTTGACCGGAATCAAACCTGGGACCTTTCAGTTCGCAGACCGATGCTCTATCCACTGAGCCGAACTGGTTTCAGCTATAATTTCTACATCTTATATCTTTTGTTTTCTAAAATACTTAATTTTGATTTTTTTGAACATTTTTACATATATATATATATATATATATATATGTGTGTGTGTGTGTGTGTGTGTGTGTGTGTGTGTGTAAAAATGTATATGGAATAATCTCTACCTTTTATTTTTCTGTTTGTGCCATTGGTCCTTGAACAAGTCTTTAGCTAATCAACTTTCTAGTTCATATTTTTAAAAAATAAGGATAGTCTTTTGTTTTTTTATAAAGATATCCAGCTTTTGCCTTATTTGTCTATAAATTTCTTTTAGTAGTTCCTCTTGTTATTTTAAGTTAAATTTATTTAAATTCCATTTCTTCTCAACATTCTAAATTTAGTTTATTGCCATCTGTAAACTGAACATGTTCTCTTTTTCACTAATGAGAATGTTGTATATTACTTTACTCAAGAATGCAGCTTGCTTTTTAAATCTTAGTTCTCAGACTAAAAGTGTCAGGTTAAGGAATAGTTACCACAAAATTGTCTTTTAGATCAGTCTAAGAATTTACTCAACAGCATAGCCCCTATTTATGTATTTATTTTAGCAATTAAAATTCCATTTCATTCAACCCAACTCCAATTAGAAATAAAAGATTTCTGGAAGTGCCTTAGCTGGCTTGGCTCAGTGGATAGAGTGTCGGTCTGTGGACTCAAGGGTCCCGGGTTTGATTCCCACCAAGGGCACATGCCCTGGTTGCGGGCTTAATCCTCAGTAGAGGTTGTGTAGGAGGCAGCCAATCAATGATTATATCTCATCATTGATGTTTCTCTCTGCCTCTCCCTTCCTGTCTGAAATCAGTGAAAATTTATTAAAAAAAAAAGATTTCTGGAAATAATGAAACAAAAAAGGGTGGGGGAAGGGATGGGAGCAGATATGTATGTGTATTTTAAAGTTATTCTGTTCAAAATGTGTCATAGTTATTGTAAAGTTATATTTAAATATTTTGGTATAATTAGATATCAAGGTCTAAAAAATTATTATTCTAGTATCCTGTTATTCTTCGACATCTTTAATCCAGCCAGCCAACACTTCTTTTTTTAAATTTTTATTGATTTCAGAGAGAGGAAGAGAAAGGGAAAGAGGGATAGAAATATCAATGTTAAAAGAGAATTATTGATCGGCTCCCTCCTACATGCCCCCTACTAGGGGTCGAGCTCGCTACCCTGAGCATGTGTGCTGACCAGGAATCAAACCATGACCTGATTCATGGGTTGAAGCTCCCATTGTGCCATACTGGTTGGGCCCAACATTTCTTTATATATATATATATATATATATATATATATATATATATATATATATATATATTATATTTTTTTTATTTTTTTTTTTGCTGATTTGAGAGAGAGCAGAAGGGAGAGGGAGAGGAGAGATAGAAACATCCATGACAGAGTAATATCAGTCAGCTGCCACCTACACACCCCCTACTGGGGAGGGAACCCACAACCTGGGCATATGCCCTGATTGGGAATTGAACTAGTGATCTCTTGATTCATGGTTTATGGGTACTCTCAACCACTGAGCCACACTATTCAGACCCAGCACTTCTTCTTAAATTAGTTTAACTACATTTTTCTTTATTTAAGTAAACTTTATACCAGTTCACCTATCTCTTCTTCCTTTTTATAGTTTCTTTGTTCAATGAATTAAAAACAGCTTGGATTCAAATTCTAGTCTAGAAATACAGCTATCTGTAATATTTAAACACCTTGTTTCCTAACTGAAATAAAAAACTTTTATCACTCTGTCTTAACACATTAAATTTTATTCTGCAGAGGAGAGGGAAGAATACTTTAGAAACTATACCAGAAAAATACTATTATAAAATAAAAAGATATTCTTTCCTGTGCATTTCCCAATAAATCATTATCTTTTCTCAGTTATAAGAAAGGCTTATTATATAATAGGACTGTCTTGAGAGAATGCAATACATAAACCTTGTATTCTATAGAAATAAAAAATTTGGCCTTCAAAAAATATATATATATAATCACTTCTTAACCTTTTGGCTAAGATCTTGTATAATACCTATTTTTATAAGTGTAAAAAACATATGAAATTAAATCAATAGTCCAAATTTTCATTTCTAGACTTAATTTTGAAGGAAAGTTGCATTTTTTTTTCTCTTTTATAATCCTAATGTTCCCATAAATATGGAGAGTACCTCTTCTTGAATAATAAGTATTGATATATCTTTTTCTCCACAGAATGGTGACAGATCTAATGCTGTATCAAGTTCACCTACAACAGAAACAGGTAATAGACACACAGGTGCAGTTCACCACATCAAGATTGTAATTCTTTACCAGGATTTTCCTCATAAAGTATTCTTTTTTTCAATTATAGTTTACATTCAGTATTATTTTGTGTTAATTTCAGGGGTACAGCATAGAGGTTAGACAGTTACATACTTTACAAAGTGCCCCGCTCCCCATCCCCAATATTTAAAGTACCCACCTGGCTGATAAATTACCTCTTAGAGATGAGAAATCAGACACAATATTGGGAACTTTCTGTACATTTTAAATTTTTTAATTCAACTGGTTGTTCAACTATTCAGCTATTTGGTATGAACAAATGAGATGAGCTAGCAGTGCTATAGGTTTGCAAGAGACTATATTCAATATATTAACATTCAGTCTACCTTTACTGATAAACCAAAATAACATGACAATTAAAAATACACACAAGCTGCCTTCCTGCTGTCAGGGTTACGTTTCTGTACCAGATTTTGTACTAACCAAATTATTATCCTTTTATATCATTGCCATATTTAATTTTTTTTCATTTATTGAACTTTTGTGACATGTGTCTGTTACATATTTAATGATTTTCCATCTCTTTTTATCCAATTTACTTTCCGTGCTGATTTAGTTCATCATTCTCCTGCATATTCTTTTCCTGCTGCTACCCACAGACACCAGCCCCAGCGCCCTGAAAGCTTCCTTTTCCGAGCAGGTGTCAGGGCAGAAACAAACCAAGGTAGGAGGTTGTGACTAAGGGGGAGGAGGGAATGCTTCATACAGTGACATGTGCTGTCACATGCTCTTAAACTACCCTGAGATGTCACCTTGGCAAGAGCTTTTGATTCTGCATTTATCTGTGATCTTACTGACATGAAAGCAAGCTACTCTTGTTTGAACTTGTTGTTGTTTTTAATTTCTTTTAATTGGTTTTTTAAGAGAGGAAGGGAGAGACAGAGAGAGAGAAACATCGATGTGAGAGAAAACCATCAATTGGTTGCATCCTGCACTTGCATCAACTGGTGATTGAATGTGCAACCCCAGCATATGCCACAACCAGGAATTGAACCCTCTACCTTTTAGGTGTACAGGTTGACACTCCAGGCAACTGAGCCACACTGGCCAGGGACTGAATTTGTTTTAATTAGAAAGTTTCTTGGCCCTGGCCAGGGAACTCAGTTGGTTAGAGCATCATCCCAAAACACCAAGGTTGCAGATTCATTCCCCTGTCAGTCAATATATATCCAAGAATCAACCAGTGAATGCATAAATAAGTGGAACAACAAATTGATATCTCTCTCTCTCTCTCTCTCTCTGCCTCTCTGCCACTCCTCCCCTCTCTCCATTCCTCTCCCATCCCCACCCTTTCCCTCTCTAATAGTTTTGTGTGTGTTTTCTTAAAGAGAATTTCTTTATACCACCTAAAAGCAGGTTATAGTGTTTGAACAAATAAAATACTTTTTTAGGGCTTTAGAGAATGTTTCTCTTCTCTATAATGAGCTCTCTTACAGATTTTTTCTTTCTATGTGCTTAAATAAATGAATCTGTAATTTTTTTCTAATTTTTGTGTGTGTTTTTTTGTTTTTAGTTAATATGAAAAATTTCTGCCTGGTCCCAAAAGAAATTACTACCTGGAATTAAAAACAAACATTTCAAGTCCAAAAATACTTTTAATGTAACTGATAGTTGCACTTGCAGTGAGATTTAAAATTAAACCAGAGACATACTGCTGATGAGATTATAAATTAGTATGGAAAACTTTTTACATTATCTACTAATGTTGAACATTTGTATAGCCTATAACTAGCAAATTTGCCTTCTGAAATGTTTATACATGTATACCAAAAGATATGTACAAAAAGATTCATAGCAACATTTTTCATAATAGCCCCAAACTTAATGTCTATCAATGATAGAATGGATTAAAAATTGTGGCATATCTGTACAGTGGGATACCATATAAGCAATGAAGATTATCAAATTAACATATACAGCATGGATAAATCTCTTAGTGTTTATTAAAACAAGACACAAAAGCATGCACACATAAATATAATTTCATTCATAGAAAGTTCAAATATGGACGAAACTATTCAGGTGTTAGGAAGTCAGGGTGTTCGTTTATGATTTATGTATAATTTTCTGTATGTGTGTTATTTTTCAATAAAAACATGAAGTGGATGTGATTAAACAAAAGTAGTTGGGCCAAATGGGTAATGGACATTTGTTGATTTTTTTATACTATTCTCACTTTGATTTTGTGTATTTGAAAATTAGCATAATAAATTTTTAAAGAGTTGATCCAGAAGTAGAAAATGCTATACTTCAACGAAAACTGTGAACAGGTGGATCAGGTTATTTTTCCAATATTGGCAAATCACCTTTCTGTATGACATATGAATATTTTTTAGGTCATGGTTCAACCCTTCTTTCATCTTCTGAACCTACCACGGATTCTACAGATCCCATAACAAGACAGAATTCAAGGCAGAGAGAAGAAGAACTGGAATCAATAGATCAGCTACGGAAAGTGTGTACAGTACCTTGAAATTACACTTTTTCATTATAATCCTGTAATCAGTTGTTTATGTGACTTACAATTTTTAACAGAGTAAAGAAGTACTCATTGTGTGATGAAAGTAAAAGTAATTTTGCTAGTAAAATTCTTTCAACTGTTTACTAGGGAAATGAGATGGGTTATTCTATAAAGCTCAATTCTTTAAATCCGGCCCTACTCATTAAAAAATATTTTCTGCTTCATGTAAAGAATTCTTATAAGAGTAATAATAATTTATATGTATGTACTCATATACATATCACACATCATTTATAGTATTTATTTTTTATTTTGGAGTTAAGAGACAATCTAGTTTTTTTCAATCCTCACTTGAGGATATTTTTCTATTGATTTTTAAAAATATATATTTTATTGATTTTTCACAGAGAGGAAGGAAGAGGGATAGAAACATTGATGAGAGAGAAACATCGACCAGCTGCCTCCTGCACACTCCCTACCGGGGATGTGCCCACAACCAAGGTACATGCCTTTGACCGGAATCAAACCCGGGACTCTTGAGTCTGCAGACCGACGCTCTATCCACTGAGCCAAACTGGTTTTGGCATTCTATTGATTTTTAAAGAGAGTGAAAGAGAAGGAAAGAAATATAGATGTGAGAGAAACACATCAATTGGTTGCCTCCTGCATGAACCCCAACCAGGGCCCAGGCTGGGAGGAGCCTGTAACTGAGGTATGTTTCTTGATTGGAATAAAACCCGGGACCCTTTGGTCCGCAGGCTGATGCTCTATCCACTGAGCAAAACCAACTAGGGCTAGTTGTTTTTTTAATCAGAAAATTATAAATGAATTTCTATTGTTTTATTTTGCTCCACTATGCCTGACTGCCATATCGAAGTAATTGATATCCTAACTTATTGACTTAGATAGAAGGATAAAATAGGGATTATAATCTTAAGTTATTTGTGTTTTATCCTGATTTCTAATTAAATATATTCATTGTAATTCCATTATGTCCTTTTGTCAGCCACTCTTCAGTTAATACATTGCATGTTTTCTGTTCTTTTAGCACATTGAGTACCGTCTGAAAGTATCTCTGCCTTGTGATCTCGGAGCAGCTCTAACCGATGGTGTTGTTCTTTGCCATTTGGCCAATCACGTGTGGCCTCGATCTGTCCCAAGTATTCACGTTCCCTCACCAGCTGTAGTAAGTTTATTATGTTAAGAAATGTTGGCTGCTCGTCAGACATCTATAAAGTACAATGGCAGGTGTGGTGCAGAATGCTAGAGATACACATATGAATAGTGCAGTCCCTGCGTTCCCTACCCTTCCACCAGAGAAGAAAATGGGTACATAGACAATGACTTACAGCAGAGCGCGTGATGCTAGAGAAGAGGTAAGAGGTGTGCATGGGAATACAAAAAATGGGCCGCTATTTCTGCCTGAAGAATTCAGGAAGAGGTAAAATTGTAGGAATTCTGACATAGTATTTCTAGATTTGAAAGATAAGGAAGATCATGGCACATTCAAGGAATTTAACTTGTTCGGAATTGATCCTGCACAAGGTGTGAGTGCAAAAGGCAGGAGATGTAGTTAGAGAGGTAAGGCAAAGGCCAGCACCTCTCTTTGTAATAAAATTTTTAAAAAAATATATTTTATTGATTTTTAACAGAAAGGAAGGGAGAGAGATAGAGAGCTAGAAACGTCAATGAGAGAGAAACATCAGCCAGCTGCCTCTTGCACACCCCCTACCGGGGATGTGCCCGCAACCAAATGTACATGCCCTTGACCGGAATCGAACCTGGGACCTTTCAGTCCGCAGACCGATGCTCTACCACTGAGCCAAACCGGCTTCGGCTCTTTGTAATAAAATTTTATTGGAACACAGTCCCGCTTGCTTATATATTATATGTTACCTTCAGGCTATTAACAGAATTGAGTAGTTGCAACAGATCTTATGGCTCTCAAGACTAACATTTATTTGACTCTTTAAGAAAAAGTTTGCTGACTTTGATCTAGAGCATTGAGTTTATAAAGCAACTGGCAAGAATATTTTTAATATAAAAATTTTGCTAGTAAATCACATTTTTCTTCCTTTGCAGCCTAAATTGTCAATAGCAAAATGCAGGCGAAATGTGGAGAATTTCCTAGAAGCTTGCAGAAAAATTGGTGTGCCTCAGGTAATGAATTCATCGTTTTTATATCGCTTAAATAGATGATTATTATTTTTCTGAAATCTTTCAGAAGTGCAGGAATCTATTATATAACCTTATAGGGCTAGCTTTGAACTAAACTGATCATTACTAACATGATTTTGTATTCTTAGAGGCAATCGGTATACTTTGAGCAGTTTTCCTTAATTATTTCCAAGGACCAAGCAAAAAATCATACATATATAAATTTTTTTGTTTTAAATCTTTATTATTGGAAGTATTACGTGTCCCCTTTTCCCCTTCATTAACTCTCTCCAGCCCACCCCCACATATAATTTTAAATGTATTGTAATAACATGCAAAGTAATCAAAAATAGTTATCTGATATTTCCTAAACATTCCCACTTGCTGTTTGACTTGTAATACATCTTCATGCATGCACAATAGTCTGTGCTTCAAAATAAGTGCATCTTCGATTGAGCATGCTTCAGTGGGTTTCAGGTATTTTCACACTTGTTTTAATACTTTTCTTGTTTATTTTGAAATAATGTTAGACTTAGAGAAATGTTGCAAAAATATTACAGAGTCATTGTGTACACTTCACCCAGGATCCTCCACTGGTAACATTTATATAAACGTAGAACGCCATCCAGACTAACAAACACTGGGATGTGCTGTTAACAGAATTACAGATTCTATTCAGATTCCCGTTTTCCCACCCAGCTCTAATACTTTGGATTTTAACATTTAGCCCCCAAGAGGCCATTTTTAGGCTCTTGTCCTGCTATTGAAATTTATTGCTTCTGACTTCCGCAGTTACAGCTTTATTGCCTTTAATAGTACAAAAAATTAAACTTTATAGATGTGACTAAGGGATATGAACTTGATACACTTTTTATTCATTTTACCCTTTTAAAAACAATTATGTTAAACCAACTAAGCATGGTACTCTTCAGGAATATAATGTTTAATGAAATTAAATTTAAAGAAATAAGCAACTTGGTAACATTTTTATATATTTTTTCATTAACCACAGTCATTACAGTTCCTGTCATCATTTTCTCCTTCAAGGAGAAAAACATGATTCTTCTGTCTCCTTAATTAGAAATCCAGTATTGGGCCCTGGGCTCAAACTCCACTGTTTTTCTTGAAGTTAAGCCCTTGTCCTAATAGCTTTCACAACATGACTCTTTTTTACCCAGATCACCATTCCTGTCTCTTTGCTGCCAGGACTTGTGAAGGGCTCAGCATCACTGTCCAGTGAGCACTTTTCTCTTTCAGCTCGTTCACATGTTGCAAAATGGAAGAGAAAGAGCTCAGCTCCATAGCGTCTGTATTAATCAGTGTGTTTTCCTCCTTTTATTAAGTAGATCGTGATTCTATTTCTTTTTCACTTTTTTCTTTTGTGTTTTTTTAAGAATTATAAAATGAAAGAATTGAAGTATGTTTGGTGGTAGTTAGCAAGAACCTTTAATTGCTGTATGAACAAATTCAAAAAAATTTTTTTTTCATTTTTACATCATAGTTTCCTAAAGGCTCATCATCTCTTAGAACAAACCTTTAAAAAAAAAAAAAAAAAAATATATATATATATATATATATATATATATGTATTTATAGAGAGAAAGGGAGAGGGATAGAGAGTTAGAAACATCAGTGAGAAAAACATTGATGTTTCTGGGATGTGCCTGCAACCAAGGTACATGCCCTTGACCGGAATTGAACCTGGGACCCTTCAGTCCACAGGCCGATGCTCTATCCACTGAGCCAAACCGGTTTTGGCAGAACAAACCTTTTTTAAACATATTAATACGTTTTCTAAACAAATAGCATGCATTTTCTCCATATTAACAAGCAGGTCTAATACTCAGATGTTCACATTAACATTCAGTGCTTCCTTTGTCTATTGAATATGTTCCTACCTGTCATCACAGTACACAAGCCTGCCCAGCACCTGCCTGCTTCCATACCATCATGTCCTGAACAAAAGCATGTGGCATGGGTTGGATAGGGAATGGCAGCCAGAGAAAAAATATGAGTGATTCAGGAGAGTCACTGCATACATAGAGGAATGCGGAAAACAGCCCCAAACAGCAAGACATGTTAGTAGAATTAGCCTGTCAAGCCTCAGCACTGTGTTTACCAGTGTTTATTGTCATGGGACCTGTATTCTGGGCTTTATGGAACCATCATCTACCTCAGATTTAAAGTGCACACTCTTAAATTCTTTTAGAATGTGCCTGCAGTCAGCGAAATACAAAGACCGAGTGCCTTAGAGCATGCATTTAATTCAGCATTTGCCAAGCAGTGGTGAATAGTGTTTATTGTGGGCCGGGCTGTCTCTATTCCTACCAGAACTGTGCTATTTGAAGTCAGGAGGAGAAAGCAATATAATTTTAAAATACTGGGTGGTTAGAAAGGGTTTCTTGACATAATGACATATCCTTCCTCTTCCCCCTCTTCCCCACCCGAAGGGGGAAACGGACCTTCCACACAGGCCACCTCTTCCTCTCCTCTGCCCCCCCCTTTACCACCGCCGCCCCCGCCGCCACTTTCAGATGGGTTCCTGGTAGGCTGCAACTTCTGCTCTAAAAAAAATCAGTCATTTGCTTAGAACAAAGTGAAGGAAAGTGAATAAATATACAAACTCATAGGTTCAAACTAGCATTCTCAGGTCCTCTGCTAAGGAGGAAAGAGAAAGCCTATGCGCCGCCTCTTCCTGTGACCCTGCTCTGGGCCTCTGAATTACTGCACATCCCACTTCTCTGTGTGACTTGTAAAGAAAACCAGGAATGTAAAAATGATCATCTTTTAAATTGTATAATGTAAAATTTAATATTATAAATGTCAGATTCTATATGTAAAGACAAACAATTTCCCTTCTCAATATAATTTTTAAGTGTTTATAATGTAAGTTATGAATAAAATATTAAAGAATAAGGTGACTATGTCCTAACCGGTTTGGCTCAGTGGATAGAGCATCGGTCTGTGGACTGAAGGGTTTCAGGTTCGATTCCAGTCAAGGGCATGTACCTCGGTTGTGGCACATCCCCAGTAGTGGCAGCTGATCAATGATTTTCTCTCATCGATGTTTCTAATTCTCTATTCCTCTCTCTCTCTCTCTCTCTCTCTGTAAAAAATCAATAAAATATATATTTTAAAAAAAGAATAAGGTGACTATTAAAAACTTCTGATAAGATTGGGCATGTGGGTATTCTTTTTATTACTGTGCTTTTATTAGATATGTTACATTTGAAAAACTAGTGGATGATAAAAATTTCTATGTGAGTTCAATATCTTGTGTATTAAAATTACTATATGTTATGTGTTGAGTATTTTCTATCTATCAAGTCCAGTGATATATATTTACTTATTTAATTTCTTCATCTATGAACTGAAAGGTTTGGGTAATCTCTGAGATCTTTGTGATGTAGCTTCATTTTGCACATATCGGTGAAGACGTGGTTAGATGGGCGTGCCTTGGTTTCAGAGGCGCACCAAGCCATCCAGTACACTGAGCAGCTAGTGAATTCTCTGATTTTAGGCTTTCCTCCTTTTTTGACCTTTTTCAATTTACCTGGCTTTCTCTGAAAACTTCCCTCTCCTCAGCCTGCTCCAAGGTTTTGTCCGTTTTCTGAGAAACCTATTCTTTTTTGTTATTGAGGAAGAATGAGATCCAAGAGAGGTTTCCTCTCGAAGCCCTCACTGCTCTCAGGCCTCCCTCAGCCAGCAGCCAGAGCTGCTCATTGTATCCTGAATGTTCCTGCCAGTCACCATTCCAGCCAATTTTGTTCTGCTGTTTCGTAGTAAAACCAAACTCAGCACACAGAGGTGTCTTTGAAGCTTTGTTGTTCAGCATTTTTTTTTTCATTCATCTTAGTAAAAAATGTTACGAGATGTTTCAGTGAGTATGATTGAGATAATCATGTTGAATTCTGTACTCAAACCTGTATTTCTGATCCACTGACTTTGTTTTTCTGTTTCCTTCCCTGCTCACACTTTGGACAGGACAATCTTTGTTCCCCTTCTGACATCCTTCAGCTAAACCGCAGCGTTAAAAGAACGGTTGAAACACTACTTTCTCTTGGGGCACGTTCAGAAGAATCCAGTTTTGTCTCTCTGTCTATGCAGCTTTTGGGATTTGTGGCATTTTATTGTATTTTAATGTTAACTCTCTGTATGCTTTATCACTGGACCTTCCCGCTCTAGCTGAAAGATTGCCTTCCAGTGGTTTTTCGCCTCATTCCCGGGCTTGGTAAAGGAGGTTTGTTTCTCGTTCACAAATATTTACATATGTGCTTTTATCTCCCTGGCCATCGGAGAGCTAACCCCTAGCGGAGATGAATCCTTTCCTCATATGTCACGTTAGTCAGTAGGCATTTTTGGAGACTAACAAAGAGCAAAAGACCAGCATTTTCCTCCTGGCCATTCACCCGCTCTCCTGGCCTGTGGCCTTGTTTCTGCTAATACAGTCTGAGCCTGTCTTAGCATATGACTAAGAATTTCATTCCAAATGACATAATAAAACTCCCATTGGCTATTTTTCCATGCCTAAACACAACTTTTAAATGTTGTAAGTTGCCAAACTTCTTCAACAGATGCTCATAAGGAAAGTAGTTGTACCCTTTCTGGTTTATAGGGCATCTGCTCACTTAAATCTCTGCATTGAACTGTGCCCTGAAGTCTCCCTTCTGGCTGTCTGGGCATCTGGAAGGCACTAGTTACTTAACCTTAATAACTTTAATTTGATCAGAATGGTCAGTCCAAAATCATGTAGGTTCTCTAGATTGTTATTCTGAGCCCAGTGTATACATTTAAAACAATACGAAGCAAGCAAATGGTCTAGAGCTGACTTGGCAGGGGTAGGCAGCCGTCCAGATTTACTATGTGTTCATCTTTAATTGAGCTTCATGTCTAGAATCCTATTAAGAATTTAAAATCATAATTTATGTAATTCCTAATACCATTTGAACCATCTTACTAGGTGAACTTGTATTTTATAGGCTGTTGAGGAAATTGTATCTGAACTGTAGGTAAAGTATTAGGCAGCAGTCTCTGTTCTGTACACAAGGCAAAGGATATATTTGCTTTTAGAACATCCTGTTGTAGAAGTCAGCCTGGGGGGTTGATTGTTTTCAGTTTCTTTTATATTAAATGAGACAGTTACTTAAAACATTTAAAACTATTTACTGTTGGTGCTGAAACATGGAATACTGTGTTGGAAACTTTAATTTTATGTCGTAGTAGTGCCTTCCAGAGTTTGGGGGAGGGGGAGGGTCAGATGTTTCTGAGTCAGAGATCATTTAGTTCTGTGGAATTTTGTGCTTTTGAAAAAACACCTGATAAAAAACACATGGTCTCATGTGTGTGGTTCGAAGGGCGTAATTGTGCATTCTTTTGGGAGCACGTGGTTGTCTAGGCCGGCGGGAGGTAACTGCATCCGGCAGCACCGCCGCTGAGGACGTGTCTGTCACCTGCACCGGCGCAGGGCACGCCCGAGAGGCGCGCAGGTCTCTCCCAAGAGCAAAGCCCTGGAAGCTCATGTTAAGTGTAGTAACCTATACTTGCAGTTGTACTCAAAGTATTTACACAAAGTTGATCATTTAAAAAAGCAAAAGATTGCAGTTACTGTTTTTTAATCAGATAAGTATTTTTTAAAAGAAAGAAGCATTTAAGGACCAATAACTGCTCAAAATAAATACTTGTTATATTTTTTTATTGCAGCTGATTTTGTAAAACTTCCTACTATAGTAAGTGCTAATGAAAAGCTGAGAAAAGTTCAGTTATCTTCTTTAATAAGTATGTATAATTTCTTTTTAATGAAACCGGAATTCTCCTGTCCATTTCTTCCCGTAATCCCTGCCTGGTATGAAGCCCTGGTTTTCACAATCAGGACATAATGCAGAGAGGAGGCGTCCCTCCCTCGTGCCGCCTGAGCGATGGCACCAAATGACCGTGCCTTCCAGTGGACGGCATTTCCCAGTGCTTTCTCCTGCGGCCCAGCCATCTGATATAACTCGTCCTTTCCTCTCTCTTCGCCTGCCTGGTTTTACTCGTTTGCATTACTCTTTCATTTATCAGAGGTAAAGCTCTTGCTTTCACTCCATAGTATTCTGTTTGTCCTCTGTTGTTTGTGTAAGTGTACGTAACTTGTCCGTTTTCCATTTGGCCAAAACTATCCTATGTACTTTTAGTTGTGTTAATAAAGTGATAGTATCAGATACCATCTCCGTGTGCCTCATGAACAGAGGTCATTTTCCCAACTGACTTTTCACATCTCAGTTGATTATTGTAAGAGATGCTTATTTTTTTTTTCTTTTCAGTTCTGTGATGTTCATCCTATTTTCTTTTGTGTTTATGTCACGTTTTCCCATTTCAGGAGCAATTATGTTTGCCTCTCCACATTTTAGAAGAGAAAGGTCTGAGCCAGGTTGCGGTGACGGTCCAGGCTCTCCTGGCGCTGGCCCCGCCCAAGCAGCAGCAGCACCAGCTTTCTGCTGCGTGAGGACGCCCCGCGCTCCGGGCATCGCTGGCCAACACGCCACAGCACACACCATCACGCCACCTGCTTAACCAGAGCTCTCACATGTTCTCAAAAGGGACTGTTTCCATGATTCCTAACAGGAATATTTCGCTTCATTTCTCCATTTTAGGGGAGGTTATATCCATTTCCATTGAATTGTTTTGGAAGACCTGGTTGATTTTCACAAATGAAACGTAATCCTGTCATTACTGAGAGCCAGCACCGAGGCCTGACCTGGCCGTGCGTCCCTGGAGGAAGGGTTTTCCCGCCTCCCAGAGAGAGCGCCTCAGAGGCTCGTTAGCTCTCTCTGGGAAGGCACAGACGTGCGGTTAGCTTTCCCTGTCCCCAGACCTCTAGAGCTCTGGTTTTAAACGCGGTTGTTCAATGGAGTCTCCGGGAGCATTTGTTAAAATACAGGTCCTAGTCAGAGGGTCTAGGAAGGCCTGGGTATCTGCATTTTCAACGAACATTCCAGCTATTTCATGTAATGGAGTCCACCGTTCCAAGCTAGATATTTGTGTGATTGGGGGAAGTAATGACTTCACTGTGTTTTTCAGCCACATTTAAAACCAAAAGCTATATGATGACTACTTGGACTTTCTGTCCAAGGCAAAACAAAAATATGTAGAAGGCCTACATTTTGCATGGTAAACCAATGGAACAAAGTTGTATTTAAGGCCAGTGTCCTAGGCCCTAGACTGTTCGGAATCCTCAGCATTTGCTTTGACTTCCCTGAGCGCACCCCCCTTCAGGCCATGCTGCTCCCAGGATACCTGGGCCTGCCAGCACCTTCCAGTCACCGCAGTACACGTCCAGCTCCCCCGCTGATGGAAGACCATAAAACAGAGCAGAAGGAATAAGGGGAAAGCCACGAGTCTTCTGTTTCTTCCAGGCAACTGTCAGTTCCAGTGGCTGAATTAAAGCGCTTACAGCATCTTAAAAACGGCTCGCTGCCTTCTCATCCAACTCCACCGCGAGTGCCTGTTCCCCCAGCTGTGTGCAGAGGCAGGGCCCGAGGACTCCCCACACACAGCCAGGCCTGTACCTGAGCCTCGGGGTCTTTCTTCCTCTGTATTTTGAACCCTTTTTAGTTGTCGGTGATAATGTTTTGGTCACTGTCCTTACAAACCAAGTAAATAGCGTAAGTGAAGATACTAATTATCTAGTTTTTTTTCTGTTGTTGACTGTTCTGGATTTCCTTTACCAATGCATGCATAATGTTGAGCATAATGTTCTCACTCTTTTTTATCAATATAAACGCAGCATCTAAACGTAACTTTGGATAAAATAATTGTTCTCATAAGCCTTAAGGAAACGAGTTCATGAGAACATTACCACTTGTCCTCGTTTAAAATTATGTATCACAGAACACCTGCACTCAAAGCCCAGCGTTCCGCACAGAATAAAAGCAAAATGTCTTGAAGTGCTTAGAGCCAGACCCATTATACTAACAGTTCCAAACACCCACCAGTCATGTGACTTGTTTAGAATTTAGTTATGTGCATTTTTAAACTATAGGTATTTTTCCTTTTGGTCAGCGTTAAACCTCAGTACTACTTCCAGATTATAGCGAGCCATTTGAATGAAACTCAGCAAAGGACAGGACTCTTTGTCACATATTTTGCAAGGAATAACCCCAGAAGACATGCATAATGCAACATTCGGAACGTTTGCAACTAATTTTCCCAGAGGAATAAATAGTAATTTCAATGCATTTCAAATTTTACACATAAGCATGAAACCTGTTCATGTATTTTTATCAAATTTCACATTTGAATTGCTAGGGAAAAAATGTGCAGTTTTGGTTGATAATGAAAGGAAGATATCAAATATATTGAATTTCTTCAAGATGAGGGAACCATGATTTTTTTTGTTGTTGAAAATTATTTGTATTCAGTGTTTCAGTATTTGTACCTTTGGGTTTGTTTTTGCTTTTTTTTTTAAGCTTTATTGAGGTATAATTTATATGCCACAAAATTCTGTTGCTTTATAGTAATGTGCAATTTTTAAAGTTGTACCTTTTGTTTTTTTTACTGAAAAATACGGTTTAACACTTAGCCTTGCCAGATACTAACGAAGATGACTTTGTAACAGTTCCACCTGACCGTTTACTTATGAGCTTCCTACTGAAGCAGCAGCCTTCCCAGAGCTGGAGTGTGAAGGAAGGAAAGGCTGGGTGCCCACCCACCAGGCCCCGCCACCTGCAGAGGCTGTAAGTCAGCAGGTCTCTGGCTTTCAGACCATTTTCTCCGCAACAACCCAGAGGAGGAGGAGCCTTTGTGTTTGACTAGAACAGAGGAGGCGGCTTACTAATAAGTCACTTTTCTTTATAAAAACACAGTCTTACAGCCGATCAAGGAATCTGATTTCTCTTACTTGCCATAGCTCAGCAGTGACTAATGTGTGCCTGTGCTGATGAGTGTGATGAATTTTTAAAAACTAAGCACTTAAATGGTTATAGAAATGAAGGAAAACATGGATATTTTGAAGCTTTTTTATATACATATTGCAGTGAGATGGTTTACAGCAGATTTTATCTCTGAAAATGTTGTAAACATGTAATTAGTAAAAGAATTTGTGAAATGTTGTCCTATATTTGTATGTGTGTAAATATGGTGCGTAAGTTCTAACTATAAATATGTCAATATCATGTATGTTATTTTAAATTGCCTGTATGCCACCTTACACTTCCACACTGAAATAAAAACCAACACTTCAATAGCATGAGATAAAGGCTGATTGAAAATGTTCTTATCTAAAGCGTGGTTTCCGTGGCAGAAATGAAAGAGTGTCTAATTTCCCGAAGGAACGTCAGATCAGGAGAAACGGGGTTCTCATCATGGGTCCTTGACATCAAAACGCACTGTTTAAAGGAAGCACGGAAGTCAGCAGCGCCTGTATTTGGACTTAGATGTGAGGCTTATTTACTAGCACATGAAACAGTGACCCTTTGAGACGCATTTTCTCTACCGCTTGTGCCATTGGAAAAGCTTTAGCTCCCAAGGTTCTGCTTTGATTAAGCAAAACACGAATGACCCAGCGGCTCATTCTTTTTTAGGGGAAGAGGGAGGGTGACCAACCATCAGCTTTATGTTGCAGGCACAGGTTAGGTATTTTCACATGCTTTGTCTCTTAGTCTTATTACCCCACTTATCAAAAATATCTCCAAACTGGTCTTCCAGGGAACCTGTGTCCCCCCCTCTTTACCTGGTTGGGTTTGCTAACATCTCATTTCTAACATTTCTGGGAAATGGAATTATCCTTACCTATTTCCCAGAAAAAGGAGCTGAAGCTAAACCACCATCATCCCCTAATAAAAACACTAAAATGATGATAAATCTAAAAGGCAGGAAGGAACCAATCTTTAAATAAAACTTCACTACATAAGAATATTATGCTGGACACATCATAAACATCATCTTGTAATTCCTATTGAACACTTCACTTTTTTTAATGTATATATTTTTTATTGATTTTTTACAGTAAGGAAGGGATGGGGAAAAAGAACCAGAAACATCGGTGAGAGAGAAGCATCAAACAGCTGCCTCCTGCACACCCCCTACTGGGGATGCGCCTGCAACCAATGTACATGCCCCTGACTGGAATCGAACCTGGAACCCTTTAGTCCGCAGACCGACACTCTACCCACTGAGCCAAACCGGTCAGGGCGAACACTTGACTTTTGCTCTTAGAGTGTTTTCACTATCGACCAATTGAATAAAATCAGAATCAGAGACGAATTACAGGAATTACTGAAGTTTTAATGCGTTACTGTAACAGCCTATGAGTTTTTTCCTGGTAAGAGCAAGACGAATCTTCACAAGGCTCCTACAAATAGTTCCCAGCACAAATTTTTCAAAATATGAACAAGCCTTATTTCAAGGTTTGAAACTAATATAATTGGCAAAGTGAAATAAGCAGGCCACATCTGGGAATGTCCAAATCGGAAGCTGCTGGAGATGAGTTATCTGATGGTAATTGAAGTTTCTCACTCCCTTCAAGTCCTCCCATCTCCGGATGCCAGAGGAAAAGCCAGAAGATACCTGGTCATTATCTCTTCATTCTCAGTCTACCTCTGCCTCTGCCTTTACCTTTTGAATCCTTGCCATCAGCTTTCTCCCTCTTAGGCATTCTGAAACCACCGATTTCATTCCGCACTATAATGCCTCGCCACCAGGCCTGGAGCTGGAAGAGAAAGGGGAGTGGGAACAATTTATAGTGCCTGACAAGCTGCATTCTTCCTACATAAGGGGTTGGGTGTTTTGTTTTGTTTTTAATATATTTTATTGATTTTTTTTACAGAGGAAGAGAGAGGGATAAAGAGTTAGAAACATCGATGAGAATCATTGATCAGCTGCCTCTTGCACACGCCCTACTGGGGATGTGCCCGCAACCAAGGAACATGCCCTTGACCGGAATCGAACCTGGGACCTTTCAGTCCGCAGGCTGACTCTCTACTCACTGAGCCAAACCCGTTACGGCGGGGTTGGGTTTTTTAAAAGTATATATTTCATTGATTTTTTTATAGAGAGGAAGGGAGAGGGATAGAGAACTAGAAACATCAATGAGAAACAGATCAGCTGCCTCCGGCACACCCCATACTGGGGATGTGCCCACAACCAAGGTACATGCCCTTGACCGGAATCGAACCTGGGACCCTTCAGTCTGCAGACCGACACTATCCACTGAGCCAAACCGGCTTTGGCAAGGGGTTAGGTTTTAATGAAGTGACTTGTATCTGAAGAATAGACTGAGAAATGGGTGTGCCAAGCATGCCCTCCCTGCAGCAGTGCTCCCCGGTTGTGCAGGACCCAGAGCTTAAGCCATGGACTCAAGTTCTCAAGGAGTAAAAAAAAAAAAAAAAAAAAAAGAACCTTTTTCTTACACTTAGAAAACCAACTCCCTTGTACTTTTGCTCTTCACAAACATACTTTTCCATCTAACAACAATTTGATCCAAGTGTAAAATGTGCAGATAGGCCTAGCCAGTTTGTCTCAGTGGATAGAGTGTCAGCCTGCAGACTGAAGGTCCCGGTTTTATTCTGGTCAAGGGCACATGCCTGGGTTGCAGGCTTAATCCCCAGTGTGGGGCATGCAGGAGGCAGCCGATCAATGATTCTCTCTTATCATTGATGTTTCTGTCTCTCCCTCTCCCTTCCTCTCTAAAATCAAAAAAATATATTTTTAAAATATATTTTATTGATTTTTTACAGAGAGGAAGAGAGAGGGATAGAAAGTTAGAAACATCAATGAGAGAGAATCACCGATCAGCCACCTCCTGCACACCCCCTATTGGGGATGTGCCTGCAACCAAGGTACATGCCTTTGACTGGAATTGAATCCGGGATCTTTCAGTCTACAGGCTGACGCTCTATCCACTGAGCCAAACTGGTTTCGGCAATAAAAATATATTTTTAAAAATAAATAAAATGTGCAGATCTAGATTTCAATAGACTTCTGGTGCACTTCATATCTTTAATGATTGGTTAAAGGATCAATACTTATTTTCAAAAAATAAGCTTTGCATATTTTAGTCATTAGAGACAACTGTTCTGGGCTACTTTAAAATCACACTCAACCGTAAAGACTGAGAGCAAATCCACCAACAAAAATTAAAAAAAGGCCTTCCTCTAGTTCTTATATGTTTGCTCTCAGTCAAGGAATCCTGACTAGTGGGTGACAAATAGAAAACACCATAGGAGCTCGATAAATACTAACTGTACATCTGACTCCTAATGGAAAGCTCAAGTTTGGATTTGGTTACCTGATCCCGAATGCACTTTAAAGCTTACCTTTTAAAGTATGTATTATATAGCCGAGACCGGTTTGGCTCAATGGATAGAGTGTCAGCTTGGGGACTGAAGGGACCCAGGTTCGATTCCAGTCAAGGGCATGTACCTTGGTTGCGGGCACATCCCCAGTAGGGGGTGTGCAAGAGGCAGCTGATCGATGACTCACTCTCATTGATGTTTCTATCTCCTTCCTCACTGTACAAAATCAATACACACACACACACAGTTTTATTGGTTTCAGAGAGGAAGGGAGAGAGAAACATCAATAATGAGAATCATTGTTTGTCTGCCTTCTGCACGCCCCCTACTGGGGATTGAGCCCACAACCTGGGTATGTGCCCTTGACTGGGACCCTTCATTCTGCAGGCCAATGCTCTGTCCACTCAGCCAAACCAGTTAGGGCTAAAGCTTACATTTTTAATCCACTCCTAATACATATCCCAAACTACAGCCTGCATATTATTCTATCTCCACAGGTACTCCTCTTTCAGAAACAAGGATGATCCTCAAAACAAGTTTCAGTTCCATTGATGTTATTTTTGCTTGATATTTCCTAGAATCTGACCTGCCAGTTAAAGCATCATGAATATACAGAAGTTCATATAAAACTAAAACTTTTTTTTCCCCTAAACTTATCCCTTCTACCTTTTTTGAAAACAGCTCTCAGCACAATCTGGCAGATAGCCTGGGCTAACTTAGAAATAGGATTTTCAGAAGCAGCATGATATCAGAACTCTGTCAAGAGCTGTTTTGGTGAGGCCAGCTTGTATGGCCCAACTGAGCTGCATCCCATGCACAAAGAGGGCACCCGTTCAATTCATGATCTGGGTTTTGGGCTTGATCCCCAGTAGGGAGTGTACAGGAGGCAGCCGATCAGTGTTTCTCTCTCTCCCTCTCCCTTTCTCTAAAAATCAATAAAAACATTTTTAAAATATGTTTTGGTTAGAAATAGTATCCTTAAATTTGACCTCTGGGTACAAATTCTAGGTTTTGTTTCCACTGCTAAGTCACCTTCTTTTCCCTGATTAAAGTTGGAGGAATGAACCAAAGGACTTGTGTGCATACATCTGAGCCTAACCAGTGGTCAAGGACAACAGGGGTGGGGGCTTGAATGGGAGGGGTGAAGGATGGGAATGGGATAAGGACAAATATATGATACCTTAATCAATAAAGAAATTAAAAGAAAATAAAGTTGGAGGAATGTCTTTTTCTGTTAACTGTCTCCCTGCACCACCGACTGTAGATGTCCTGTTCTGAGTGTGATAATAAGTGAGAAGTACTTTGCATTCCTCAGTGGTAAGCCAGATACAGAACTGGAAGGAGCCACTACGACAATTACAACTTTCTACCTTTATGATGCTCTTTAATTCCAAGGCAGTCTGCTCTATCTGCTTCTTGTTCTTCTCCTTTTCTATACGATCTTCAATGATGACCTGTTCATACTCCCTGATCTGCAAAAGTAAACATTAATTATGTTACAGGACTCTTGGCTAAGCTGTGGCCCAGCCAGCCCTGCAATTTTAATAAGATTTAAAATAAAGCATGCCAAATCTAAAGATAAACCAAAGGAAAAAATACTTACTGGATTCCTATAATATAAATATTCACATATTAGCTTCATAACTGTTCTGTTCCCAATTGTTTTTTCAGTTTGAATAATTCAAATTTTCCTTATAATATTTCATAAAGATGAAATATTAACGTGATTAATGACCTCAAATTAATGTCATTTTTTAAGAGCTATGATAGAATGCACACATGAAGCCATACTTAGAAGCATTTTGGAAATCATAATTTACTGTCTTCAGAGACCATAAAATAGAAATTTCAAGAGGTTGTTGTGAGGGTCAAATTAAGTTCTACTAGAGTATGTGCAATACCAGTAGGGAACCTGGGACAGAGTAAGCACTAAGTGTTAGCGACTGCTCTTGTTGTTGCATTGTCACCGCTATTATGATCACTGAAAAAGAATCCCAGGGCCCAGCCAGTGTGGCTCAGTGGTTGAGTCTCAACCTATGAACCAGGAGGTCATAGCTGGATTTCCAGTCAGAGCACATGCCCGAGTTTTGGGCTTGATCCCCACAGGGAGGCAGGCAGGAAGCAGCCAATCAATGACTCACTCTCATCAGTGATGTTTCTATTTCTCCCTCTCCCTTCCTCTCTGAAATCAATAAAAATATATTTAAGAACAAGAAAAAGATGGTTTACATCTTCACTTTGTGACCAAAAATAGCATTACCCCAGCTACTGTAACTTAGCTGCATCCACTCCTCAGTGCTCAGCCTTCAGCTATTGAAACTCTGCTTCCTTACCGTCTTTGCAAGCTCTTGAAGGTGTGCTAAGTCACTGGCCTTCGCAGCTTTGAGAGCATTCAGTTCATTCTGTTTCGTTTCTGTGTCCTTATCGTATTTCTCCATCCAGAACTCTAGCTTCTCCTCAAGTTTCTATTGGGAAAGAATATTAAATCATGGCTTCTACCAGACACAAAGCACTTATATAAAGTTCAAGAACAAGCAAAATGTTTCCATAGTGACAGAAGTCAGAATCGTATTCAAATTACAGCTTTATAAAATATTTATTCAGATAAATAACTGTATTTTGTTTTGATGTATGTGAAATACATGTTTAAAATATTTTTAAATATATTTTTTATTGATTTCAGAGAGGGAGGGAAAGGGAAAGAGAGAGAAACATCAATGATAAGAGAGAATCATTGGTCAGCTGTCTCTTACACACCCCCTACTGGCGATCCAGCCCACAACCTGGGCAAATGTCCTGACCGGGAATCAAACCATGACCTTCCGGTTCATAGGTTAATGCTCAACCACTGAGCCACACCAGCCGGGCTCAGATGAATAACTTAAAAAGATTACATGGGCTATAGCTCATTCATTAAGCTGGTAGAATTAAGATTGATTTTTTTTTTTTCCCCTTAAAGAAAAGTGTGTTGGCTGACCTTGGTATTTTGTAAATGAAACACAAACATGTCAGAGGATAAAATAGTTTTGGTGACTCACCTGCTGCTCCCTTCGAAGGAATATTTCAATCTCCATATGAATCTGGTTTTCTTCTTCAGTTTTCAGCCTTAGTTTCTATGAAAACAACAAACCACGTCAGTTCTTCCCAGCAGGGCTCCTGGGTTGGAAATGAGAACTTCTCAAGATTAGAGGCGAGGCTGCGGCAGGAGCACAGGACTCGGCGGTGTTGCTCCGAAGCCACAGTTCTGCTCCTTTCAGCCCGCTCCGTGTGCCCACCGACTGCGGAGCCGTGTGGGGCACTGTGCTGGGTGCGTGTGAGTGACCAGAACAGAGGGGCCGTAATCCTGTTGCCTGGAAAGTGATGTCAACTTAAGGATGTCAACAAAGGCCCAGTTTCTCAGGCCCAGGAAAGGCGGTGCCGGGTGCAAGAAAAACGTTTTCTATCACAGACGTAGCCGCCTGGGGAGTGCGCTTCCAACAAGCAGGGAGCTCAGAAGAAAGGAGCCTCGCACAGACACACTCTACTGCTGGCTCCTTGTCGCCTGTTGTTCTTTCAGCCGTTCAGCTTTCCTTTTTAAGTTTTATGAACTTCACATCTCTAGCTTTTGTATTTCTTAGTGGAGGGATAAAAGGTACTGGTTGCGCTGGCCGGTGTGACTCAGTGGTTGAGCGCTGACCCAGGAACCAAGAGACCGCGGTTTAATTCCCAGTCAGGGCACGTGCCTGGGTTCCAGGCTCTGTCCCTAGAACGGAGTGTGCAGGAGGCAGCCAATCAATGATGCTTCTGTCTCTTTCCCTTTCTCTCTCTAAAGATCAATGAAAACATTTATTTTTAAATACTCAAAGAAAAAAGGCACTGGCTGAGTGAGGAAAGCAGCAGCAAAATCCTGCAGTTACTGCAAACCTGGTTTTATTCTCTGCCTATGATTGCCAGGAGATAGGGCAGGTGGTTTTATGAAAGTGATCAAGGGAAGAAAGTACAACCAGTTTTCAGTCTTTACAAAACAACAGGAGATCCAGGCTCTCCAGCCCATCAGAGTCTCAACAGGCAAACAAGCAAGTCCTCCTTCCCTTCTGATTTTTAACCTCAAACGTTAGGGCTACAGAAGAGATCAGACAAATCATGGGGATGTTCCTCTCGCTCCTCCGCTAGCTGAGACAACGAGGAGGGACAGCAATGCCATCTCCCCGGCTCCTGCCTGGGCAGCAGCGATTACCTCAATCTCTTCCAGCAGGAGCTCCTCTGTTTTGTTACATTTCTTCTGGGTCTGAGAGATCTGCAGCTCAGTGTTTCTCTTCATAAAGCGATTCTCCATGTTCGTTTTTGCCTTCAGCTCTTGCAACTGGTCCTTGAGGTGAGCAATATATTCATTCCGACTCTGCAGAGGTTAGGCCAGGTTTGTAAATGAAAATACATCCTACCTCCATTCAGTTCAGCCAGTGGTTTTAAGCTTACTTTTTGTATGTATATATCAACAAGGATCTGAATCTATTTTTTTCCCCTCTATCATGCTATAGGAAGTTTAGCCAGTAATCGTGGGTAGTATCAGTGAAAAGAAAAGATAGGTAGTTCTAAACATCAGGACTGTGAGATTCCTTCCGAGACACACTATTTGTGTGCATTTCCCGTTGGGCGCGCTCTCTCTCTCTCTCTCTTTCTCTGTCAGCAAAGATGGCAGATTCTGGCCAGAGTGAAGGAGGAGGGTGGCGGCTAGAGCTAAGGCCTGGGTCCCAGGTGCCGGAAGGCTGGTGCCAGAAGCCAGGGAAAGTTTTATATATATATATATAAAACTTTGAAATTTTTATTCAATACCACACTAGTGCTCTTTTTACCAAAAAGAGATAGCAATGAAGCCCTGACTGGTATGGCTCAGTGTGATATTGAATAAATACTATATATATGTGTGTGTATATATATATATATATGTACATATATAAATATATACACACACATATATATTAGTATTGAATAAATATCTTAATATAAATTTTGAGACATTAAAATTGCCTTGAGGATATATATATATATATATATTCTTCTTACTAAAAATAAAAGAGTTTTATTGATTTTTTTTAAGAGAGAGGGGAAGTGAGAGGAGAGAGGGACATAGATCAAGCCCACAACTTAGGCAGGTGCCCTGATCGGGTATCAAACTGGCGACCTCTTGGTGCATAGGATGATGCTCAACAAACTGAGCCACACCAGTCAGGGCTCCATTGCTCTCTCCTTTCGGTAGAAAGAACACTAGTCTAACGATCAAAGACCTGTCACTCTCCTCCCCAAGTTCACAGCTCTGTGAACTTGGCCAATGAATTCAGCTCTCCAAGACTTACCTTCCATAAAATAGAAAATTAACATCTACCCTGCCTGAAATATCTCATGAAGTGAATATAAGGACTGAGAATATGTGTGAAAACTGTTTGCAGGTTACAAAGCAGTTGGCAATTTTAATGTTTCAATATTTATTTTAAAATATTTTATTCAATACCACACTAAGTAAATAGTAGAGATCTTAGACATTGTCCTTGACATCATAAAGCTAATAATCTTGTGGTAGACAAGTGGTTAAGGGAAACAAACAAATATGTGTAAACTGTTTTAAAGGTGCAAAATGCTATGTAAGAATAGGGCAACCAGCTTCCAAAGAAACTAAGACAGGAATGGATTGTCTGAAAAGATCCCCTGAGAAAGGAATGGTAATGCTGACACCTGATGGATAAGAATGTCTGTCGCATGAAAAGTGGTGTCAAGGAGAAGTCTAAGGAAAAGGAAATAAGGGTGCCGAGACCTGAGGCGGCAAACACCTAGATATATTCCAGGGACCGAAAGAACATTCTGGAGGCTCTAGTCCAGTGAGTTGACAGTGGGACAAGATGAGGTTGGAGGGCAAGTAAGAATAAGACCTGCAGGACCTCAGAGGCATATTACAAGGTTTGAATTCTATTTCACTGGAAGCCGTGAAAGTTTTAGTCAGGGTGGTAACGTCGGATTGAAAAAATTCAAATGAAGTGTGAGTAATTTCACAGAGAGATAATAAGAGTTTCCCAACAGCACAACAAGCAAGCATGCAACTAACAACAAAAATGCATGGCGTTAGTCATTGATCTGTGTTTTCCCAATTATCACCCAACTTTAATCTTACCATGTAAACTAGGCAGGATTAGTTCTAAGTAAGTATTAGAAGAAGAAACAAAGCAGATATCTGTCAAGATAATCCATAATGAAAAGCAAGTCCTGTTTAAAGAACCATAAAATTAGCCAGGAAGGAATTCTTCAAGTCATTTTGCCTACCTTCTTGATATAACTCTGTGGAACTGTTCCAATTGTATAGCAATTATTGAAACTGTATCAGAGCGTTCCAAAGAGTATTTCTGGTAGAGAATATGCTACAAACCCAATTGGTAATACTTAGTACTTTATAAGCTTTTACGAATTATAGGACTGTGGGCAAATTACTTAACCTAAGACTATTTCTCATCTGTAAAATCCTGCCAGTGCCTGGCACACTTAGGTGCTCAATAGATGCTTATTAAGTACATTTTAAGATAAGACTTTTGGCTCAACTTTTCCTTCCCTTCTCTACACTCTCCTCACTTTTCTCTATTTTTCTTCTTTCTTCTCTTCTAGTTCCAAATTGTATGGCAGTCAGTGATAAAGTTTGAATCTGTAGGAAGATGAGTTAAAGTAAAATGTGATGTGTTCACTTCTTCATCAACTGGGAACCTTTAACCTATTTAATCCCTTAGACATTCTTCAAGGCTCAGCTTATATATCACTTAAATCCAGAAAACCTTTTCCAGAAAACTTCAGTCCACATAAGTAATTGTAGTTTTTCCACAGAATCAAATAGTATTAAACTGGTATTCTTTAACCAGTTAACTGCCACAATATTTTGAATTTAACTAAAAAAGGTCTGCTGCTTGCGCCTATAGATGCTTGTGGTATATAAATGTTAAATACTGTTTGTACAAAAATATAGTTTCAAAAACTCAAGAGAATGTTATGGTCAGGTTTCTTTATCAAATTGAACATTAAGTCTTTCAGAGCAACAATATCAGGATCAGAAATGCAGAATTAAAACTCTAGGATAGTGGTTCTCAACCTTTCTAATGCCACGACCCTTTAATACAGTTCCTCATGTTGTGGTGACCCCCAACCATAAAATTATTTTCGTTGCTACTTCATAACTGTAATTTTGCTACTGCTTTGAGTCGTAATGTAAATATCTGTGTTTCCGATGGTCTTAGGCGACCCTGCTAAGCGACCCTGTAGAGCCTAAGATTATCGGAAACACAGATATTTACATTACGACTCAAAACAGTAGCAAAATTACAATTATGAAGTAGCAACGAAAATAATTTTATGGTTGGGGAACTGTTTTAAAGGGTTGCGGAATTAAAAAGGTTGAGAACTATTGCTCTAGGAGTTCCTGTCCATGGCAGACAGAAGGCATTACACTAGGTAACTGTGGATAAGGTCATACAACATTGGTCTGCAGTTACACTGTGCCAAGTCAAAGGCATCTGCTTTCCATGTTATTACCATGGGCCTCTGATTACCCTGAATTCCTCTCTGTATTTCTGTTCTATACAAATGGATAGCTTTCCATGGCAAAGTGTGGAAACAGAAGAGGAAAACTGAATGTATAATACTGACGGGCCAGTGATGGTAAAATCATGATCAAGGCATACACTCTAATAATGAACTGAAGCATCATTCCACTTCTTCATCTTCCTAGTGTGCAAAACAGAGAAGCAGTGGATTACAGGTCAAATGCCTTGAATTGTATGATTGCCTTTTAAGAATATCACTAAGAAAAGATCTGCCTTCACCACCACCCGCCATCATAACCCTGGCTGTCCAGTGTCTGGAGCTCCCCTCGTGATCAGGATCTGTGGACTGGACAGCGTATTTGTGGGGCTTTGTAGAAGACCGAATTTTACTTCCAAAACTGCCTTCAGATCTGGACTTCTGGAATTGTTACTTGAATTCAAAGAAATATGAGTAATGGAAAGAAGGAGTCGGCCAGTTAAAGTTAATAAGGCTCTGGTGGCTGCACATTATCATGAGCCAAAGGATTTTAATGGTAGTGTCTGTTTTCATAATTGAACATAAAGTACGACAAGAGTACTGGTTCCTGGAATTTTTAGACGCTACTGTCTGGAAAAGTTGGATTTTGTCTTATAACTCAGGCTGTCCTGTCTGGTTGGAAGGAAAAAGGAAAATGGGAATGTGGCCTTGATAACAGCCACAGAAACAACTATAGTTCTGTGTTAAATTAACATTTGTATTTGTCTGTCTATCACTAAAAATGCTGGCTGATTTTCTTAGAGTCTACGAATAAAGTCTGAGCTAAGTGGAATCTCCAGTTATAAGATATAAATAAAACCTAATCAAGACCAAATTCTAAAATTTCAGGCTCCAGTTCCACCCACTTCCACCTGAACCATTTTCTTTCCAATAGTAGCAATTTCCTCTTCTCTTTCCTTTTGTAATAAAGTTTCCACACACCTCACTGTCTTGGCTGATCTCTTCTGAGTAAACTCCTTAAATATGACGCCTAAAACTGTACGTGTTATTCTGTCTGTCTAACCAAAACAGAAGACAGGGAATGGTTTTTCCCTGTTGTATCAGAGCCCACAGTGCCAAATTTCAGTAACCAAAACAAAGAGCAAGTACTCCAAATGCTTTCAGAATGTATGGTAATACGGTGTCACATTGTGAAGACTGGTCACAGGAAGGAAGGAGGAAGAGGAAATAAGGAAGTAGGAAGAAGGTAGAAGGACCACTATGAAAGGAAGACTGAGTAGTTTAAGGAAGACAGGGGTAGGCAGGCCAGGCTGTTGCTACAACTAGTGGTGGAGCTAGGCCTAAATTCAGATTCTCATGTGACGACCTGGCTGAACCTCCAAAGAAATTGCTGAAGACAAGTTAGGTCTTCCCAATGCTCAACTTAGAAGAGTCTTCTAGGGACATTAGTTTCATTCACAGTTGCTTCTTTTTGGAATCAGTTCGAAATTTTAATAATTAACAGGGTCTTTATTTCTAATGTCTATTATTTATCACATACCAGCTTTGAGTTGCTAGTAAATTTAATAAGCGTGCTTTCTGTTTTTCATTTAATTCCTGAATCCATTTTGGACCACAGAGAACATCAGAGTCATCTCAACTTATTCTCTCGGTATTCTCTTAACCTGGCCCCCAGAAAGGAATTAGTCATCAAAGTGTACAAAAAGCTGAGGGGACTGCCCTGGCTGAGTGACTCAGTTGGTTGGGTGTCGTTCTGTACACCAAAAAGGTTGCGGGTTCGGTTCCCAGTCAAGGCACATACCCAGGTTGTGGTGAGTGGCCAATCAATGTTTCTTTCTCACATAGATGTGTGTGTGTTTTTCTTTCTCTCTCTCTCTCTCTTTTCCTCTCTGTCTAAAATCAATTTTTAAAAAATATTCTCGGGTGAGGATTTTTTTTTTTTAAAAAGGTGAGGGGCTGGAGTAAAGAAAAGAACCAGGTAACATGCAAAGTAGTAATAGGATGGCCAGAGGAAAAACAAGTATGGCTTGAAGGCTGGAGTAATTCAGGCCAGTTTTAGGATATCGTGCAAAGTTTTCAGGATAGCACTGGGCGTCCCAAAGTCCAATGACCATGGATGACAATGGGGTTGCTGAATAGAGAACAAAAGGGTGAGGGATTCGGAATGCTGCAGTTGTCTTAAGTCCACCCATAGTCTAGACATTCATGTGAACTCAATTCTAAGGGAAAATAATCGTGATTAGCCCCTGCGAAGGAGGAGGCACAGAATGCCTTCCAGCCAGCACTAGAATACAAGTAGGCACTAGCAGAGTCAAAGGGCAAGAGTTTGTACTCAGAATCACTGAGCACCACTGGGAAGGTCCTCTTACTATTGTAATAAGGTTACAGGGTTCCAAGACATCCAGCTTCATGCACTTTGACTCCTTGGGAAGCAATTTGTTCAGAAAACCTAAGGATACTATGAACCTAGGAACAAAGGCTAGTGGCCTTTTTTAGACAATTCTTCCAAATAAATTTTTAAATATTCTTCTAACTTCCATTCAGGAATTAGATAATTCCCTGATCTGAAGCATAAACTTCTCCAAATAGCTAGGTAATGATAAACTGAAATTAGGCCATCATTTTTAACTCCCTAAACTACTAATAGTGTTTGTCATTCTAGTAGAACTAATTTCTAACTGACTAAGTGGTAGCCCAAACATTACTTTGTAAGTCAATTGCTTAAAAGTTGGATGTATTTTCTAATAGAGGTAAATTAGATATAAGGTTAGGGTCTAATAACCATAAAAACTCAGTAAGTCCACTCCGTATCTATATATATAAAGGCCTATGTGACCTTTATGACTGAGTGATCAGAATGATCAGAATGACTGATTGGCCAGTTGCTATGATGTGCACTGACCACCAGGGGACATATGCTTAACGCAGGAGCTGCCCCCTGGTAGTCAGTGTGCTCCCACAGCCAACCTCCCGTGGCTGGCCAACTTCCCACGATCCCTCTCCCTGGCCAGCCAGCCCCAATAGGCCCCAATCGGCCCGATCACCAACCAGGCCAAGGGACCCCATCCATGCACGAATTTGTGCTCCAAGCCTCTAGTTTAAAATATAATATAAATGGCCCTCCCTGGCCCATAGCTCAGTTGGTTGGAGTGTCATCCTGCTATTCCAAGGTTAAGGGTTCAATCTCTGGTCAGGACACATATAAAAATCAACCAATGAATACATGAATAAGTGGGACAACAAGTTGATGTTTCTCTCTCTCTCTTTCGATTCAATAAATAAATAAGTAAATAAATAAATAAATAAATGTTAAAAAAAAAAACCAACATACTACATATGCCATTATTAACCCTAACCATCATGTATAGGAAGGTTCATAATGTGCTTGATGTCCTTCCAAGGACTATAGTTCCCATTTGGTTCCTGGAGTGAGGCTGCCTGGGATAGGTCTCTGGTAGGGAAGGAGTGGTGGGATGGTGGGGGGGATGGGAGGGTAAGGCTGGCTGAGAGCTCCAGAGGGTTGGGGTCTCACAGAGTTCTATCCTGGACATACCTGCACATCCCAGACCCACTCTTTAGTTACTCTCTTCAGATTTCCAATAGTAAAGGCACCCCAGGAGAAACAGCAGCTTTTCATACAAAACCTGCCTTAAGAAAAACGGCTTCTATGCTGCAGTTTTAGCTCAGTAACTTTTGGTGTTGCCCAGGAAATTCTTACCTGTACTTCAACTTCTCGCTCTTTTTTGACATTGTGAAGCTCCTTTTGAAGAGATTTTATTCGTTTTCTTCCTTTTTCCTCCCTAGAAGAAATGAGAATGATTTGTGTTCAGAGCAGTGCTTCCCCTACTCCAGTGTGCACAAGGACCGCCCGGATGCTATAAGACAGATTCCCGGGCTCTCCCCGAGGTTTTTATTTCAGTGGGTCTGGGGCAAGGCCCTGGAATCAGCATTTCTAACAAGTTCCCAGGGGATGTTCATCATGCTGGTTCATGGAGCACACTTTCAGTGACACGTTTTTAAAAAACATTTTTTAAAAATTTATTGATTTTAGGGACAGAGAGGAAGGAAGGAAGGAAGGAAGGAAGGAAGGAAGGAAGGAAGGAAGGAAGGAAGGAAGAAAGGAAGAGCAGGAGCAGGGAAGAAAACATCAATTCCACCCACCTGTGCTTTCATTGGTTGACTCTTGTATGTGCCCTCGCTGGAGATCAAACCCCCAACCGTGGCAAATCAGGACTCCAATGAACTGAGCTACCCAGTCAGGGCTCGGTGATATTTTTGAAAAGACTGATTTGTTTTAGTAACTTGGAGGAGGATTTTTTTTTGGCTTATCAGTGTTGTATCTAAAATTGCTGCTGCTGAATTACTTACGCTAAGTTCAAGGTCTTGGTTAAGGTGATAACCATCACATATCTCTCTCACACAGGCACACTCACACCACGCGAATATCTTGTTCTCCAAGCACCTTTTACCTAATGTGTTCAGTTCCATTGCTAACATTTGACTGAATCATTTATTCACTATAAAAAGTTGCAAAAGTGGTGAATTTGTAATTTTATCATTCCTTCTCCATTTATGAACTGGCATTCTTCTGTTTAAAAATAAAAGCTTCTCTTTTTCTCACCACTCCCACCCCCCCCCCAATAAAATAAAATAAAATAAAATAAAATAAAATAGCTACTGCTGAGAAAAACTAAGACGAGAAGGTACAGGAAGAGGATAAAAAGAATCTTTTCTATTTTGAGTACTTCACATATTCTTACCTTGCAGTAACCTTCTGAGTGGTCTCTATCATTATCCTATTTGACAAATGAGGTAATGGAGAGCTGAGGTAACGTGTGATGGACATGAGAATGTGCTCGCAGACCTCCCACTACAGGGAGTGTAAGCAAACATAGCTCAAGGCTCTGAAACCCTTCACTGTGTGTGTTCAGAGGCCTCACATCCACCGACTGCTCCCAGGCCTTTTCTATGGTTGGCTTTGAATATATATTTATTGACTTTTTTTACAGAGAGGAAAGGAGAGGGATAGAAAGTTAGAAACGTCGATGAGAAAGAAACATCAATCAGTTGCCTCCTGCACACCACTCACTGGGTACATGCCCTTGACCGGAATTGTACTTGGGACCCTTCAGTCCAAAGGCCGACGCTCTATCCACTGAGCTACACCAGTTAGGGCTATGGTTGACTTTGGCTCAGGGGTTCCCTGATGACCTTGCCCAGAATCCTTACACTGCAGGCGGTCTCTTCCAGCCAACCTTCCCTCTCCTTCACTTGGGATCCGTCCAGCATTGGGTCTGAAGGCTCCCTTCCATTTTCTTCACCTCAGGTGACTGATCTCATCTTGGCATCTACCTCTCAGAAGACACAGCCCCAACACACTTGCCACAGCCATACAAACAGTAAATGGCACAGCAGGATTCAAACTCAGTACTGTTTGAGAACTTACTTTTTGTTATGGTTCCTGTTTACTCTCTGTTTATCTCCAGCAATCCCGTTACTTAAGTTTAAAACAAGCAAACAAAATAACAAAACAACATGGAGATAAACAAAACTAAACAACTGTCTTAGCTTGCTCAGGCTGCTATAACAAAAATACCAGAGGAGCCTGATTAGTTAGTTCAAGGAAAGAGACTTTGGTAATACCATACAATTCATCCTTTTAAACAGTACAATTTAGTGGTTTGGGGTTTATTCACCGTTGTGCAACCGTCACCACTATCCAATTCCAGGACATTGTCATCATTCACCAAAGAAACCCTGTACTCATTTGCACTCACTCTCCATCCCTCTCCCCTCAGCCCTCTACTTATGAAACTTCTTTTGGGGGAGTGAGGAATAGGGGTTGGGGAGGGGAAGGTCATACAATTAGTGCACATTGTAATATTTTAAAACAGAATAGGAATATATGAGAAAAAAGTACACAATCTGTCGAAACCGGTTTGGCTCAGTGGATAGAGTGTCGGCCTGTGGACTCAAGGGTCCCAGGTTCGATTCTGGTCAAGGGCATGTACCTTGGTTGCGGGCATATCCCCAGTAGGAGGTGTGCAAGAGGCAGCTGATCGATGATTCTCTCTCATTGATGTTTCTAACTCTCTTTCCCTTCCTCTCTGTAAAAAAATCAATAAAATATATTAAAAAAAGAAAAGAAAAGTACACAATCTGCCATCTCCCTTCTCCCCTCCAATTCTACTCCTATGAGGTAACCAATGTCAAACTTTTTGATTGTATATATACTTTCACATCTTTCTCTATGCTCTCAAATATGTGAATGAGCATGTATTCTTAATAGAATGATGCTATATATATAATACTGTAACTTTTTGGCACTTATCTATGTATGAAAAACATTTCTTCGACCAATCACAACTATTTCATCCTTTTTAATAGCTGTATGTTTTTATTTTATAAAATTAACCATCATTCAAGTACTCCCCTGTTGAAGGACATTTATGCTATTTGTAGGTATTTGCATTGTGCTGCAATAAATGTTTTGCATATGTATCTATTTTTCCCCCCTATAGGCTAGATTTCCAAAAGTAGGAATGCTGGGTCAAAAGGGTATATGTATTTTGTTTAGCTTTTCTGTTAACACATTTATTTTCTCCCTTAATAAAGTGAAAATTGAGAAAATACTCAAAAATTAAAAGGTTTCTGGGCCCTGGCCGGTAGCTCAGTTGTTTAGAGAGTCATCCTGATTTGCCAAAGTGTGGCTTCCATTCCCGGTCAGGGCATATACAAGAGTCAATCAGTGAACACATTAATAAATGGAACAATGAATCAATCTTTCAATCTCTCTTTCTCCCCTTCCTCTCTCTCTAAAAAAAAATCAATAAAAATAAATATTTTTTGGGAAAAAAGATGGTTTGTAAAAACACCCCAGTAACACATTGGCATATATTTCCTTCCAGTTCCCATTTTCTATACATGTTCTTGTTAATTTTATTATACAGATGTGATAATACTATATTATGTCTAGCCTTTCTTTTTCTATGTATAATTGTAATAAACATTTTCTCCATGTTATTATGACTTTGTAAGCAGTATTTTTTAACAGCTTCATAATATCATCCATCAAACTATAGACACTCTTTGATTCTGTAATTCCACATATAGTGAGTCAACCAAATGGAATAATAAAAGATTCAGACATTTGATGATGCATATTTACGCACAAAAATGTACATTGACACATTTTTTGCTACAGCAAACATTTGGAAACAAGCTCAATATTCAAACTCAAGGAATGGTTAAATAAATTATGTAATAGTACATATGTAATAGTGAATGGTATAAAATTAAAATGAGGTGTATATCTTTTCATTTTCGTGAATAAATCACTTTTTTAAAAGTTTTACCAATTTATTCTCCCACCAGCAATGTACACAACTGCTCATTTTCGTGCTTCCTTGCCAACTACAATTGTTAAATTTATAATAGTAGCTATTATAAGCTTATAGTGAGCATTTACTGACTATGTGCCAGGAACTATCCAAAGTGTTTTACATATATAAATTAATCTAATCTTCACAATAACTCCAGTACTGAATTTATCACCAATACCAAGGCACAAAGGAAGAGTAACAAATTCAAAGAAAAACAATTCTAGCTGAAACTGGTTTGACTCAGTGGATAGAGCGTCGGTCTGCGGACTCAAGGGTCCCAGGTTCGATTCCGGTCAAGGGCATGTACTTTGGTTGCGGGCACATCCCCAGTAGTGGGTGTGCAGGAGGCGGCTGATCGATGTTTCTCTCTCATCAATGTTTCTAACTCTCTATCCCTCTCCTTTCCTCTCTGTAAAAAAATCAATAAAATATATATTTAAAAAAAGAAAAGAAAAGAAAAGAAAAACAATTCCACCTATGCAGACAATGTCAACACTTTCTCATTCTGAGTATTCAGGGTTCATATAAAGAGACTTTTTAAAAAATATATATATTTTATTGATTTTGTACAGAGAGGGAGGGAGAGAGATAGAGTTAGAAACATCGATGAGAGAGTCATCTATCAGCTGCCTCTTGCACACCCCCTACTGGGGATATCCCCTACTGGGGATATGCCCGCAACCAAGGTACATGCCCTTGACTGGAATCGAACCTGGGACCCTTCAGTCCCCAAGCCGACGCTCTATCCATTGAGCCAAACCGGTCTCGGCATAAAGAGACTTTTATCTTAGTCCCAAAGCATTTGATTGCGTTGAATGTCTTAAAGCAATGAAAATCTTTGAAATTAGTTGAAAGACTCTGGAAAAGTAAGCTTCCCTCAACATGCTTTTTATTGTTACCGTTCAGGAATTTTCAGTGAACTCAGTCTTAAGAAACATTACTCTATGATAGGAAGAATATTCTTGATATATTGTACATACAGATAACAGGAGCCCAGAAACTTGAATTACTGTTGGAGCAAAACTAGGAATACAACCCAAATGTCTGACTTCTAGTTATCCTCCCTGGGAAGCACAAATTTTACTTGTTTTAGAAATCAAGGACTTGTGGTAAATTTTATAGCACTTTAAAATGCAACAAAGAAAACAAAATTAGTATTACTCTGACCTGTCAATGATATCATAGAAATGCATTTTGTTTGCCCTCTCTTCACTCAGAGATGTCAGGAGATTGTTGAAAGTGCCTGAATTTTGTAACTCCTGCATGGTTTCTAAAATCACATCACTGAGAAATTGCCTGTAAGGAGAAAAAATATAAGTTAATAAGATTCATATTTCACTACAGTCACAAAGGGCTATAGAAGTCACACAAGACCCAGAAGGAACATCATATCTAAGTTGGAATTATTTCTGAAATGCCAATGTAGTTTAATATTAAAAAATCTACTAAAGAATTCATCACATTAATAAAGGCAAAAGGAGAAAAACCATATAATCATTGAAATAAGTGCAGAAAAGGCATTTGATATTTTATTGTTTTATTTATAAACAATAAACTCTCTTAGAATGCTAGAAATAAAACAGAACGTTCTTAATCTGAAAAAGTTTATATACCAAGGGCTGAGAAACATTGAATATACAGTATGATAAGATATATAAACATTTAAAAACATGTAAAAGAATATATGTATTGGTTTTTTGTTTATTGATTGATTGACTTGAGAAAGAGAGAAACCTCCATCTGCTGCCCCATTCATCCATGCATTCATTGATTGCCCCTTTTAATTTTTTTAATATATATTTTTATTGATTTCAGAGATAAGGGGGAGGAAAAGAGAGATAGAAACATCAGTGATGAGAGAGAATCATTGATAAGCTGCCTCCTGCACACCCCACACTGGGGATTGAACCTGCAACCCGGATATGTGCCCTGACCGGGAATTGAATCTTGACCTACTGGTTCATAGGTTGATGTTCAGCTCCTGAGCCATGCTGGCTCTGCCACTTGTTACCTCTTGCATGTGCCTGGCCAACCAGGATCAAACCTACATATTGGGATGATACTCTAAGTGAGCTACCCAGCCAGGACTATATGTATGCTTAATAATATACATACATACATACCTAATAAAAGAGTCACACCCAGTCGGATTGGCTTAGTGGGTGAGCATCAACCTATGAACCAGGAGGTCACGGTTCAATTCCCGACTCTGGGCTCAATTCCCAGTTGGGGGTGTACAGGGGGCAGCTGATCAATGATTCTTTTATCATTAATGTTTCTATCTCTTTCTCCCTCTCCCTTCCTTTCTGAAATTAATAAAAATATCTTTTAAAGTATCACAATTTGCCGAAATTGGTTTGGCTCAATGGATAGAGCGTTGGCTTGGGGACTGAAGGGACCTGGGTTCGATTCCGGTCAAGGGCATGTACCTTGGTTGTGGGCACATCCCCAGTAGGGGGTGTGCAAGAGGCAGCTGATCGATGTTTCTAGCTCTCTATCTCTCTCCCTTCCTCTCTGTACAAAATCAATAAAATATATTTTAAAAATAAATAAAGTATCACAATTTACAAAAGAATAATTCAGAAGACAGTTTATCTTTGGAACAAGCACTACAGGGCTGGGATCAGAGGCTTTAATTGTATCTGAAGTTATTTTATTAAATATAGAAAGCTTTAAAGCAATCATGGTAAAATGTCGATTTGATGGTTATATAGATAATATCCATTATTTTATTCTTTGCAGTTTTCTTTATTTTTGAAATAGTTTATATTTGAAAAAGTTAAATCATTTTAAATTTACAAAAGAGAAAGACCCTAATAAAACCCTCACATTTTAGAGATGAGTAAACATAGGCTCAGAAAGGTTAAATGACTTGCCCAAATCACACAGCTAATTTGAGATAAAGCTAGAACCATGGAATCCAGGTTCCTGACTCCTAGTCCATTACTCTTTATATTCTCTTAAGTAGAAAAATTTTAAACTCCCATTTAATGTTCTGATATAGAGTTAGCAAGAATCACACTTACACTTACATAGTAATATACTAATAATAATTCACATAAAAAGCTTCAATAACGTTTTTTCATAATAATTAAGTATACTGAAGTCAAGATACTGAAAAGCCATGAGCCTCATCCTGAGAATGTAAAGGGCGTTAATAGTAAACAGGACATCTTCCTATCATGTCTGCAAATCTGAGCCAGATTGATTTTATTTTTTTTTATTTTTTAATATTCTTTAAAAAAAATATTTTATTGACTTTTTACAGAGAGGGAGAGGGATAGAGTTATAAACATTGATGAGAAAGAAACATCGATCAGCTGCCTCTTGCACAACTCCTGCTGGGGATGTGCCCACAACCAAGGTACATGCCGTTGCCCGGAATTGAACCTGGCACCTTTCAGTCCATAGGCCAACGCTCTCTCCACTGAGCCAAACCGGTTTTGGCCAGACTGATTTTAACAAGAGCATTACTCCTCTAGTGAGGGTGTAATGCAGAGGTCCACAGACTTTTCCAGTAAAGAGACAAGCCATAAATTTTCTGTTATAACTACTCAGCTCCGCTGTTGAAGCATGAAAATAGCCATAGACAACATGTCAACAAATGAGCAATGCTGTACTCCAATAAAATTTATTTTCAAAAACAGACTACAGGCTGGATTTGGCTAGTGACCCTAGGCAATTATTACAAGCTCTCGCTTACCAAAAATCCTTACCATAATGTCATTCCTTATTTTTTTTAATGTTATACCCTCTTTTAAACATAACAGGCTATTTTTTTAAAAAATATATATTTTATTGATTTTGTACAGAGATGAAGGGAGAGAGAGAGTTAGAAACATCGATGAGAGAGTCATCGATCAGCTGCCTCTTGCACACCCCCAACTGGGGATATGCCCGCAACTAAGGTACATGCCCTTGACTGGAATCGAACCCGGGACCTTTCAGTCCCCAAGCCAACGCTCTATCCATTGAGCCAAACCGGTTTCGGCACATAACAGGCTATTTTGTCAACAAGTCAGTTAACAAAAACTGCCTAATGAGACAATGGAAATTGAGACTGACTTTAAAAAACCATCAGGATTAAAACATTAGCTTGAAATCTGGCTACTTTGATGATGTCTGTCTCTTATTAATGGATAAAGCATCACAATAGCTATCAATTTATGCTGGACACTTGACTGAAGCCTCATTTCTAATCCTCACACTAATGTTGAAGTTATTCTCATTTTTAAAAATTGCAAATAAATACTCAATACTTGCTTCATGTCCTAAAGCTCCTATACTTTCCATTGTATCACACTTCCTCTGGGCCAGTGGTCGGCAAACTCATTAGTCAGCAGAGCCAAATATCAACAGTACAACGATTGACATTTCTTTGGAGAGCCAAATTTTTAAATTTAAACTTCTTCTAACACCACTTCTTCAAAATAGACTCGCCAGGCCGTGGTAGTTTGTGAAAGAGCCACACTCAAGGGGCCAAAGAGCCGCATGTGGCTCAGGAGCCATAATTTGCTGACCACGGCTCTAGGCAATCTTTAGCTAACTCCATTATCAGCACTCACTTTGGATACAAGGACCATCCAGAAGTGAAGAGGGCAGCCAGCCACCCTGGCACTCATTTTTTTTCCTTATATATATTTTTTTTATTAAATTATTATCTGTGTACATATCTTACCACTGTCCCCCCCCATAGATGCCCTCACTCCCCATTGGCACTCATCCTTTATCCACCCAGAAATACACGTACACTTCCAAACATGCTCTCCTTTCTTACCTATCATTCTGAATTTTTTTCAGTGTCCCTGTAGAAAGTATAGACTGCCTTGCGTGTGAATGGAGGACGAGGTCTTGAACTTTGTTAAATTCGCTGGCTAATTGGCCTCCTGGTTTGATTTCTGGCAACCTGGGTTCTTCTTTAATCACCTTCCGGACCGGTGGGAGGTTTTCTGTTTTTTTTTCTTCTAAATTCATTTCATTGTATTTCTTCTAAAAAACAATAAACGATGTTTTACGTAACAGCTTTTCAAAGAGTGAAGAAACAAAGCTATCCAAGGGCCTTCGCCTCCATTTTTAACCTCATTTTGTCTAGGAGATGTAAGGCCTAGGGAGCTGGTTTTCTGATTGTCCTGTTTTGCCTCTTCCTTTATGCATAGGCATTTGTAAAAGGAAGCAAATGTGTCAAACTGATTGAAAGGAACTAGATAAGTGTTCTATTTAGTCCAGTCACTAGTAAAGATGTTTATATAGCATACATTGTGTTCAAGATAGGGCATTAGACTATAAGGAAAAAGAAAAAGTTATTTCTTTCCAAACTTCGGTCCATTACTTCGCTTCTGAGAGAGCCTGGTATATTAGTATAGTTTCATCATGCCCATTCCATGTTTCAAACAAATGGGGGGAGAAATCTACTTGGAGATGTCGTTATCTATAAAAATGGCTGTAAAAATGGGATAATGCTAACTAACAGTTCAACTCCAGGTTGTTATAAGGCTAAACAATGTGAAGTCTTCGGAAGAAAAAAATCCACATACATACTAAGATTTAAAAGTGTATATCCAATGACATATAGGGTAATGGCATAGTTACATTTATGAAATTGAACAACTATAGTGCTTTGAAGTAAAAACAAAACATTATTTTAAGAGATCCATCATTTAAAAAAAAATATATTTTATTGATTTTTTACAGAGAGGAAGGGAGAGAGAAAGTCAGAAACATCGATGAGAGAGAAACATCGATCAGCTGCCTCCTGCACACTCCCCACTGGGGATGTGCCTGCAACCAAGGTACATGCCTTTGTCCAAAATCGAACCTGGGATCCTTGAGTCCGCAGGCCAATGCTCTATCCACTGAGCCAAACCGGTTTCGGCAGATCCATCATTTTGTAAAATATATTTTTACTGATTTTAGAGTGACATGGAAAGGGAGAGAGAGAAATATCAATGATGAGAATCATTGATAAGCTGCCTCCTGCTTGCCCCACAGTGGGCACAACCCAGGCATGTGCCCGGATCAGGAATCGAACTGTGACCTCTTGGTTCATAGGTCTATGCTCAATCGCTAGCCACACCAGCCGAGCAAACCTTTATTACTTATACTTCTATAAAATCAAAATCAGAACCTCTGTTAAGTCAGAAAATTTTGTGGATGAAGATCATTAGCCAGAATAAAACAGCTCAAAAGTTGTGTTCTTTTATTTACTGAAGTGGTGACTACTGCTGAAGGCTGTTTATAAATTTGGGTATTTCATTCTTGAATTTCTATGATGGTAAATTACTTCTTTTTTTTTTAATATATATTTATGATTTTTTACAGAGAGGGAGATAGAAAGCTAGAAACATCGATGAGAGAGAAACATCGACCAGCTGCCTCTTGCACACCCACTACCGAAGATGTGCCCGCAACCAAGGTACATGCCCTTGACCGGAATCGAACCTGGGACCTTTTAGTCTGCAGACCAACGGTCTATCACTGAGCCAAACCGGTTTCGGCTTCTTTTTTTTTTTTTTTAATGCCTGATAGTATCATTTATGAACAATAATACTTCATCTTGTTAACTGATTATCTTTTTTATTTTTTGGTTTTTGTTAATCCTCACCTGAGGACGTTTTTTTCCATTTATTTTTTTATTTTTTAAATATATTTTATTGATTTTTTACAGAGAGGAAGGGAGAGAGATAGAGTTAGAAACATCTATGAGGGAGTCATTGATCAGCTGCCTCTTGCACACCCCCTACTGGGGATATGCCCGCAACCAAGGTACATGCCCTTGACCAGAATCGAATCCGGGACCCTTCAGTCCCCAAGCCAACGCTCTATCGAGCCAAACCGGTTTCGGCTCCATTTATTTTTTAAGAGTGGAAAGAAGGGATGGTTTATGGATAGGAGGCTGGTAGGGAGGGAGGGAAGAAGGCAGGGAGGGAGGGAGGGAGGGAGTTAGGGAGGGAAGGAGGGAGGGAGACAGAGAGAGAGAGAGAGAGAGAGAGAGAGAGAGAGAGAGATAGAGAGAGGGAGAGAGAGAGACATCAATTGGTTCTCTCCCACATTCACGCTGACCAGGGCTGGAAATTGAACCTGATACCCAGGTATGTGCCCTTGATCGGGAGTCGAACTCAAGACCCTTCGGTGCATGGGCTGAGGCTCTAACCACTGAGAACACGGGCCAGGGCTATTCTTACTGAAGGAGACCGTAAGTAGGAAGGAAACACTAGTCTCCTCTGTACTATTTGTAACTATCTTAATTCATGAATCAGTGCTTTTACAGGCATTGAAAGGCTTAATTCTTGGGTTTCTAATCTTTGTCATTCATAAATTGATAAGGAAATTAATTTGTTATAAAATACCTATTAATATCTATTAAGGTCATTTAAAAATTACCCCAGAACTCATAGAATTTTAGCATTGGAAGGGACCATATAGATCATTTTCTTAAAACTCCATCACAATTTACAAATGAGAAAACTAAGACCCAAGAAAGTGAAATGAATTGTTCATAGCACACAACTGAACTGCAAAAGTTCCTTGACTCCAAATCCAGTGTTCTATTAAAATCCTGTGTAAATTTTTTTTTTTTTTTTTTTTTAAATCTTTTTTTTTTAATATATTTTTATTAATTTTTCACAGAGAGGTAGGGAGAGAGATATAGAGCTAGAAACGTCAATGAGAGAGAAACATCGACCAGCTGCCTCTTGCACACCCCCTACTGGGGATGTGCCCGCAACCAATGTACATGCCCTTGACCGGAATCGAACCTGGGACCTTCCAGTCCGCAGACTGGCGCTCTACCACTGAGCCAAACCGGTTTCGGCCTGTGTAAATTTTTTTAAAAAATATGTTTTTATTAACTTGAGAGAGGGAGAGACAGAAACATCAATGATGAGAATCATTGGTTGGCTGCCTGCTGCAAGCCCCACACTGAGATGGGACCTGCAACTCAGGCATGTGCCCTTGTCCTGAATCGAACCCAGGACCCGTCAGTCCACAGGCCAACACTCTATTTACTGAGCCAAATCAGTTAGGGCTAAACTTTTAAACTTTATTTCATTTTATCTTTTAAGTCTTTATTGTTGAAAGTATTACATAGTCCCCCTCTCCTTGCCCCGATTAACCTCATCTAGTCGCCCTCCCCACCCCCACTCCAGGCCTTCACCACTCTCTTGTCTATGTCCATGACTTATGCTTATATGAAAAGTTTTAAACTTAAAAAAAAAAAAAAAAAGCTTTACAAACCCAAACCCAGATTATACATATAATAATAATTTTTAAATTATAAGGAGCAATTAAAGGGAACTTTGTCTAGTTACAATATGGACTTCTTTTTCAGTTAGACATAGAAAGCAATTTGTTTTCTCATTTATGTAGTAACTTTATTCTTTTTGTATTTATTTATTTGAGAGAGAGAAACATTGACTTGTTGTTCCACTTATTGATGCATTCATTGGTTGCTCCTTGTATGTGCCCTGACCCAGGATCAAACCCACAATTGTGGTGTGTTGATACCATGCTCTAACCACTGAGGTACCTGGCCAAGGCTTAAAGCAATTTTCATTTGTCAGAAATAAGAATATATTGTGTACCAAAAAAAGCACCAAGAATATATTCTGTACTAATTATATAATGTTAATTTTTCTAAACTTAATAAAGATGTGGGTTATTTTTTATTTGGAATCATTATTAATCACTTTATTTGTTGCTCTTTCTAGACACTGGCCCACTTCCACATGGAAAGTAAGGAGTATCTATTTATAGTTAATATTCTGTAGTGATACAAACCACAGTCACTGAAAAAAAATTTTTTAACATTTGTTTTCTTTTTAATACTCAACGAGGATATCCTTATTGATTTTAGAAAGAGAGGAAGGAAGCAGGAGACAGAGAGGAACATCAATTCAAGAAAGAAACACTGACTGGCTGCCCCTTGCACACAGCCCAGCAGGGGTTTGAACCTGCGACCCGGGTATGTGCTCTGACTAGAAACTGAGTCTGAAATCTTTCGGTGTACCGAACGATGCTCCAACCGAGCCACACTGGCCAGCAAACTAAAAGACTATAGATTCGTGGCCCAATATGTTTTTGTGTGTATAATTATAAGCATTTATAACTCCACAAAGCTAGTTTCTTCTTAGATCACTGTAGTATTTTTAATATCCACATTAGACCAAATGTGCATCACCAAACTTTCAGAATAAGTTAAAAAATAGCTATCCTCTGTCAATCAGATACAGTTCCAAATCGCAGTGACTGTACACGCACTTTCATAGTTTAGGGCTGCTCTAAAGTTTAAAACCTTTTCTCTTGCTTCAAAATAACCCATTGCTCATAGTATATAACAACCCAAATATAATGTTCACCTATCCTGTGTAAGGAAGTAGAGCACTTAAAAGTTTCTCTAATAAATCCAGTGCTTTTTCTCAACATAAATTACACAAACTATTCTAAATGTTTTAATTTATTTCAGTGCATTATATTCAAATACTAAAAGGGACGCAATTATAATTAATATTTGAGCATATTATGAAATCTAGCACACAAATCAATTCATGTCAATATACTATACTCTAAAACAACTTCACAAGTACACAAAAAATAGACAACAAAATTTGCTTTTAAAAAAAATTTAAAGTGTACTACTTTAAATTACATTTATTTATTTTCACAAAACAGCCCATTTCCAACCATTTGTAATTTTGGCATAAAGCAAGTTCAATCCACTCGAATCTTCTGGTTTGTCATCCTATAAATGATGCTATCATATCCAGGATCCATGTTCCAAATATTGTAAGAAGTGATAATCACAGCCAAGGCCAAGAAGATCGTTACCCAAAGTATCATGTTGAAAACCACTGCATACTCAAAATGATACTTATATGCAAGGTTATAGGGACTTGCTGGGTTCTTTTCTTGTTTTGTCTCAAGGATAGTCCTCGTCTTCCTCACAAGTGATGTGTCATATGATCTGACAGTCACTAGCTCTACCACTGCGTTCCCATCATAAAGACTATACATGCCATCTGCAAACTTCTGCAGAGCATCAACAAGGACCTTAGAAGCATCTCTGAATTGTTCAGATTCTTCTCCGTAATGTTTCCCAATTTCATCCAGACCTGCCAGTTCCAGTGAATATAGATCAGGAGAATGATCCTTGGCTAGATGCTTATGTCGAGACAGCAAACTTGAAATATCACACAGAACTTGCAGTTCAGAAAGAAAGAGCAGGTCAACTTCATTGTTACTACTCAGGGAATTAAGGGGAAATGAATGAAGAACAGAGTTTTCTTGAAGCAGGCGATGGCGGAGCTGTCCTAAGGTTACTGAAAGATCTTCAAAAACTGAGTTGGCCTTCCCTACCATATACACTCTTTCCTCACTGGGAGCCAACTGCAAAACTACGGGAGTTTCTTGAGAAAATAAGGAATGAATGGAATTGGCAACACTGTCAAGACTGAAAGGAGCTGCATTCTCCAAAGGGTAGGAAGTGACGCTGCCTGGGGGTAGAGCGAGCCTGTCCACTCCCTTCACTGTCACCATCACAGTAGCCTGAGGACGATGGAACAGGTTACCCACGGCAAGTCCAGGCCAAGCAAGTTCTTCTTCCACAGAGAAGCCCATGGCCAACGCGGCCACGTCTGGGATTCGCTCTCCTGGTAGAGACCAATTGCCATTGCGGAAAACAACATACTCTGGTGATCGTAATACACTAAACTCATTCCCCCAAACACCCGCCACCAAGGACAGAAGCATGACGAGCAGGGCCATGGTTCCCCGCTGGCCACCGCAGTGCAGGGCAGCAGGCAGGGAAGGTGAGTGGTCACCGCAGCGCCAGGGGGTGGCGCGTTCCAGCTGGTCCCGATTCCCTGAGGCCGCCCCATCGTTGCCTCCACTGGGACAGCCGCCGCTTTCTTCACCAATCGCCAGCTACCAATAAATATGTATTTGTATTTAAAATTTTTATTGTGTATGTACGACCTAAGTTATTAAAATTAACAAGAGCTTAATCACTTATAAATCTTTTGTACACTACCACGGTGGATTTTTTGATAACTAAATACGTGCTGTGAGTAGTCCATGGCATTGTTGAAAATGTAACGACTGACACAATAATGTGGCGGATATTCAGAAGGGCAGGTTAGAATATATTCTGAAATGACAACAAAGTCATTTTAAATGGTTAAAGCAATGTTTAGAGGTGCCAGCATTGAATTTCCTCCACCTAGTGTTGTTAGCTTTTAGCAGCTGAGAAATATAAATGGGACAACTCAGTCATGAATCTGTATATACTGTACTTATATCTATTTAACCACAGGCCTTTTGAATAATTCCAGCATACTGGAAGAAAAGGATATTCTGGCTGGTAACGAACCTTGAGATATGGCTATTTCACTCCATCGGAGAGTCCATATTTCAGGTAATAATTATAGGTCTTATCTGAGATAAAGATGCTATTGCCCATGTTACGTTTAATGACATAGATACTGTAAATGGAGAAATAAGAAAAAATAGACTCAATGAAATATACCATGGTGTTACTTTGTCTTCTTTCATACTGAATAGGCATGATATAGTTGAGAATAGAGAGCTGGTCTGTGGTATCTTCCAGAACAGCACAGATCCTCAGTACATCTAGAATGGAGAGTGCCTCTATGATTTCTGGGATGACTTCTTCGTCTGCTTCTGGAGCTGTTTCTTCTTCTACCACTATCCTGGGTGGATAGCCTGTCACTGATACCATCACCTCAGGTTGCCAAGGATTTAAAGAAAGATTTGAGGCTTTCAGTTGGCTTCTACAGAAAAAATAAAGAAAAAAACAAGTCAGCCACCAAATGCTTTAAAGTTAAACTCAAAAGCACAGATAGCATGTAAATTGGCTCCTATGAAGTCTGTATTGTCATATAACCAAGATGAACAAAAGAGTTTTGCACATGATTCTGCTAAATACCTCAGTGACATTTTAACCAACATAAGCAAGCAACTTACTGTTTAACAAAGTTATGTGATCCATGTAATTTGGCTATGCTTAACCAATTTGAATTAACTTTTTTTCTAGCAACATCTTTAGATGCTACTAACCAAAAGTGCCTCATGATTAATGAAAAACAGAATGTGGTAGCCAGTTTCCAAGGTGGCCCATATGATTCTCACCTTCATGCCCTTTTGTAATCTCTCCCACATTGAATAGGACTAACCAACCTATGTAACTAAAAGAATATTGTGGGGTCCAAGGCTCGGTTATAAAAAGCTAGGTTCAGGCCGTGGCCCGGTAGCTCAGTTGGTTAGAGCATCCTCCCGATACACCAAGGTTGCAGGTTTGATCCCTGGTTAGGGTACTTACAAAATCAACCAATGAATGCGTAAATACGTGGGAAAACAAATCGATGTTTTTCTCTCCCTAAAATCAATGAAAGAAAAGACATTGCAGCTTCTCCCATATGCTCTTGTCTCTCTCACACTGTGGGAAACCAGCTGCCTTGTCATGGAGACACTTAAGCAGCTCTGTGGATAGGTTCATCAACATGCCAGCTCTATGAGACATCTGGAAGAGGATCCTCCAGCCTCTGTCAAGTCTTCAGATGCCTGCAGGATTGGCTAACGTCAACCTTTTGAGGGAACCCATCCAGCTCCAAAATTCCTGACCCACAAAAACTGTGTGAAATAATGTTTATATTGTAAGTAGATAAGTTTTGGAGTAATTTGTTACATAAAAATAGATAAATAATTCATAGAAATTTAATGTAAGGGACAATTTAAATAAATACACACAAAATACTAAATCTCTATCCCTCTCCTTGCCTCTCTGTAAAAAATAAATAAATAAATAAATAATTAAATAAATAAATAAACACACACAAAATAGAAATTTTGAACATACACTTCCATTCTTCTTAAGTTAGCTTTGTTAACTTCCAAGGTACAAGTATAATCTCACAAAAATGAAGTCAGCTAAAATGGGAAGAAAACATTGAGATTAGTTTGAGTACTGAATGACATTTAAGTTTTTTCTATGCTCTTCCATTTTGAGAAAATTAAAGAATTACAAGAGCTGTAGTTTATCCCATCTTTTTGCTATTAGAAGTTTTAGTGGAAGAACCATCATGTGGTGCAGGTCTGCTAGGCCACCAGCTTAATTACCAGCAGGTAAAGGCATTCTTGGAGTCTCTTCTTAAGGTAAATTGATATCCAACATGGTGTTCATACTTTTTATTATATTTTGATTTTTTAATTGGTAACCTCTTTAAAATACTTACTTTTCTGTTACCCTGATTACTAAAATATTTCATTAATCTTTCCTCTGATCTGTCAAGACAGCAGAGTTGATTCCATCTGGACTTAAAGAACACTGGAGACTACACTTAAAAAATTTTTATTTATCCTGCCAAAACCGGTTTGGCTCAGTGGAGAGAGCATCAGCCTGCAGACTGGAAGGTCCCAGGTTCGATTCCGGACAAGGGCATGTACCTAGGTTTGCGGGCACATCCTCAGTGGGAGGTGTGCAGGAGGCAGCTGGTCGTTGATTCTCTCTCATTAATATTTCTAAATCTCTATCCCTCTCCTTTCCTCTCTGTAAAAAAAAATAAAAACTTTTTTATTTATCCTAAAAAATCACAGCTACCAAGATGTTAACCCTCCTCCGTAAACCAGAGTCCTTTCTGCTTAAAAGAGCTTTAAATTTTCTATGGAGAATTTTGCTCTATACTGAATGAATAGTGAATGGTTAAGTGTCCAGTGTGGTTTTGTTCACACAAAAGGTGGGGTGGTACAAATGCCCCACACAACAAAAACCTCATATGCAAAAATTCTAACATATGAATCAGAATGTTTATGTAAATTTTGAAACAACCATACTCCAAACTAGCCAAACTTTCTGTTGCAAGGGCAGTCTTAGGAGGAAGTAGCATGGTTTAATAAGGTCCTGTTCTTTTGTGTTCTTTTTCCATTTTTTTCAACTTGGGGCCTAGGTCCATGTACTTCACATAGGTAAGATAGAACTAAGCTTATACAGTATTCAGTTCTTCTGTTCTTTTCTAGCTTCTCATTCCTCAGTGATAGAAACCCAGGAATCATTCCTGCTTTCTCCTTCATATTGACATCAGCATCCTCCAATCTAACCCACACCAAGTCCTGTGGATTGTACCTAATATTTCCATATTCTCTAACACCATGCTAGACCATGTTGTTTCTTGCTTGAACTACCCTAATTGCCTCTAAATTGGAAGTGACCTTTTTTATTTAATATATTTTTAATTGATTACTAGAGTGAGAGAGAAGTAACATCGATGAGAGAGAATCATCATCTACTGGCGGCTTCCTGCATGCCCCCTACTACAGATGGGGCGCACAACCTGGGCATGAGCCCTGACCAGGGATCAAACCAGTGACCTCTTGGCTCCTCAGTCCCTCTTGATTTCTGGGTCAATGCTTAACCACTGAGCCACACCAGCCAAGCTGAAAATGATCTTTTTATATATATTCAAATTATATTTTATTGATTTCGGAGAGGGAGGATGAGGGAGAAAAAGAAACACCAATAATGAGAATCATTGATTGGCTGCCAGTTGAGCTGAAAATGATCTTTTTAAAATGAAAGAGAGATATTTTAAAATTGAAAATCTGATCATAAAGGAAGATGGGGGTGGGTGAGTGGGTGGGAAGAGATGAACCAAAGAACTTATATGCATAACCCATGGACACAGACAATAAATAGTGTGGTGAAGGCCTGGGGCAAGGGAGGGAGGTGCGGGCTAGAAGAGGTCAAAAGAGAAAAAAAGGTGACATAGGTAATATTTTTAATAGCAAAGATAATAATAATTTTAAAAATCCTGATCATGTTCCATCTATGGTTTCCCTTTGCCTTAGGAAAAAAAAAATCTTAACTTTGCCTATAAGGCCTTCATGATCTGTCCTTTTCCATATCTATCTGGCACTGTTTGTTTGTTTTGTTTTGTTTTTTCCCCTCTTCTCTCTCATGGCTCTCATCTTATAAAGTCCTGTTAGGTAGCAGTTTAAATTAGTGCCATTTTGCTAGGTATATGCCTTTTGCCCTGGAGAATGCATTATCCTTTACAGTTTCACTCTTGCCGACACCTTTGTAAGCAGACTCCTTATTAAATTCTCTTCAACTCTGCTAATCCTTTCCTTCCAGCACAATACTGACACAATGACTTACAATGACACATATACGTTTCATACACAAGCATCTATATAAATACACATACATGCAAGTAACCGAAAAAGTTTTATAAAACAATTTACCTGCAACATTTGTGATACATTCTGATATTTTTTTTATTCTATTGCATGTGCCTTAGATCAGGATTATAATCATGATCTAATGGGTGATGGATCACCTGCAGTTTGAAAAATGCCTTGACTGACACTTTTGCAAGTGACACCTTCCCTCACTCATCCATCAGGCTGGATCTCGATTCCTCTGTGCAAGCACAGACTGACTGCAGGGCTCTCTTCACACTTTATAATGTTTATGTCCGTTTCCCCCACTAGACTGTTAAGTTCCATGAGATCAGGAACCTTGACATGGATGCTCACGATTGTATCCTAAGTTTCAGGCATTATGTTCAATAAGTATTTTTAGAATGAATGAACAAAGGAATCAAACTCACAATGTGTTAATTCCTCCGAGGAATTTAATGCTAAAATTGTTAGCACATTCTATAATAGTGGGCTTTCTAGTATATTTCTAGGATACAGGAAATTAGATGGGGGAGAGGGGATAGGCTAAAAAGACACATAAACTCTATCCTGATGCATGTATAAGGATCTGACTTGAAATATGATTGATATACATCTATTCCATAAAACTCTGGAGTCACCTTTTACTCTTTCTCGCTCATTCCTTATCCATTAGTAAATCAGGTCAGCGTTACATTTAAAATGTACTCAGACTATAGTTTGCTCCCCCTACCAGAAAGTAAACCCTTATGAGGGCAGATTTCTGTTGTTTGGTTTATTGCAATGTCCTCTGAGCCAAAAAAACAAGCTTGGTACACGGGAGTCATTCAATAAACGGTTCGATCCATGAATGGGCCCAAGGGAAACCCAAACAAATGTGCGGTAACCAGGAAACGTAAATCTCCGACGTCCATTCATCTATATCATGTGATTCCTGACGACCTATCACAGGGCAGCTGAGTGAGCTCTCCCTAAAAAAAGGAATAAGGCCTTTTTAAACGACGGTCCTCCTTACCCTCGGGGACAAAAACAAAGGATCGAGGTAAGAGCTTAAGCCATTTCTGGAAAGAGAGGAAGGAGTACAGAGGAAGGAGGAAGGGGGGGGACGGGGAAGGTAAAGAGAAGAGTCCCCCCTTGGTGCGACCGGCCTCTCTCTTCTAAGCTGGGGTCGGAGGCTCCGCTCGCCCCCCTCCTGTGCGGTAAGAGCGAAAGACACCCCCGCGTAGGGGAATCAAACCTGAGGTCCCCGAAGCCGGGGTGATGTCCTCCGGCGGGCCTCGCTCTTCCCACCGACCGCACCCGACGACGCATGCGCCAAACCCAGCTGTTTCTATGGCAACGCCGCGCTTTATGGGACCGTTGGTTCTCCTCCTTTAGCTGGCTACCGCCCTGCCTCCCTCTGTTCCAATATATTGTAATACACGCGGCAGCTTACAAAGATGACATTACTCAGGGACAGAATTTGTAAGAGTGCTTCTGAACGTGGCTTGTTTTTAGTCAGAAAACCATTTCCCCGATGTGTATTTTCTTTAGGCGGTTGCGGGAGATGCCTAAACTCGGGGCGGGGCGGAGAGGTGTTTCTCCCACAAGGCCACGCGGCGGGGCCTTGCTTTCCCTTTTCCGCCATCTTGGACCCTGCGGAGGTGAGCGGGAGCGCCGCTGCTGCTGGATTTTAGGGGTAAATAACTGGAGTGGGTCCCACCACATCTTTCGGAGAGGCACTGCTGGGGCACGGAGGCTCTGCCAGGCATTGGTTTGGATGGGTCCCAGCAGCAGGGAGGACAGGATGGAGGAGATGTGGGACGGATGGCGCTGGTCCCCTGACGCCCGGGAAACGGGTGCTCCCCTAGTCTGAGAGTTGCTTCCTGGTCCCGTCCCAAAGGAATTAGAGGCACTTTTATCGTCTGATTTACCTTTTTGAGAGCGGCAGCTTTTGGCGGGGTTCTTGGCATTTGCTTCCCCTGCAAACCAGGCTTTGTCTATAATCTCTCATCCTTAGGTTTTCTTTCCCATTCATTGCTTAAGAGTCTTGTTTGCTCCGTGCTTCTCTGACTTTCTTGATCTTTATTTTTGTAGTGATCATGACATGAGTTTTTTTTAGGACTTCCTTTAGGAGTTTTCTAGGGGTTATAAGTCTTGCAACTTTGGTTTTTGGAGTTTACTTAGTTATCGGGCATTGCCTGACGTTGGTGTGTCTTGCCAGACTGCGCTTCATTTCAGCGTCATGACGTCTCCCCATGCTCTGAACGGGAAATGCCGACAGGTTTAAGAAACAAGCAGGGACTAGGTGGGGAACGTGCGTTGCAAGACTTTTTAAACTGATTTTCTTTTTGTTTAAGGCCTGCTGGGAACAGGACTTCTATAAGGACAAATATGTCTGGAAGGTATGCATTTTTAATATAATTGCTTTGTTCTTGTAGTTTTTTGTTTATTAGGTCTGTAGCTAACTAAAGACGAACTCGAAACTAATGTGTGTGTGGGGGGGAATTAGATGTTTGCTATAGGTAACTGGTGGATGGGGTCATTACAGGTCAAATCATACTGGTTGTTTGTTGAATTTAAACGGGATCTGACAGCAGTTTGTGGTTGATACCTATTTTGTGTGTCCTAGGCTGTGGTCCAAGGCCATTTTCGCTGGCTATAAGCGGGGTCTCCGGAACCAGAGGGAGCACACAGCTCTTCTTAAAATC